GAATTTTTAGAATGTGTCTTACAACAAAAAACAATGATATTTAAATATTGTAAAAATAACAGGATCTCTTTCAACGAAATAGTAAGTTTATTTGTGAGCTTTCGTTAGATCATGGTCTAACTTCTTCAAACAATACAAGATATAACTTAATTATACAGCGAATAAAGTTAATTAAGTTATATCTTGTATTGTTTGAAGAAGTTAGACCATGATCTAACGAAAGCTCACAAATAAACTTACTATTTCGTTGAAAGAGATCATGTTATTTTTACTTATCACTTTAATACTATCTCGTTCAAACATCCTTGTGGTGAGTACCACATACGGATCCGAAGTAGAAAGTAAACAAGGAGAAAGGACCTGCAGTTCAATACACAATATCCAAGTCCCCTTAGTATTTAAATATTGATTGCAGAAACACCATGTAAGGCATTGTGCGACTTATGTGTAACACTGAGACACGAGCAAGTTTGTTGGCGTCAATTGTCGGCATCACTTCGACAGGGAACTGCTGGAGTTTGCGATTCCCATACAGAACGATGAAAATATGGTGTCAATTTCCTTGCAAAATGTTATGTGTCTTTCTAGTATTCATTGGAAAAAACATATCAAATGTTAGCACAGAGGAGTCAACATGAGGTTCCCTTCAACTGTTGCAATGTGATTATTTTTATTCAAAAGTAAATGTCCTAATTACTGGGCTAAATCTCTAAGGATCAACGAGTGTCGAGTCGGGGTATGAGGCAGGTCATGAATGTTGTTTTCTTCGAAGGTATTACTTTGGTAACAGAACTTCAAAATATATAAATCCGCTTTGATTGAATTAGCTATACTTTATGCCTGATTTACATTTGCTGGAATCACATTACATGACAAAATAGGCTTTGCTTCATTCGGTTGCTTACAATTCCTACACCTTCAAAATAAATGCAAAATTTTATAGCATAAATATTTGCTTCTATCGTTTCTTTCAGTGCTAAACGTTCCCATCGTCGTTCCCATTCGTGCTATGACGTCACTCCCGCGATAAGATGACCTTATATTTAATCTGTATGCAATGGGATGAGTAAACATCCAAACATTGTATCCATTGCCCGTAGCCTAATTTGTGACAAAATACCAACTGTGGCACTGGCATTGCTCAAAACCATGTTTCTCACTGTTTCACAACATTTTATCATTTTCATTTTTATTTCAAAAAATATAAATATCACAAATAAAATAGTAATAATATATATTTTTAGTATATTCATTGAACAAAAAATGTTTGCATCGTCGGAATATATAATAAGTACATTGTATATGCACTATCGTTTAATTAATAAAGTATTTGAAATAACAATATTTTCGTCTTAATAAAGACGCTGTCAATAAAATAGTAATTATAAAAGAATCGAATAAGATTCATTCGTCAAAAATATTATGCAAAGCATAAGCGTCGTTTGTACTGAATATTAGAAGAATAAATCCTCATCGTAATAAATTCTTTAACAAAAGAATCTCGTCATATATTATTTCAAATATAGAAGAAATCAGTCCCAATTAGGACTACGTCGATATAAAGTGTTTTTATATTAATTTCTTTTAAATAGTTCTTTGCTGATGGCAAATTCGTCATTGTTGTTCATTTCAATTAATTTAATTATATCAATGTTCTCTTCGTCGTTGTTTTCATTCCATTTTGCTTTTAAATTTTGATGTGATTTTGATTTGTTGTGATCACAAAACTTCGTCTTTTTGGCCTCTTCAGTTGTCACGGACAAACTTCATTGTCGATTCTCGTCCGATGTTTGTCGTAAGTGCAGACGAATTTTATTGTTCAGGTACATGAGTACTTCATGCTTACTTATTTCAAGTAATTTTATCCCTTGTCACTTCACGGAGATTTTGAGACTCCATCGTCTTCTTTGACAGCAAAGTTTTCAGCTGTTAGGTAGCGATTGTTTACTTAGAAGCAGCTTTTGGCTCTCAAAATATTGAATGATTTGAACAGCTAAAAGCACCCGTATTTATACGTTTTGGTGTGCTGTGACTTATATAAAACAGTACATGGAAATCCTCAGTCCCGCGATTTCCCAGCCCAAACAAAAGAATTATGGTGTCAGTTACATTTTAACATTGTTTCCCAAATTACACAATGGAAAACTGGCGTCGATTACAGAATAAATGTAATCGATATGAGTCGACCATTGTTCCGTGTGCGAATCAGTTAATCCGCGTTATTGCAGCAAATTTTTCGAATGGTAATTGAAGGAATTCTAAAACGACTGTTACTTTTACGAGAAGGGAGACGTTCGGAGATTCTCGCACTAAACAATGAAATTTAGGTGTCCATTACATTTATGAAACATGATAGTTATTTTTTAATTGAGAGGAAGTGAACTGGATGTTTGTCACAATAGATGACAAGATATGTATTTAAAACTTGTAAGCGATATGCATTTCCCATTATGTTATGTGGGAATCGCCTATTCCGATGTTTCCCCATATAATACAGATTTACGGCGACAGAAAGAGTTAAATAGTTGGCCCACACATTTAAATGACTGATTCAGCTGAAATGGAGGCCCAAAATGTATCATGCCTGCAAAATATATTATTTAATAATTTAGAAATAAACATGAATGCGGGAATCATCCTAGTTTGTTATAGCAACGGCACCATTGTTAATTGCACTTTATTGTCAGATTGTCGATGGGCCATTGATGTAATCAGGGACATCTGCATCCCGTTTGCATGGCTTCAATAATACATGCGCACCTTTTTTCTTCGGAACGCTGACAAGTAGCTTAAAACAAAGTATGCTGATTTGTCTTGATTCAATGAAGCCTTTAATATGGTGGTTTTACCAATATTGTAAGTGGAAAATTTTTGAAATGTGGACTCATGCATAGAACAATACGGCTTCAATATCGATTTCAGTTACAACATGCTCTCTATTCTCAAAAATATGTGTGACACTTCAGCCACGCGCTAGCTTGTTGGCGTCAATTGTCGGCATCACTTCGACGGGGAACTGCTGGATTTCACGATTCCCATACACAACAATGAAAATTTGGTATCAATTTCATTCCGAAATATGATACGTGTACGTTACATTGAAAATAAATGATTTTATTGAAAAAAAGATCACAAAGAAATATATCAAAAGTTTTTTTGACATGTTTATTTCATGTCTCAAAAGTATGTTACGCGGATTAAATAGTTGTGATACTATTAACTATATATTTGAATTAGAACATACTGTAACACTAGTGTACAATTCCATCAGCTAAAAGCCCTTCCACTTTATTTGAGCATCCTTGCTAAGGGATCCAGGGGAACGATCGTACGGTATCGTTACACTGAAACCGTCGTTTTACACAAAATTAACGCAAACTTGATTTGCCAAATCTGTTCTGCTAACGATACAAAAACAACAGCACAGAATATGGTTTATAACCACTTTTTCAGTCTACGACAGGGTCGTCCATCCCGTGGGCCATAGGTGGCCCGCGCTGTATTTTTCAAAACTTAATAAAAAAAAAGTAACTAATATTCGAGTGATGCAGTACGCGAAAATGTGATACAAACAATTTGTTTATTTTCCTGAAATGCGCTTTTCCGGCCGTTTCAAACGAGCCATAAGTGCCATTTGAATCGAAACCAACTGGGAGGAGATATCGATATATAAAGGTGCAAGGTACATACATAAAAACAATATATACATACATGCAAGCAAGCTACTTCGTGCATGGCAGAAATAATCGCAATACAATCGAAGCCATTCTCAGATTGAGAATTCGTTAAGGAATGTATTCGTCTGGTTTTCAATGTTTTATGTCCGGAAAAAAAGAGGCGTTCGCAAAAATAAGCCTGTCAAGACAAGGCGGTTTTCGTCGTGTTGGAGAGCTTTGGAATTCTATAGCAGAAACTTTAATTGCAAAAGCGGGAAAGTTTTCATCATATTCATTGGCGCTTGGCAAAAGTACTGACATCAAGTTTACTGCTAATCATGCGGGGAGTTGATAATGATTTTGAAATTACCGAAGAGCTCTCTGCCATTGTCCCAGTTAATGGCACGACCACAGGCATTTGTGGAGAGCTGTGATGAAAATGATCAAGCGAAACTTTCTGGAGTAACCACTGAGGGCGCCCCATCCATGGTTAGGAAACAACAGTTTTATTGTTCTAATAATTGTGAAAGTTTGACGTGAGGGTATTGTTCGTATTTTCATTAATCTGAAGTCAGTGTAGGAAAAGTAAAACCTAACTACCATGTTTAGTGGCCCGCGCACTTTATTATTAAATAAATGTAGCCCTTCGGCCAAAAAAGGTTGGATGACCCTGGTCTACGACAAAGAGCAACCAACGCCTTTTGCAATAATCGTTTTCATATTAATGTCTTTGAACACTGGAACCAGAATCAACATAATTTTGTTGTTTCCCACCAATAATTGTTTTTATTATATTCGATTATGAAAGACACAAAAGCATATTTGCTTTATTTGCATAATTTTTATTGTTGAACAATTCTTTCATCCAAGAAATATATTTAATACAAATTCAACATATTTTCAATACATAGGTGCTGAATAGATGCCGACTTTTCAATATAAAGCATTTATTCATTATAACTAAAAAAAATGCTCAAATATATGGACACGAAAGCCAGAACGAAGTAGGCTAGTGCGTGTATACAATCGGTCACAGTGGAGTGCCGGTACTGCAGTCTTCTCCTGATCACCAGATCGCGGAACCGCCACAAGGTGCTCAATTTTTAATTTTGATAACGTCATCGCACACACAAAAATGAATTCCTTGGAGCCCATTGCCCAATTTTTGAAATAATCGAAGGTAATAACTTTCTAGCGAAAAATAAAATCTTCAACCACTGAAAATTTCAAAGGAATAGTTCCAGTAATTCACGAGGAAGGCAATTTTGTTTTTCATAACAACAAGAACAGGAATACAAAATGACAAAACGATCCATAGGTCCACTTCGTGGTCAATAAGACGAATATAAACAAAACTTGAATTTTACAACAACGATTATTGATTGTTTATCATAAAATGTCTTTTGTTTTCTCGTTCCCCGTGTCATCAGAAGATTCTATGTTTGTTATTCTTTCTTTTTTATAAATAAATTCGGCAAAACCTGGAAAATTCACAAGCACTTTAAGGATTCAAATAAGTTTTTTCGCAGCGTCCGAAACCATGAGGCTGAAAAAACCCAAGCTTTATGTCTATTTGGTGAACAACTTGGGGGATTTTGTTCACTACATTTATACAAACGAAAATGCCGACTAAAGTAACCGCAGACTTATATTTCTCTCTCTATATATATATATAAATATATACATGTATGAATGTACAAACTACAATCCTTATAACACTTACCGTATGCCAATATGGAAACAATTAGTAATATTAATTGAATGTAAATTTTAACACCAACACAGAGTAACGGACTCCACAAATAGCCGACTGTGACGCCAATTGTGATGCAGACATTTCGAACACTGAATGAAATTTCCCGCTCCTTCCGGAAATAGTCGGAATATATAGCTGATGTAATAAAATAAAAATAAAGTCATTTTGCCTAGATAAAAACCATGGCTTATTTTTTACTACTGAAATCGCATATATGTTGTGCACTGAAAATTTCAGAGGTAATAATTGTTAAACATGCCTCATGGCAAAACGTTTTCTACCGGTTTCCAGTTATCATAGAATTTCTTTGAGTAATAGGCAAAGTTTGTGCGTAAAAATATTCTCGAAATAGGTGTAATCTTTGCATGAAACATTCAGGTTTGCCAAATTTGGTTTACACCTTGGCCACCGAGCGGCTTCAATGAAGTAACCTACCATTTACGATTTACCTAACACTTACATACTGAGCAGTTTTTCCATAGTGCATCAGAAGCGCCAAATCCCACAAATGCCAAGTAAACCAGTCCTGTTGTGTTTTCATTTGCTTGCCAAAATTTGCAAAACAAGTAATTGGAAATGTCAAGTGCCATCGCAAATGCTATTGTGAAATTCCGTCCAAGAAAACCAATAATTTTTCCCGATACCAAAGAAGCAAGTATATAAGAAAGGTCGTGAGCTATTAATACCAATCCGACCTATAGAAGGGAAAAATCAAAATCAAAATCCAGTTTTATTGCAGAAGTCCATAATTTTAAAGTGAAAATATCACAAACTTTCAAGTCTCACCATTTCTACTCCTAGTATGCATGAGGCGAATGCTCTGTTCATCTCCGAGAATATGAACGCCATGTGTAAACCAAGGTACAACAAAAATGGAAATAGTAATATTTGTTTCAAAGTTTTTGCATGCCTCAAAGTATCTTTCAATGTCTTTAAGAAGGTCTCTGAACTCTTTAAAATGAATAGAAAAAAAAAAATGCAATCGAATATCAGCTTATCATCGGAATTTTATTAACAAACTTGTGGATACATATCAATGAATTACAAACACGCAAAAAATGTTTTGAAAAATTAATATTCAGAGAAAAGATTCATTTAAACCTTTGCATTTTGTAGATTGAAATTAATTCTGCTTCTTGGCAAAGTATGTTTTTGGACACGATGTGGCAACCATAATAGTTTTGCAAAATTGCTGTTTTAAAAATTTCGCTTTATTCTGCAACGAATGAATTAATCGATTTCAAATGATCTGTAATTGAATACGGAAACAACTCGTTAGATTTATTACTCACTTTACTTTTAACAACATCATCGTTTCCATTCTTTGTGGGCATTCCGTCGGATACCAGTATTTTATCTGTAACCTTGACATTCACCAAAAATTTCGCATGAACGACAACGGCAAAAACGTTGATCACACAAAACGTTCCCATTAAAAGATATATAGAAAGGGCGTTCGGTGGAACGTATTTATCTAATGTGCTGATTGTAACATTGGGATCTTGACAGTCATTCGCTCCACAGTTTTCATATTTTCCTCCCAGCAATGTTTCAATGCTGCTATCAGTTCCGTTCTTTGTTGCACTTTCTTTGGGCAATTCTTGTCTTGTGCCGTATAATACGCCGTAACTAATTATACTTGCAAAAATCTGTACTGCAAAAACATTTATAAATAGAGTGAATGACCAAAAGTACAATACAACAGATACCATAGCCGGTATACCAACACGATTCAAATCAAAATGAAGTACTTGTGTGAGCAATATCCACTACATAAATACCCGTCATATAAATTTTTGACTAAGTGGCGTTTCAAGTCAACCAACTCAGAATGGTATTCTCACTCATTTAGCATGCCAGATTTAATAACGTGAGTCATCATAACAAACTATCCATAAATCAAATAAATTTTGTTCGTGCTCAGTACACATGCACTTTAATCGTTTGATTTTTGTAATAGCAAATTTTAATATCCAAAACAGCATAGAGAAGCACTATTGAATCCAAACGTCACAATAACGCAACTAAAGATATTGGTTGCCATATTTTGAAATAAAAAAATTGTTTCACCCTTCCACTTCGCAGAATAGCGTAAAATTGTGATGTGTATTTTCTTCCATAATAATCGTAATGTTTCCGCCCATAACTACCATGAAGTTGTCCGAATATTAGATTATATATTGGCAATATTGTCCAAACCAGAGAACTCCCGATTCCGTGTAGAATTCCTACCGGTATCATTACATAAGGCGCTAAATTGCAAAAAGTATGTTGCATAGTCATAATTTTATCCTGTATGCAAATTTCGAAAGTGGATGGCTGTGACGTATTGGCCTATAGCCTGCTTTGTTTAGTCACACACGAAAGCCAGAGTTTCGTAAAGTGGATATCGAATCCCGACATTTGCTCGTTGCGGATCTACAGTACACTGCCGGCACAACAGATTGTCAAGACTGAAAGCACAACACGTTATAAAGGTACATCTCTATGGTGGCCCATCGTTGTCACGCGTAAAATTTAAAAAAAAAATGAAAAAATAAAATGAAAAAGCGAAAATAAAAAAATAGTTGTGAACAAACATAAAAATAATTGAAAAAAAAGAAATGAAAAAAAAAATTAAAATTAAAAAAAAAAAACGAAAAAAAAAAATTTGAAAAAAAAAAAATTAAAAAAAAAATTGGATAAAAAGAAAATGAAAAGGTTGACAACGATGGTCCGCCTCGTGGCCCATCGTTGTCACGCGTTTTTCATTTTTAGAAAATTTGATGCTGCTTGGGACCAACGTTGTCAGGCTTAATCCTACACGCACAAATGTGTTTCCTGGGTTTCTAACTCACTACTGATTTTCATGAGCAATATCCAATAAATTCAACATGAAAATGTTCTATAAATTCTCCATGCTACAAGTTCAACCACAAGCAATATATTTATAATAATGATAAGAGAATATAGAATTGGATACGAAAATTTGTTTTATTTGGTAAGACGGTACGGTACCGGCATCGCGAGTGTCCATACAACTGAGTAGTTAAGCAGCATTCTCCAATTAAATTACCTTCTACACGTAAAAACAAATTTTCGTATTCAATTCCATATTCTCTTATCATTATTATAAATATATTACTTCTTGTTGAACTTGTAGCATGGAGAATTTATAGAACATTTTCATATTGAATATTGCTCAAGAAAATCAGTAGTGAGTTGGAAACCCAGGGAACACATTTGTGCGCATGGGATTATGCCTGACAACGTTGGTCCCAAGCAGAAGCAAATTTTCTAAAAATAAAAACGCGTGACAAAGATGGGCCACGAGGCGGACCATCGTTGTCAACCTTTTTATTTTCTTTTTATTCCATTTTTTTTTTTTCAATTTTTTTTTTTTTAATTTTTTTTTTTTTCGTTTTTATTATTATTATTTTTTTTAATTTCATTTTTTTTTTCAATTTTTTTTTCAATTGTTTTTTATGTTTTTTTACAACTATTTTTTTATTTTCGGTTTTTTTATTTTATTTTTTATTTTCAATTTTATGCGTGACAACGATGGGCCACCATACATCTCCACCGGGGTGAGTATTTCAAGTTTTTTTCATATTGGTAAATATTGGCAAAAATCTTGATGTACAGATAATCCTCGTTCGGGATTATTGCAAACCCATACAAGCATTCAGATATAAACGACAAGAGTTATGGACAGGGTTTGTAACTAGTTCATTGTGCGTAACATTCTATTTAACATACCTATTTGGTGATAGACTCAGAAGCACTTGTTACAAAATAAGGCTTCATAAGATTTTTATTTTGCAACAAGTAGCGATAAGGGGATAAAATGCGCTCACCTGGATAAAAATTGGCTGCGACGAAGATGATCGCAATAGCTTCTCCGAGAACTAATGCCCATTTGTACCCGAGTCTGTAAAAACGATAATTTTTTGCCAACAAAGAGTACGGCACATATTGAAATTTAGTGAGAACACCACAAACTATATCCTTGTATTGCTCAAGAAGTACCAGAAATGTGCTATATGAATATGTAGCCTACTCAAGGTAATTAATTTATATTCATGAGCCAATGTATATAGAATTCTATCTAAATTCTAAATAAACCAAAAAAGCTATTAATAAAATCTTCGTACTTGCGTATTAACAGTGGTGTGCAAAATAGTCCAGCTAATACGGAAGCTAATTTTGAAGATCCAAGAGTTTTAGTACCTGAAAATAGAATGTAATCGAGATGACTTATGAGACGTTGGTCGCAGTAAAACCTTGTTATATTCTAATTACTCCAATCTGTCCCAGTAAAATATGAAATTAGATTCTCATCGGTAATTGGGAACTGGAAAGTGCTGTACACAGAATTAACGACTTTTCAGTCTTGTAATATCAACGCGTGACGTAGGCCAGGGCTACTCAACTGGCGGACCGCGGTCCGAATCTGGCCCTCTCGGCTATTCGATTCGGACCGCGCCTAATTCTTTATTTTGGATCATTAGCCCCAGTTTGAAGTTTCCTTTTATAAAATGACTTTTATATATTTAAATATATATGAAAAGAACTATTCTGTAAACAACCTTGATTAGCTAATAATCATTAGTCGGTCGAGGGACTGCGCGTTTAAGGATGCCGAAATATAATTTCTGGAAAGACCGGACCCAAATATTTTTAAAGTTTTGTATGCGAATCTTCGGTAAAAATAGTTGAGTAGCCCTGACGTAGGCGATAAGGTTCATTCAATTTACCTATGCTTTGTTGGATATTAATGCTGCTTTGCAGACTGCTTACGGACATGGTTGTTCCTTGACAAAGTAGACATCCCAGTGCAAATGCATAAAACTGAAATGCTATCTTCCTTATATTTTTATGCTTTAAGTTATGGTCAACAGATGTCGGTTCTGCCTCATCCTTGTTTATTATGTTGTCAGAATCCATAATTGACTATTACGTAATCTAGTTGAAACAAATATAAAAATTCAAATTCATTCTTCTATATAGATTGGAATGTTTTATGCCTTTATTTTTCAAGACAGCTTTAAATCCTAAATGATTTTTCAATGAAATCGTATCGGAAGACCTGGACCCCAAGCCCCAATCAACAGTATCAGTTTGTGTTCGACTCTTGAGAAGGCCTAAATGGCATGAATGTGCACAACTTCGTATTGATAACGCAATTCCCATACGTATCGCACCTCCTGTGTATTTTGTAACCAATTTACGTTGCGTATACAATAACCAGTAGCAGTACACCCACTTGGTAAAGCTCATTTTATAGATTCCGGCAAGCATTCTTAGCCTCCATAAATGTATATCTGTTTAGAAATATGAAACTACAATCTTCTCTTAAACTACATTATACTTTTTGCAATGCTTCCCAATGTTCTGACGGCCATTTATCGGTATACTCTACTGGAAGACCGAGAGATATTCTTTCATTGATTATGTTTACTAAGCTGTTTTCCACATTTATCTTTCAGGCTCTCCAAAGCAATCGCATTCAATAAATCTATAAAAGAATTCCACTATTTCAAACTTCTATGACGACTAATAGGTAGATGGGTTTATCTGAATAAAACTTGCTTACTATGATGATGAAATTGGACAGGTATAACGTAAGATTTTATACAAATATTTACCCGCGCTTAGAAAACAAACAATATCAACAATTCTTTTAAACAGTAGTGATCAAACAGTGGGTTCTGAATTGACTAATCTATTCACTTATTGTATCTTCGTAGACTACTCATACCGCGCTTGTTACATGGTTGCAATAGAATGTTGTCTGTATTTAAATAAATGCTTAGTTTTGTATACGTCAACGATCAGGTGACATAATTATTTGTTGCATGTTACGCGATGCGCTGCGTCGGAATGTCCGTCCATTTAATTGAAATAAACATACACACGTGTACATTCAATTATTTAATCATATTTATACTGATGAAAAAGATATGAGGCGAATTAACCATTTAGCACACCGCAATCCAATCAACAAGAAGGGTGAATGATATTTCCCGAGAGGATTGTATTTATGTTAAACTGCACCCGCGGCAATATCACACTATCATGCGATTCACACCGTAATTAGCGGTATAGTAACGTAAAGACTATTTCCTGACAATGAAATATGGATGCCATATTTTCAACATACAAAACTATAAGTTATGAAATATTCCGTCAAATAAGTGAAAAAATGTTTGACGTCTCTCGGGTTTTACGCCTAAAATTCTTATTCAATTCACGATCTTATTCGTGAATCAAAATGCTGACGCGAGAGGATCTAAAAAAAACGAGTTGAAAGGATATTAAGCTGTATTATACGAAAAATAAAAAGAATGAAGCAGTTTTCTAAAACACCTATCCTGATACCCTGAAAGATTAGCGATTTCTATCGTCTGATATGATACAAGGTGTGTAGTTTATTTAACACAGTAAAAATACATTCAATAGGCCGAGGTGTATTTACCAAGCAATAAAAGTAATATATATATATATGCAGATGAAAGTATATATTGTTGCCAATCCTTAACAGAATGAATAATGGCACTTGTTTAATTATTTAAATCTGGAGAAGTAAATATGTCAATGTAGCATTCCGATGAAAAATATGTTATCGACCTATAGCACGTCTTCGACGTCTCGATGAAGATGAACACGCTGCGTTGACAACATCTGAAAAATCGCATGTTATATTGGTCATAAAATGTTTTTCAAACAAAGAGATCCTAAACTGGGTAAACATTGGGTATAAAATTTTCGACGTCAGCACAACCCAATTTTTTAATAAGTGGGGCATATGCATCTAATCAGTGCTGTATCTAAAATAGATAGAAATAGATTTTGAAACAATTAGTCGAGAAATATTTTTATATCACATTGTACAAAACTGCTTTTGCTGCAAAATCTTGAATTAGAAAAAAAATATGATTTTGAATGTGGTAATATTGATGAACTATTACATTTTGTTAAGAATTTTGTAGGTTTTTTTCGACCATATGACGCCATTTTTCATGGAAATATTGCTTAAATAAAGCATGAATGACCGACCCTTCGTTTATCATCCGCAGAGAACCACCCAGCTATATTCCCAGCAGGCAAATATTGCGATCAAATTTAACAAAATTAAGTTTATCCTCCAACGTAGAATTTGGTAGATGCAGCATGGAAGTGGAAACATTTTAACTAGGTTTTCTGGCATAATTTCAATTTACGTAACACAATAGATATTTCTGCATAGCACAATATATGCTTTTACGCAGCACGATACACTGTTTATTCATAAGAAATCAGGAGACTTACAATCAAGGGTTCATTACTTACCGTTCATTGCAGCAAGATACAGCAATACCAGCACAAAAATGAACATGCGTCTTAGGATTGTAGATATTTGCATGTTGCGTTTCCAATTGCGACGGGAACCTGGTTAGTTCTCGAAGAGTTTATGAATGTGGATTCCATTATGACTGTATATATAGTGATTTGGAACAATCAGTGAACAGGATTAGCCCACATTGTGTGTGATTTCATCTTCCTTCCTATTAATTCTTCCTATTAACCCGAATACAATGATCAATTAAGGAAGCATCGTTGCAATCCTTATCCTGTCGCTGTTTTTATGGATATCGTGGTTTTAGATTTAGTATGGTAATAATGGAGACATGGTAGACAATATTTGCTTTTCTGAAAGATTTTTTGTGGATTGAATACAGTACAGTATACAGTACACATATAGGCCCTACTTGCATCCAGTAGTGGGATTCAACCGGTTCTATAGAACCGTCTCACGGAATTTAATGAGATCAGCGAACCGATTAGCATTACATGACTTTTTGTAACATACCCGCCTGAAAATATGACATTTGTATGATGGAACCGGCTGACAACAAATTTGAATCCCACCACTGCTTGCATCCACCAATAATCATGTATATTGTAAAATGATACCTCGTGAGGCCGGGTCTTCAAAGCCTAATAATATTCCAGCCACTGAATATTTTTAAGTACATTTTGTTCAAAAACCACAGTAAATGTGTCATCTTCTCCCTTTTATCATTTCCCACATGTTATGTTTTTCATATACCAAATCAATCGTTTATTATGCCATTGAAGAGCGTGACACCTCTGAAACATATATTCTATTCTGCAAGCGTTTACCTGAATTGAATGCGAGTATAGCAGGCATGGGACGGTTCCCTATGTTCGGATGGCAAGGATGTTACTGATGTGTTTGAATTCGGATTGTAGATTCGGAGAAAGTTCCCAACCTTAAGTCATCAAAAAAAAATTTTTGAAACTCCTATTTCAATTCTGGGTCACATATCATGTTGGAGGGCACATTGAAGGGTGGCATGGTTGAGATTTTAAAGCGTTCCGATTGGAGGACACTTGATTTTAACGACGATTTAGATAAATATTGACAAGAAAACAAGCCACGTACCAATATCTATCCAGCAAGTGACATCACACAGTTTCGTGGAAGAGTTGTATAGGGAAGGAAGCTAGAAATGGTATCCACATAATTGTGTATCTAGAAATGATATTATTACAGGAACACACGAATGAATTCGGTACCATATCAAATACATGCAAAACGACATTGAGTGTAAGCTTCTTAATATATTTTTATTGGACCCGAAACGTACATCTAGATTGTTTTGTCATTGTATTGTTCTTGTTATTTTCCATTTCCTTGTTAATATATTTCTTCTATGAAAAAATCGATTTTTTTTCTCTAATTGCTCAATTGTTTTGTAATTTTTAGTGGTTAAATATCGTATTTTTTGCTAGAAGGCTATTACTTTTATTTATTTCAACAATGTTTGTGGGCTCTATGGGATTTGTTTTTATGTGTCATGACCTCATCGAAATAAGGTGCCGCGGTTGCGTGATCGCATTTCAGCGATTTCGCAGTCCAACCAGTACTGTAAAAGTTTTAATGCTACTTCATTTTGGTTTTCGTGTCCATATATTTGAGCATTGCTCTCCTGTTTCGTGGAATATAGGCAAGGCGTATATTTGCTGAATTTTAATCAAATTGCTTCAGATTTCTAAAATCAGGAGCTCATTTCAGAATCACGGGCCGCAATACAATAGTGTATATTTACTATGAATATAACGGAAAAGGAAAAACCGGTAGGAAACATGGTTATTCATACAATGTATGTTATCCGGTTCAGTGAACCTTCTTATTTTCTGAGGATTTCCTTTCATAGAGATGAGCTTTGTTTCTACGCAGAAGCTTCCGTGGATTTTACTTAACGAGCATACTTCGCATCACCTCTAACACTACTTTTGCAGATCTTCAAAATGCTTGTTCAGTGACAAGACAACTGTAAAGAGCTCAAAAAACAACAAAGTTGCATAGGCATGTTCATTTAATCTGTGTTGAAACAACATTGGTTAATATACAAATTTTCAGCGAGAGAACATAAATGGTAAACGATAATAAATATCACAAGAACCAAAGGTAATTATGTTATACAGTACAACATTACGGGAATGAACGCCGGAATCGATATGTACCAAGTTAAAACAAATGCGTTGGATGAACACAGATATACTAAGAGTTCCACTCTACTTGCTGACTCGTATCATTGTCAAATATCTGTATTCTGCGAAACCTAAAAAAAGAAGCGAATCAATATAGTTTAAATGACGGGAACTCCAAATTTGTCAAGGGATGAAAAATGTTGTGCATTCAGTTGATAAAATATCATTCAATTTATATGAATTTGAGCTCGATCGAAGACGAGGAAATGAGGCTCGTAATGTGGTGGATTTGGCCATTGGACAACAAAATAACTTTAATTGTGCTCCCGAAGTATGCGCACCAAGATGTCACATAACCTGAACCCTAACCTGGTACACAAGGAGAGCTCAGGTTGTGCGCCATCTTGGTGCGCATATTTCAGGAGGTCCTTAACAAACAATTCTTAACAAAATTCTGTTTTTATGTTCGAATAAAGTGAGGGTGATTCAAGACCAAATTCATGCCCAATATTTCAATAGCTTTCTTTTAAACAGCGCGTTGTGAAGAGATCAGCCATATTTGCGTTGTAACAAACTTCCATGAAATCGAACTTACCGTAAAAATTAGCACATGCCATCACGTGCCATGACTACTACCATAACTCTATAATCTTCTATGAAAGTGCCCGTGTAAAAGCCGTTTGTATTTGTGTTTCAGAAAACCAACATGAAATATAGCTTACCGTATAAAACTGACGCGACTATAAGCAATGCCATATTCATGTATATCTTCTTGTAAACACACATATATGAACTGAGTGAGTATTGAACAAAAAATCCAAAATTTATCCATAGATTCCAAGTTGTGAAAGCAATATCTTTCCGACGACTAAAGTATTCTCCATATCGAACTGTATTAAAATTGTATCAATACTTAAAAAAAGAAGATTCGGTAAATTCCAAACAGAATGCGATAAAACTAAGTCTATGTTAGGTCGAGGATTCTTTTCCCTCTATAAACTAGATACGACTTAGTAGGCGATAAAACTATTGCAAAACTATTATTTATATATGGCCCCAGTCGCCAGTTGTATGGCGTTCTTTTCAGGCGGGTGTGCACCGACTCCCGGCCTGATGGGTTAGAATGTTGGATGAATTGGCGATTAAATTGGTTCCAATTCAGGACGTATGAAATTTCCAGAATGAAATTAATGAATATCCTTGATAATGTATATGGTACTTACAATTTGATAACGTTTGCCAGATGCCATCAGAACATCCAAATCCGAGAAAAAATAAGTATATAACCCATGGATTATCTGCGTTCGGTTCCCATGTGAGACAAAATAAGTAATTTAATATATCAGCTGTGAAGGCGAGTAACACTGGGAAATTTCTCCACATTCCAGTGGTTGGCGTCTTAGCGACAAAGAATGAAAATATTACGTCTCCAAGTCCGTAAATGATAATACCAATTCCAACCTAAAATTGAAAATGCAGGTACATAAGTGCAAGGGTTCATTTGAAAAGTATAGGAGCAATGCTCAAAAGTAAATCATTATGGGCGTGAACTGCAAATATCCGAAAGCGTAAATTCATAAATGGAAACGTAAGGGTTGAAAATATATGTCACCTCAAATTTATAGTTCACAGTTGCAAATGTGCTAGTGTCGATATAACGCTGTTGGAATTCAAAGTTTTGCTAAAGAATATATTCGGTCTTATTGGTCGTTGATTAAATAGAAAGTTTGCACATAAATGAATACCATTTCAGGCTTCTGTAGATGTGTTTCAAACATTTGGGGTTAGGAAAATTCGCCGCAGGAAATTTCGCTGCACAGAAGAAATCGGCTTATTGGAAAAAGATTCGGTATTTAATTAAGAGCATACCCTACAAACCTAAATGTTTCATTCACAAACACTTGTTTTACTGCAAAATGCTCTTGCGTATTTTCCTATGCGGCGAGTTTCCCGGACACGCAAACATTTTGTTCTCATAATCAAGCTTAACAACATGGTGCGACAGGCAATGTATTAATCTATAACTTTAATCTTAATTGTGTAGGATTCGTTACCTGATATAATCCCAATACACAAGATGCATAAGCTCTGGTGAGTTCTGAATAGACAAATGACATCATAATACCATTGTAAAATGTGATTCCTGCCACCAGTACATGTTGCAGGCTTATAAAATGAAGAAAGGTCGCCTTCGTTGTTTGTTTCAATAAATTAAATACGCTTATCTGAATGAAATAATATCGCGTTTGAAAACTCCTTATTCTAACCACACAAATTTATTATTCCAGTAATTTTTGTTGCTGTATTGTATCAGTTGGTTTTCGTACAAAACACAAATACTAAACTAAAAGTATAATCATATTTCGCAGTTGATGAAAATAACCTTAATAGCTAGATTGGTTAACTACAATCACGTGTCGATTAGTAAACACCAATATTGACAACATTTGACTTAGATTCTGTCATTTTAAGTCAAGTTCGCTAGTATAACTGAAATAGCTAAGGTACACCTACTTTGAGTTAGGGCTGCGCATTGCGGAAAACAAGTTGATTTAAATCAAAAATAGCTATTAACTTTGTTAGTATATAATCGAATATGGATCTTACCTTCTGCGCCACCTCTTCCATATCCGAAGATATTTGTTGAGGTGTACTTAAAACTTCTGTTTCCTTGTAAACAATGTCACCAATCTCTCCAGCATCTTTATCATTCAATACCATTGGAACCGAACTTTGATTACGATTTTTGCTTTTGGGGTAACTTTTTTTCTTTGGCAATTGCACACATGCTGGTATTTTCGGCAGAAACATGACTTTTACGATAATTGACAGAATAATAAGCGTTGATAGTACACCAACAACAATATACAACGATTTATTCGTAGGCGGAACATATTGTTGCAAATTTTGTGATGTTATATTTGGATCTTGACAATCGTTGGCACCACAAACCGACACGTTTCGTCTCCATGCCGATGTTTTATTTTCATATGAATTCGCCACCTTCGTATTGTTCTCAGAACTTGTTTGGTTTTGTTTATTATTTGTCTGTTGGAAAGTGATTGTGGTAATAGCGTTTCCAATAACCTGAAAATTTTTGGTTTCTGCTTTGATAGGATTGAATCTGAATGCACAATTCACCCAAGCAAAAAATTACGTTTCTAATTTTTGCAAAATGTTTGTTTCTTATTGCCGCAACTTAATTTTCGTATAAAAATTATGGAAGAGAAATTACAGACGTGAACTTGAAAATGTGATAAGCTGTTTTATTGATTGACTGCCTAATAGATTATTCCTACAAAAGTTTTGTGAGTTGAATAAGAATAAAGCTCATAGAATATGTTTATATTCAAATCCTGCATCAGCAGTGGAGAGTTTAACATTTGTAAGTAAAATGAGAAACTCCAATGCTCACCTGACTAAATTGAAATACTCCAAAGAATTTAGCAGTATATGATTGAACATAGAAATCTGGAGTTCCACTTGAGAATCGCCAGTGTTCTAATCCGAAGTAAACATTGAATAGAGAAGTACAAGGCCACGTTGTCGCAGAACCGATTCCAACTAATATACTTCCTGGTATCAATGTATATAAAGCTGAGAACAACGATCGGTAATAGAAAAATTTCGGCGATGCAGAAGCGCGTGTATCAATATGGAGGTAACTAATTATGTTCGAGGGACGGAGGGAGGCACGTGGGCAGAACTAAAATAGGGAAAATCGAAATAAATTATGGCCCAACCCTAACCTGGTATACACACTACGCGAGAGTATCAAAATTTCAAATGCTTCTGATCAATATTCTTCGCGCCGGAGGTGTAAGGTGGGACTTTGGGGTTTAGGCCTGGTATGGATATGAATTTAAGAAGCAGATCTGTGACGAAACGGAAAAATTCAATATTCAACAATAAACATCTCATCCAATGTGTATTTGGTTTGCATTTTGTGGCAATTTATCTTCTATTTGATTGATCTCCACTTATCCATTTTAAGCCATTAATTTTTGCCCTGAATGAAATAATAAATGAAATCGCACTTACATGGATAAGCGTTAGAAGCTGCGTATAAAAGATAACATACGTCGCTGAAAATGATCGCTACTTTTGGTTTGAGAATCCTCAACAAAACAGGTGTGACAAGCAACGCACATACAATAGAGGATGCATAACCCGTTGTAACTGCTTTGTTTCCTAAAAAAGCAAAATGAAACAGTTTCAATATTTTTCTGTTATCTTCTTGTCTTCAAAATACTCAATTTGTAACGTTTTTGTTGATCGTACAGATATGTATAGAAAAGAAAGCGTATTAAGACTAGAGATGTATCGGTATGGGCAATATCGGCCATTTTTTCGGTATCGGCCACGTATCGGTATCGGTTAGATTAGGGCCGATATTTCCGATATATTTACCTTTTTGATATGGTCTAGAATGTTTTAAAAGATGAGTTGGAATACTACTTTTCAATTCATTTTTTGTCTGGAGAGATCGTGAGCTCTGAGCCATACATGTCCCCACCCCCGCGAGGGAATAGGATTCACCTGTTTTTTGCTATTTGTCAGTCAAACTAGCTCAACTAATTTGGCTATTTTCGCTGTGAAATTTTTAAATTGACATTTTTAATATTACATAGCAATTATGAAGAAATATATCAACACAGCACATAACAAAAAGCAACTAGGCGCCCAGTTTTAAATCATACAGTGAAATTGGAGTTCTTATTAACGGCACATGCACTTTTGGCACGGCTATAAATTCTGTTTGTCGTCAAGTACGACTGTCATTTAGTCCGTCGACATCGATCGATAAACTGAATTCCGACACAATTATCAGTCTATGCAGGTATTAATTTTGTATAACTACACAATTTCTTTATAGATATTTTGACATGACCGCCTAGCTAGATTGCCTCAAAATATATGATATATTTGTCGCGATATTAACTTTATGATTTTTCTAATTGAACACCGAGATTTCTACTGTACGATCGTACTACTGTACGATTTCTACGTTCTCACTGTACGATGTATCTTAAATTATAAAGCATCTGGATACCAAACATCAATTCCCTATTATGTGATATATCTCTTTTTTCGATTTGAAATAATGTGTGCTATGATTATGAACAACGCTAAAAGACCATTGTTTTAATCCATCTGCCCTACACAGCACACCTAATTAAGTAATATTTACAGAGTATCGGAATATCGGTAGTATTAACCTTTTTATAGTATCGGTATCGGCGTTTTTAGCTGGTATCGGATCGGTATCGGCGACAAAAGTGATATCGGTACATCTCTAATTAAGACACTGGTACACAAATGATACACATGCGTTTCGAGCATGTTGTTCGTTCTACTCGTGTACTTAGGGTACTCGTGAACTCGTCAAGTACCCAGGGTTCATGAAACATTAATATTGTAATATACAACGTAAGCTATATGTATCAGATAGTACCCCGATTGGATATTAGCATGTCAATTAAGCTTTCTATAAATAATTTCCGAAATTATAATCATTTGCGCAATACAACGCGCAACATCCATAACAAAGCCATTGCAACAGTCGAAGAATGTTTGTGATGAATAACGCTACCGGTACTCGCGCGCGTGTTTCCAATCATTGGGACGTGAAATAACTTAGTGGAGCGAATGTATCACTGCAATCTTTGTGCCATTCCAGTTTGGGAATCTTGAATTCACGCATTTGATGAGAACACGGCATTAATAAACGTCGAAAATTGGATTGCTTCATGATAAATTCAATATATATTTCAGCTTACCCAAACCATCTTCGATGTTGATACTCGATTGCAAAGCCATTATTACAAAAAATGATCCAAATGTGATAAACACTGATATAGCAAAAACATAGAATTTTGTTTTTGTCCTCGTTTCTTCGCTTGATGTAACCATGTCGGTATACTGCACTCGTCTTACAAACGATTAGCCAGAGGCAATTGTCTTTGCAACGCTAACATAGCCTATATGCTATAAACGAAATTGGGAGAAGATGAATACCGACTAAATACTTTATAACAAAAAGCACATACACGATAGTCACATGCAGATAAAACCTTGCTGAGATAAGGAAAAACCTAGCCTGTCTTACGACTGCTATTCACCAGCTAGTCCTTAAAAACAATCTACATCAAACGCAAGTAAAACTATCGATCCACCGTCTGACAATAAGCAGCCCGTGTGAAGCCAACGTGTTGATCGCGCAAACTCATATAGTACCTACAGCGTCTCTAGAATTCAATATAAGCTATTAAAAAGCCACGACCCGTTGATAAACGCTAACACCTTACTATGATTTGCATATCAAGATTGCTCTCTTTGGCATAATCAAATGTATATGCTATAGGCCTACTACAAATAATATATACTATATTGCCGTTAAAGCTAAAAGGCTAAGTAGCCACTTCAGGCCAGCACTGTTGTTTCCTTATTGCATTGCTTTCTTGTTGTTTCTCTATCTTTACTTAGACTTAGATGACTTAGCCAATCGGACATAAATTTCCTAACCCACATCACTAACTATATCAGCAGCATCCTTTATGTTTATGGAAAGTCTTACAATCGGTGGTTCTGCTGCGAACTCTAGTGCGCGTGTTTGGCAAAACTAGAGACAATTTCCTTCCTGTATTTTCGGTGCGATATGGGATGGTCCGATGCTTCAATCTTAGCAGTATTCGTGTTTTATTGATAATGAACAGTAAAACCATAGAAACATCATCGTGAAGTTCAAGAGTACTAATTTAAACGCTCGTATACACTAGGTTTATACATGCTGTTCAAGAACTACCGAAAGCGTGTAATGGGTAGGTAGAATTAATGCTTAATTGATATTGGGTAATAAAATCACAGAAACATTAACACGAAGACCAAGAGTACTCATTTAATTAAACATATTTGTATGCTGTTTATTTACCGTCATACTTGTGTAAATTACTGCACTTTGTTTATTACAGAGTGATTCGACAAATCTTTCAACTCAGCGATTTCAACTTATACCATTAAAAATTACTCTTTTAATTTAGATGATTCGCTGCAAAATAGAGTCAAAGTTATTATAATGAGGTATATTCCATGGCACGTTTTTTATTTGTTTAAGTTATCAAATAAAAAAAATGAATACAATTTTGAAAATGTTATATATATTGTTTCTACGATAAGAGTGTAGTTGAATATTATGCTGTTCCAAATTGTATTCTCCTTGTTTGTTATTGATCCAGAGCTCGGGTCAAAAGATAAATACTTTCATCGTTTTTTCATACAATCTGACATTGGATAACAAATTTCAAAGTGCGGTCTTCAAGTCAATTTCAGGCGCAGCCCTTGTCGGACGCACCTTTGTTAGAAACCTATATTCTCCAAGACCTAAAAATAATATATTCACATTAGATTAGTATAAAACCTAAGAATTTGTATTCATATTTTTACTCAAGTTCCATTCAGAAGGTCAACGAAGGTGTGGTACGGTGTTCTAGGGATATCTCAAGTTTAAAATATCGAATTTCATTTTTTAAAAACGGCCATAGCACTAGCTTTGTATTTCATTGACGCAAGAGCATTTGGACAATGGATCTTATTCTAGCTCTTCAAATACAAATATATATACCCAAATACAAAAATTAATCTTGTTTCAATATTAATATAATAATTGTTGTTTGGAAACAAATTTGTAATTAACTCCGTATTTTTTTACCAATGTCAAATATGAGAATATGTAAAAACTTTCCACTCACCGTACAAAAACAAAGAGGCTACCAGCAATGCCAAATGCATGTAAATCTTCTCATAAACACACATGTATGAACTGAGAGTATATTGCAGAAAAAATCCCAGCATTATCCAAAGATTCCATGCGGTGAAGGCAATATCTTTCCTCTCAGGAAAATATTCTCCATACCGAACTATTAAACAAAATTTCATTTAGATTTAGAAGGATTTAATTAGAGTGATCAGTTTAAGAAAAGTTCATATGTGTATATTAAAACTTAACAAAATACCATGCCTTTGACCCACATTTGTGATGCCTAATAGACGAAATCTGTTTTTAAATAGATGGACGAAAGAACTATATTGAATTCTCGTTGTGTAAAAAAGTGAATGTGTAAAATATATGTATTCGCAACCGATAATACCCCTAAGGTTATTCCTGAAGTATGCGTACCAAGATGGCGGACACCGGAACGTAGTATGTGTACCAGGTTAGGGTCAGGCCATAATTTCAGATACAAATACTACGGGAGTCACTTGGCTAGTCCCCGAACTCGTAATAGAACTAAAATAAGGAAAATTGAAATAAAATTCTGGCCTAACCCTAACCTGGTACACATACTACGTTCCGGTGTCCGCCATCTTGGTACGCATACTTCAGGAGCACCCACTTAAGTGCTATGGAAAAGTTAGATAAGGAAGCAGATACAATAGCTTTGAAGTAAATTTTATAACTTGTTTAAACCCGTTCACTGTAACCCGCATTTGTAAATAAAGCCTCATACATTTTTTTTATCGCATAAACTTTTCTATCCATAAAATATGGATAAAATAGTTGTAAAATATACAACTAACCCCACGCGAAGCTTCAAAGCAAATAATTATATTTTATATCTATACTCACAATTTAATAATGTTTGCCAAATCCCATCAGCACAACCAAACCCGAAGAAAAATAAATATATGACCCAGGAGTTTTCTGTATTCGGTTCCCATGTAAGACAAAAACTATAGTTCAGTGTGTCGATTATGAATGCAATAACCATTGGAAAATTTCTCCAGATTCCAGCAGTTGGGGTTTTTGCTACAATAAATGAGAATATGATATCACCGATTCCATAAACGATCATACCGATTCCGACCTGCAAAATTGAAGAAAAAATCATACTCTTGGGATTTTGCCTACAAGTGACGGAGAGCAAGATTTTGTATCCCTTATTAAATAGGCATATGTGATACAGGAATCTAATTGGCGAATCAGGTGCAAAATGGCTAATTATCGAGTGTTATATAGTATACCATAAGCCAACTGAGTTTTACATAATAAATATACATCACGAAATGAGCAACATAGCGAGATAATGAGTTTCATAATCACCTATATACTGGGTATTCGCATCGATATACTGGTAAAAATGATAGGATGTGCGTACCGGCTCATTCACTGTACAAAAATATAGAGTCCACGTATATTAGTTATAACGCTCGTGTACCTGAGGCAGCCCTAAAACGCATGACGCGTAAGCTCTTGTTAGTTCCGAAGCGGCAAAAGCCATCACCATACCGTCATAAAATGTGAGGCCCGCAACAAGTAATTGCTGTACGCTTATGATATGCAGAAAAGTTGCTTTTATCGTTCGTTTCAAGAAGTGAACAGTGCTCTCCTGAAAATATAAGTTGAGCAGATGATACAAACTTCATAATTATAACTTTAATACTATCTTTGTAATAAACTTGGGTATTCAATCATTATTGTTGAAGATATGTATTTACATTTTTAAAATAGATATAGAATATTACATTCCAGGTGTAATTATTACAATTTTTTACTTCATTTATTAAGATTTTTGTGGGATGTACAAACATTTACAATTAAAATCTATATCTAGCAATATCACGAGAATAGATTAAATTCGATTTGATTCGAGAAAAAAAAATAACCTATGGAAATATTAAAATTTCCAGTGTCTATTTTAAATTTATAAAACATTTCGCGCGGCTCAGATTCGTTTTCGGGAACACCAATGCTGTTGACGTCATCGAATTGTGACGTCACCACATTCGCATCATACAATTACAAGTGAATGTTGTACCGTACTTCATTTTCTGAAATCCTCGATATAGCTTCTGAAGTAACAGACATTTGATCAACATTTGTGGTTTCATCATCTCTCTCTTTGTCATATGCATTGTTAACCACACCGCCATTTTCAGATTTCGCTTCATCCTTTGTATCAGAATCTAATTTTCTATTGTTATTGTGGTTATTGCTGCTGCTATAATCTCTCTTTGTGGGCATCTCAACACTTGGTGATATTGTTGGCAAAAAAATCGATTTCACAATTATTGATAAAACTATGAGCAGTGATAATATTCCAATTAATATGTATAATGATCGCTGCGTCGGTGGGACGTATTGTTCCAAGTTTTGAGCAGTTATATTGGGGTCTTGGCAATCATTAGCCCCACATACTGATAAATCTCTTTCCCAGACGGTCGTAGTGGTTTGATATGAGTCTGTAACGCCCGTATTTTCGGTTTTAGACGATTCTTGTTGCTGCTTTTGAGATTGTTGGAACGTGATTGTTGTAAATGTGTTTCCAATCACCTGTAGGCAAAGCAAACGCCATGATGTACAATGTCCATAAAGTTATGTCGTGATGTTAATTCCGTAACCATTGTAACATAAAATTGAACAGAATACTAAAATTTGTGTATTTTGCAATATTAAAAAAGCAAATAACACAAAACGTGATGCTTTATTACTACTACTTTATTAGCACGTTTAAATTCTATCCGTGAGTCATTCCCCGAAGCATTTACTCATAAAAGTACTGATAACTGATAAAAACGGTAAACATTTCGTTGAATTGATATTCTTCCGCCTATTTCTATTTTTATTTGAATACTACTTGACTGCGTGGAAAATGATGAATTTTGGAGGGACTTTATGGATCCCTGCATGTTTTAATATTATATTATAAAATACCAATGACAATTGGGTATAATAATACCCAATTCAACCTTATTTACAGCAATGCAACTAAAATGCAATTAAATGAATGACAAACTATCAAACTACCTCATTGTTTACCTGATTAAACTGGAAGACTCCGAAAAATTTTGCCGTATAGGACTGAACATAGAAGTCAGGGATTCTGTTCGCGTGACTCCAATGTTCTAATCCAAAGAAAACACTAAATAATGACGTACAAGGCCACATTGTAGCAGAAGCGATCCCAGCAAAAACACCTCCAGGTATCAGTGTATACAGTGCTGAAAGAAATGATTCATTTTGTTTGTCAATGTAATTTCAATAGGTTTTGATGAAAATATTCGGACATCCGAACTAGTATTTTTGTAACCAATCATTTAAAGCATGCATAGGAATGTTTTTAGCATGAAAAAATGGAATGTTTTCGCTCTCTATATTCTTACTGAGAGGTTGTGTTCTAGTCTTTAGAATTAGACTGCCCAGTGGCCAATCCTGAGGTTTTTTTCGTGCGAAACCAGAACATTTACATTGTTTTTTTTTTTGTATACTTTTTTTTTGAAAAAATAGAAGAACAAAAAACACGTTGAAGAGCGTCAGTCGCGGTAAATGAGACACATATATAGGGTGTTGAAAGCCAATTAGACTATGACATGAAGGCTAAGATTTATACTTACATGGATAAGCGTTGAGAGCGACGTAAAAAAGAAAACAAACATCACTGACAATAAGTGCAATTTTTGGTTTCAGAACCCGTAGCAAAACCGGAGTAACTAGCAACGCACAAATGATTCCTGATCCGAATGTAGTCATCGCTGTTTTGTTTCCTATAAATATATATATTTTTAATAAAAGTTTAACATCTGTGAGTAATACATGACTCAATTTTAAAAACCAAACATTTGGATAACTGTTGAATTCGTTGTACTTTGTATGTGAACAATTATGGGCATTATTGCTGTAAGTGATGATATATTTAAGAACATTAGGGTTGAAATTCTGAGGGGAAAATGCCGAAACGATCTGTGTCATTTTTTATCTTTCATGTTGGCGGGTCCTTATCTGCAACAAATTTAGGACTGATTAAGATGTTAGTCATTCATTAAGAGCTACGTGTGGATTCAATGCCAATGGGCAATACCAATAACAAAGTACTCAAATGTGAATTCATTTGGTTTATGTCGCTGAATCGATATTAATTGATAAATAATCACAACCTAATGAGGAGGAAATTAATTAATATTGAAATTCGATTTGATTTGCAAAATCTATTGATTTGTTTATCACACTTTTTCCCTTTAATAAAACGATTCGGTTTCGAAAAAGTATGTAAATACATTACTCAATTTGCCACATTGGAAATTTGGTATATTTTAAACTTTAAATTTTATAGATGTTTTCTGTCATCCTAGTATATATATGGAAGGACAATAAACAGAGCAGTACATGTGCAGTATAAACATAATGATTTAGTCTTACCTAAACCATCCTCTATGTTAATACTAGATTGCAGAGCATTAACCGTCACGAAAGATCCAAAGGTGACAAAAACTGATACAGCAAAAATATAGAATTTGATCCGAATCTTTTTCAGTTGATAATGCTTTGTTTCTTTTGATTCAGCCATGTTTTATTTAATTTTATATTATGTAAAAATATATCTATGAAAAATATTGAATATTAGTCGACACATTGAATCTTGACAAGTTCGATTAAAATCACATTGGTTAGATAAACGAAGCGCGTTCTACAAATACTACGAGAGTGCCTCATTGTTTTGCGTATTGTTGAACAAATAGTATGAGGCAATTCTGAATATTTCTGTTTCTTGAACTAGTTTTGTTTTAACTCCAACTCTTCCGATTTCAAACTTCGTTTTGTGTAAAGCCCCTTTTGACAGTTTGTATATAAAATCAGATTCGTGGTTTTTGAATAACGGTATAAAATCTGCCAATTCGTAATGAAAAGCAGATAGAACGCCACTCTACTCAGAAAATGTATCGCTCAATCATTTGAGTGCCATTTTTTACATGGGCGCAAATGAAAAATTAAGAAAATAGTTACATCCAGAGCTATCCTCAGCTGCATATTGTGCCTCAACTAAAATAGTGCACTGACTCTTATTCACTCAACCTCTTGCATTTAAATAAGTAGGCGGGAGCGCTTCCTTCTCATATTATAGTGTTTTCATAAAACCAAATACCATTTACGAGAACAATGAAATATAGTGTAAATATATTCCTGATATAATAAATTTAATGAGTCATAGGTAATTGAACTATAACATATTTTTATTTCACATCCCGTCTTGGCATCAGAATGTATGTATGTAATTCCCGCCATCAATTTTGCGTGACACGCGCCTATCTTTTATTTCGTACATATGATGCATTCGTTCCAAAACAACTACTTGCATAGTTACTGGTGTTAGAGATTGTCCCGTGTGAAATACAGCGTATCATGTCGGCCTACCTGACATGGATCATGGCATGCTAAATAATAACAATAGTTACTGGGAACGGCATGTACTTTTTGCTGCTCAAATTATATTATATTTCCCTTTGCTATAAACTTATCGACTTCATAGAGTGTATATATATATATATAGTTCTACACGTGAAAAATAAAACAACTCTTACGCACGAATGGCCCGATACATTTTCCTTACCAGCATTCGATTCTAAATAATCCTGTGGTCGAAAAACTATGAACCAGTATAGCAACTGTACCCTCCATTATTATAACTCAAATCGTTATCATTGTCAATTATCCATATCATATGATATATTTTGAAGCAATGAACACGCAGTAAAACATTTGTGCTCCACGCCTCCGTTAAGCAGGCTAACCGTCCACCCGTTCAAACCATTTCTATTACAAATATTGCTTAACAGCAAACCTCGACTTTCATAAGGTATTTCTAATCCTGTATTGTATAGAATTTTCATGATGATCCTGCTTCCGCGACACAAAGCTTCCTATTATCAGCTGGCTTACTAGCACCAGTAATCACCGATGTGACCGAGTGCAAACCAACACCTGAGTTGAACGATCGTAACTGCGACTTTGTGTATTGTCGCTCCAGAATAATTAACCGTATCTGGCAATACACAAGGTGTATGTGATATTGAGCTATTTCTGATCAGTCCTACTTATATAGTGTGGCGGTATAGGGTTAATACGATTATGTCAAATATTTGCATTGTATGATAAATTTGTGGATGACGTCTACCCTGCGACGCAACGCTCTCAGGTAATATTAGATATTATGGGCACAATACTCAAGCCCAGTTAGGACATGGTACATAATAATATTTTTCTTCCTAAAACCCTGAAACCAAACTCTAAGTTAGGCCCTTCATCATTGTTGTAAATCATTTGCAAAATATATCTCTTTTATATCTACATGATGTTTTTGCTTGTGTCACTAGGTGTGGATATTGCACCTTGTTGGACACGGAGTTACTATAGATCGCTGTGCAAATTTGTTGTGGTTGACGTGATAAAATCGTGTTTTTTTTTCTGTAAGTAATGGAACACTCTTTTCAAGTTTCCAGTATTTATGATTACTTTTGTGTTTTCAATTCTCTCGTGCCTCACGTGGCTAGATATTTCACATTCCTGAACACACCTCCATATGACATTCGGTACAATTCTATTAAAATTCTGCTGATTGTTGTTGACATTGCGATGGCCATATTATTCATTAACCCTCCTTGTCCATATATATAAGCATTGCTCTCTTGTATATCCACATCCACTTGTATTCGTACAAATAGTGCGAACGGATCATTTGCACCTTCTGATTTGATAATAGAATGAACAAATTTACAGTGAAAAACCAGCTGTTACGATTGGAAGTGAGTAGGTGCTTTTCACCATGTTAGCGTTTATAACACCACTAATGCACATGTAAATAACTAAAATTTATAATTTCTACACATGAATTGCAAGAAGAGGCAGCAAATTATCATTCAGAAAAGATACTCAAATGTCACTCACGGTAAGACACTTAGCTAAGGTGCGTTGTCCACTATTGCCTGGATAAATATTTCATCTAATTTTTGGCCTCATGCTCGCTTGTTAACGTTCATGATCAGCAAATTTCTTGTATTTCAGCATAGTATAAACTCCGGGGACAGTACAACGGATTACCATTCTGTACTATTTGCAAAGATATCAAACTGGGTGGCGGAGGAACATGAGACCAATTTGAAACACGCACAATCCTGCATTGAACGCCCATTTTGAGCACGAAAATTTTGAGGAACAGCTTAAAATTTCTGACTCACAGTCGTGCAATTTTATGGTTATGGTTTCATTTTTATGGTTTCTGAACAAGCAATATTTTGGAGCGCGTTTGGGGGCAGTTACCGTGTTTCTACTCATACAGGGAAAGTCAAAACGTCTTATGGAAAACTACCGCCAAGGGTAATGTACTTATAGTATATACCAGGACTACTCAACTGGCGGACCGCGATCCGAAAGCGGACCTTTTTGAGTATTTGATTCGGACCGCACCTAATTCTTTATTTTGCATCATTGGCCCCACTTTGGATATGTGAAGGTTTCCTTTTATTAGATGTCTTTTGTAAATTTAAAGGTTATTTTATATTTTGCATAAATTTGCATTTGACTATATATATATATATATGAAAAGAAATGTAACGCCATAATAAACAATGCAAATAGTGCTATGTTGATTCGCGAATTATCGGACCCCAGTAATTTTGATGTTTTGTATACGGATCTTTGGTAAAATTAGTTGAGTATTTCTGGTATATACAACACACAACACTATTTTTGACGCTTTCAACTGAAAGACCCCTAACTTTTCGCGTCGGCCGTACAATGTAGGTTCTCCCCACGTACTCAATAATTTCATATATACTACCTGTGTATAACAAGTCAGTTCTTAAATTTTTGAATCCAAAAGTTGCATCTGCCATGTTTTATTTATATCACATTCATTTCAGTCATATTATACTTTCAACAATCCCAACATGAATTGAGGTAATCATTTAAATGAGTTTAATTACCAGATGCCACGGAAGCGCGTCAGGTCGAAAGACACATATAGGCGAGAACGATAACATCACGCGTCTCTGCGCAACCTAACAGCGGCTATTTTCCCCCAGTGAGTAATCGTATAGGTCACGTTTCCTATTTGAACAAGTGAATGAATAAACTTACAAAAATGTTTTTTACATACAACTTCTATTGCAATATCAGTGAAAAATTATGTAAATCTACATTTTCAACAAACAAACAGTCAAAATTAAGGAGTCAGATCTGCAAAGTGAAGTGCTTTGACTTCAATTCTCAAATAAGATTACAGAAAGAAGCATAATAAAATTATGTTTACATCAAAGTTTATTCTCTTAATACGACGAGAAAAAGAGGGGAAACATTTTGCTATAGTTTCATTGAAAAATATTTAAAAAAGGCAGCAGATTGTTATAATTTCTTTTAATTCATTAGAATATTAAATTGATATAACGCTCGCCATAAAGTGCAAATGAACGCCCTAATGTTGCGCTGGCCGTATGAAATTTAATGAAGTATTCAAGTAGATACAATGGTCGCAGTATGAGCATAAATTATTTCGCAATTGTAAAGTATAAGAAAAATTTTACTAGGATCAAAGTTCGGAGAAACATATATTGAAACTGGAAAGAAATAGTAAAGAAATTTAACTATTCGTTACAGTAAATGTTCCATTATTCTCTGTAAACAGTGGATTTATTTAGTAACCTTATCATAGCAGAATCCAAGTAAGTCTACTTTCAAAGTGGATTAATAAGTGGATGCATATTTCATAAAAGTAATAAAAAATTGTTACTGTGGTTAAATACTTTTGTTTTTATGTTTTTTTTTTATAGTCGATATTAGTTGCTATTTTTTTTTATTAAAAGGACAATATTTAGACTACATAATAATATTTAAAAAATACATCGTTTCTTAAGTGCCTGAATCATTTTAAAAACAGTATTACAACAAGAAAACTCAAATGAATGGAACTGCTGAAAAAGTATGGTATTGCAGAATATTCATATTAGGTGATATACCGACAGTTTGTTCCGCCAAGTATTAAAGCACAATGACCAAATTACATTTTATTTACCTATAGCCATTTGCATTATTCTCATTTAAATTTGAAATGCATATTATTTATTCATATATACAGTATAATAATAAGCTCCCATCATTATTGAGTAGCGACTCATTTACCAAACAGAATTTCCTGGTTTAACTCGAGTTCGTTCTACCGGGATTAAATATAAATTGCCATTTTACATGACATGTTGAAAATATAGGTTAAAAAGAGTCAGTTTCCTTTCAAATATATATAAAAAATAATAACAAATACAAAACATGTTTCCCCCTGTTTGTGGTCGTGATAAACGTGCTTTGACGCGAGTTCACAAATACCACGAAGAAAATAAAAATGGAGAAGTTCATAACAGCAAAAACTATTTCAACACTTTAGATTATGTTTTTGAAACATTAGTATCTAGATATTTATTTCTGTTTCTAACCTCGTAGTTGAACATCTGTATATTGTAGAAAGAATCGTTACCTGTATTTATTGTTACAGTAGCTTTAGAGTGAAGACATTCTGAATATTTGTGCCACGGCGAAACGTTGGTCAGGGAGGATCTAGTATGTTAATAGTACATTTTGAGAATAACTGCATTTTTCCGGGAACGATTGTAAAACATATTACCACATTAATCTCATATGTTGAAAGCCTACAGCCCTCTCTTCTTACACCTAAATCTTTTGGTATAGAGATGTGGAGAAATGAAATCTTTAACCTTTCGAGGAAGAAGGTCAAATTCTTTTAAGAGAATCAGAAAAAATGAAAAATATTTTAAAATAAATAAGGAGTATTAGAAATGGTGTGTTTATATATATAAATATATTGCAAGAAAAACGATTTTTTTTTATCTATTACAGCCTTATGTATTTATTTATTTCTTGATGCATATTGCAATGTACACTAATATGCATTCTTTCAAGTTTTCAAACAACAAAATAGATAAACTTTCAGCCATGTGACAACTGTATATCTCGTTTTGGTAAGGATAGGGGCAAATTAATCCAAGGATAATAAGACATTTTCCGGCTTCATATATCTTCCTTTGCATTCCCGTTAGGAATATTGAATGGCGCTTCTGAATACAAATTTTCCCCTACGTTTGTCGACATGGTGCCTTGAGCTGTGCTTATAGCTGAGGCATCACTGGTCATCCTTCTCTTGGATGAAAACTCTAAGGAGACAGAGTATTTCTTTTGCACGTTCATAATAGATTTCCTGACTTCCTTTCCGATAATGCAGTAAACAACGAAGAGGAAAACGCCCTGTAGACCGTTGATGATTGCGTTCAGATACATGAAAACAATGCCGGTTTCGTCGCTCTCGATGCCTAAAATAAAACTGACATTTAAAAAAGGATTCAAATGTTCATAATTATCTATAATTTGTGTGTCGCATGTATAATTATTTTTTTTAGATTGTCCCTTCAAAATGAATCTAAACTTACTCCAGCCTATGGAGTAAGATTTAATGCTCCTAACGCGTGTCACATCTTCACTTCGAAAAATCGGCCATAGGGAAATTCTAAAATAATGGAAAAATATGGGCCAAACTCTTTTTGGTCACATACGGACATCCCAATTTAGGGTTTCTTCCGAATTGACTCATTCGGAATTATTATTCGAGTACTGGGGTGGTGTCATTTTAAAAACGAGAGAACACATTCACGCTTCACTTAATTCTCTCGTTATAGAAAGAAAAATCTCACTGAGAAAAGATTCATCGTGGTTATCGAAAAGTTTTTTACCTGTGAAAAAGCCAAGAAGCCATGGAATGCCTAGTACAGGCAATAGGACGACAATTGCCTTTAGAGCTGCTTTAACATGTTCCAAATCCACTACGTCAGATTCGCTGCTGTGCCTTTGCAGGTTGGTTGGTTTGTAATTTTCACTCTCAACACTCATTTTGTAGACAATGTAAAACATTCTGATCACGATCAATACGCAGCACAAGAGAATTACAGCAATAGGAATGACAGCTGCTCCAAGTAGAATATTTTCCTCGTCGGACAGCCAGCAATGCTTATATTTTGGGCCTTGTCCATCTTTTTTCCACAGTTCGTTCAAAGGCATGTATACACCGTTAGCGAAACCGTAAGCCAGAGAAATAATAACGATCACAAACGGAACTGAAAAGCTGATCACATAACGAGAGATCGCAAACTTTTTCGCATTTTTCCCACTGAGTAAACGCATTACACTGTCCATGGTCTTAAACAATAGAGTGATTCCTTCCATCAGCATCCACATCGCTAAAATATGAAAGGCACGGTAAAATATGAAAGATTCTGTGAATCTAACTATGGTTGCCAGATAACCTAGTTTAGGTTACGCTCGCGAATATGAGAATATTCACAAGAAGCTAACTAAGCAAGGTTTCGGAGGAATGGAAGTGGAAAGAGGATTAGCGCGCGAAACGAACATTGCACTTTTGTACTGTTGATCTTGGAAAGAGTTAAAATAATTACCTGAGCACAAGAAAAAGTAATGCATCAATACAGTCACCATTTCACAAGCCGTATCATTGAGCAAAGCAAGGTCGTGGAAAACATTGAGAATGTGTAACACCAGTAAAGAAAACGTCACGCATATTTGAACTTTGACCCTGTCTCCTCTCACATGATTGCGTACTTTCATTAGCAGGATGGCAGTGATTATCAAGAATATGATGGAAGCAATTTCGGTAATATATGACACGATCTAAAACAAAATATTGCAATTAAAGCTTCAAGTGAGTCACTGAAGAAAAAGGCCAGTAAATATCGATTCGCAACTTTTGAAGATGCGCCATCGAGAAGCCGACCCACCTTCGTTTTACATAATCATGAAAATTGACTTCAGTTATGCAGTTTCTAAAAAAATTTATTTTTGAGTAAACACTTTAACTTTAACACTTTACCTTTACTCCTGATGGAACTACCACTACGTTTGCAGACATGAGAACTGCAAACACAGTGGTATGGTCACAACGACATGACACTCCTTTTCCAGATACATCTCCAACTGTCTGACAACCCTCTTCAGACATTGCTTCTGTTTCTTCGTCGTAAAACGCACAGACACCCCTTAGAGATGTGAGTATTGATCGTCCAATCGTATTTGTTGAGCCTTCGTCGTCAACGTTTTTTCGAATTTCATTATAATCTCCTGCCGAGGTATCTACTGTAAATTTCACTACCTGAACTTGCAATTTCTTGTTGTCACTCCCCTCGAAAGCTGCGATTAACAACACCTTATTCCCAAAAACCACTCGTTTGGTCTTTCTTACTCCTCCTGAATCGTTGTCAACCATGGTTTGAGAAAGTCCAGACAAGTCGGTGTTTTTTTCCAAAGTTTTTTCAGTTATAACGACCTTCGCATTAGCAATGTCTTTGCCAAAAGTTAAACTTTTAACGACAGTTGCACCTTTCGGTGATTTATACGCAGGTTTCTGTAACAAGTACATTGTGACGTATAAGAATTGTTCGTTAAATATTTAATTAAAACTGAAACCTTGAAGAGTGACATTGAAAATCTGGAGGCAAAGCTCATCAAACTCAATTTCTTGTTGGTTAGATTCATTTCACTTTTTATTCAGAGAGGTTGTATATGTGCACTTTTACTCTTTTTGAGAGGCAATTGACTTATCAATCAAAACTCATTTAATCAGTAAATAGGGGTCAGGGGTGGAATATGAGCAGACAGGAATTTGTAGTTTTGATTCAACTCAAAATACTGACAGTGATTTGATATATAATTATTTAAAAATCTGAAGAAGCTCGGTACATTTTTTTATTGATATTTATTTATTGGACCATTGAAACAGTACAAAGGAATTACCTCTTCAGAGCCAACAGCCGGTCCCGTTACATTATTAACCACAAATATCAAGTTATTCTCGTCCGTCAAATTACTTTGATTCTGCTGTGCGCTGTTTTGTTCTATATTTGTCATAACTTCTTTCACAGGTTTTTCTGAAAAATTAAAAGTCTTCGAGTCGCCAATGCACTGTGTCATGCTAGTTATTATCACAAAGGACTTGAATCAGTCAGCGTCAAAACGGTCGGGAAAACAGCTGTGATGTGGTGACCACATAACTGAAGGATAAAACTTTGGACGTAGAACTTTTAGTGAGCCTCCAGTTTATTTTAACATACATGGAACATATGCATTTTAGATATATATTTTGCAACAGGCTAGTAGGTAGCAATGGCAGAAAGAAAAACCCTATTCCGAATGGCTGCGGAGATTAGAGAGACACCATTGAGTTCAATTGATTGTTTGCACCTTGAGCTGTAACAACGAGTTTAGGCCAATGTATATGGGAGAACAACTCAGCAAAATAGAAACCTGACGAGATATAACATTAAACTGAAATTGCACAAAAAATAAAATTCATTTCTAGTTATTTCTCATAAATCTTTGAATAAGATTTAATATAGATCATTTTACACACACACTTCAGCCTGTAATATTACTTTTATAGAAATCCTATTTGAACCAGGAAATCAGATGAACGCTGGTCTAAAATAGCTTTAGTTTGAATATCAGAATGTCGCATAAAAGTTAAAACTGTAAGCCAATCCTCGCATGACGCGTTAAAACGAATGAAAAATTGTCTTTTCAACGTAGCCACAGACTCTGGTCAGATCTTTTACCTTGATAAATCTATTTTTAGGATGTTCAAGTAACTGATTATAGTTAACTGTAAATATTGAAACAACAAGGTGCCAAACAAATTACTAATATGCAAAAACAACTTGAAAGTAGTAATCTGACTTTTATTTGACTACAAGAGACAAACGTTTGTGATTTCATACAAATTAGCCGTACATGGTTCCACAGCGCAAATATGCTGTGTCATTATATAATTAAAAAATAATAGATACATCAATGATAACTAATCCTAATGAATCATAAATAATTATGATTTTTCTTTGACTCCTTTAACACGTATAATTACGGTACGTAGATGATTAAAGCGTAACTAATAATATCTAAAAGCAGGCAAGACTTTTTATTGCGTTTAAAATGTACGTCAACTATTGAAATCTGGTATTTTATCATATTAGGGGCACGCGCTTGCTCACAATTAAGAAAATAAATGTTTGATTGCGTCTGTTTTACTCAATTGTGTAAACCTTAGGTTAAACAGAATTTGAAAAATAAATAAATGGAATAGTCAAGCCATGGGCCATGTGCGGTCTCCTGCTCTTGGTGAAAGTTTTGAGCATTTCTTACAATTATATGAAAAAAAAAAATATTTATTCTTGAACTTTTTCTGGATATCTTAACTATAAAATGTTAAAATAATATTATTGATTTATTTACATCCTCGTTCAGACATGTCAGCCATATAATAAAATAACTATACAATATGATCTTTCAAAATAATTAAGTGCCTTTCTCAATGCGGCCTTTTGCAAAAATGATTTTCTGAATGTGTCACTTCCCAACAAAATTTTGCCCGTCCATGGGTTAAGCTCACTGTTATGGAATATAGATTGCCAAATCTTATATCACAGTCAAATGTCAACATAATTTGCTATACGATCAAGATGTGAATACGAAATTGAAATGGCTACATTTCATTTCTTATGAAGAATAAATATTTTACGTGTTTCAGCTGTCTTAGTTGTGGTCGTCTTAGTTGTGGTCGTTGATTGTGCTGTAAAAGGATATTTTTTAAATAAAATTAGCAAATGAAAATTCACATTTATATAAAAATTACATAAAGAACATTTTAGGAAAAGCAAGATACGAAATTCGATTTGTGTGGGTTCGAATAAATGAAAAACTTTGAAAAAGGAATCTTTAACTAATTTGTTGAATGATTAGAAACACCTAGTTTAAAATCGTAAACCAACAGCAAAGGTCAGTGTATTTCACAGTAATGAGTTTCTTTTTTGGCTAAGATAATCACCTACAAATTTGGATTGACAAAAATGAAAAAAAAATAGCAATGGAACTTTTGGGATAAAGTAAAGGTGCTCGATCAAGTCCAAACATCTAGGAGTATCAACATTTTTGGCATGAATAATTTAAACTTGTTTTCCTGTTTGTATCTATACCTTCTAAGCAATCGATCTGACAATTTATAACGCAATTAATTTTGACATACTTGGTGAGATGCTTTCGGTTGTTGTTGTTGTCGGTTCTGTCACGGGGATGACAGTGGTACTTGCGGTTTCCGTTTTTTCACAATTTCGACTTGTATCTGGAAGAGACGAAACTCAATTATCTTTTGGGAAAGTTTTTTTTTTTTTTTTGGAAGCTAATTTGAATCAATTTTATTGTGCATTTTCTATGGACATTTGAGCCTTATGCTAGAAACAACTGCGTTTAGTTTTCTACAAATTATATAAATGTAATTTTACTACAATGGAATAGTTTGAAATGTTTTTTCCATCACATTTGAATGACATATTTTCTAAAGTTCAGCACGAAAGGCTTTCTATTTCTTATAATAATAATAATAAAAAATATAAAACAATAATTGTCCAGTTACAGGTAACCAGGGTACCTGAATTTATGAAGCTAAAAGTACTGTGAAATTAATTTTGGCCTAGAATTAATAACAATGTTTTTAATGTAAAACGTTAGTATAAATTCAACAAAACATTGTAAGTAATTACAATTAAAGAATTTCTGCGACGAAATATTCTGACATTTGTCGCTGGCACTGATGTTCAAGTTAGTGAAATTGTATCGAAATATTCCGGATAGGTTACAACCACATTCACCTGTAAATATCAAGGAGAGAGAGTTGCAAAGAAAAAGCTTTTTATGTTTTACAAAATATATATGAATTCGGCAAAGGACCAATATCAAACATTTATCAAGCATGTATTTGTATGGTGATTGTGTGTAAAATATCCTCCAAAGCTATACTCTCCGTCAACTTTACTGAAGGTTACATTGCGGATGACAGGGGAGAATGCAACATTATTTTACTTTTCAACGGCACAATAAGCAATTGATATCGCGTACGGAAAATCGGCTTGCTTCATCACGTAGGGCTTTGACTATAAGCAGCTTGCCAAAAAAACGTAGAAATAGATAAACTAATGCTACTCATATAAATTGGCTATAATTGTCATTAAAATTCATTTCAGAAATTATATGGACAAACGCGGTAATGTTTATAAACCTCAAGCATAATCAGTATACATTATTTCCCCATTAATTAAGCGAAAGCATTGTAATTTTTTAAACTCGAAATTGATTTGTTATTGTTAAAACTGAAATTGTTTTTGTATTGCACTTACAACACGAATCGATTTAACTTAGCAGCATTTTAAAAGATAATTCCACTCAGCTTGAAATGGAATAATGGAATCGTTTAATACGTAAAATAAAAACAATTCACTTGCCTGTTGTCGTAGAGATGTTTGTGGTATTTGTGCCTGAACAAAATTAAAAACTTTCATAAAAAAGTAGTAAAGTCATGAAGAGAAAAATTAATTATATATATAATAAATTAAAACAGAAGAAAAAACAAAAACAAATTTAGATAAAAAAATGATTATTCTGTTGTTTTAATTTAAATTATATTGCTCATTGACTACGAAATAAACAATTATACTGTACCGCATCGCATAGATAATTATTTTTAACGTATATTCTCATTTCTGCTCAAACAACGTTGAAAAAAGACAAACACTCTATGTAAGCTACTATGTTCTAACATCTGGACGATTCAAAACTACTTTAAATTTGATCAAAGATACACAAAATTAAATATTCAAGAATATCTTCTGTTATGAAAAAAATCACGACTATGTGTGCAGAAATTTTGTGCGCGTCAATTAGTTGCAAAATGCCGTTGTGGAAAATACCTGTTATACATATATGTATTGTGTAATTTCCATTCTCAAATTGTTCTTCATTTGTGCATTGCATGACGTTATCCAGCGTAGTATTTATCCATTTCTTTACAAGGTCATTCACGCATTTATTAGTCTTGTTACCTGGAAAAGTCATATATAAAATTAAATAAATTTATTGTTATTTCCTTTTGAAAAAGAAAAATAGTAATACAATTTATATTTTAGGCATTATTATTTTAAACACTTTATTATGTATAAATCGCGTAATAAGTATATTTACATAATCCGCAAGCCCCAAGTTGAGAAAGCATGACTTGATTATGCATGGCATTATACAAACGTCACGCCACGTGATTCTTTCACCGTGGATAACGATTGTTATATCATCCAAAATAACGTTTAAATAAACATTTGTTTTCATATAAAAATTTGATGACGTGTGAAACATATTAATTAATTTTGTTATATAAGACTCATGATTCAGAGCTAATAAAAATATACTGACATAACTGCAAAGGTTAAATATAAAATTAAGAATTCAGTTTTTTAAATAAAACAGACTTGATTTTCAACACAATCTTCAGCATACCATGACCTAGTTAGGCACACAACTTCACGGCCAAGTCCATGCCTGTGAAACAGATAATACGGGTAAACTAATCTCATACTGAACATGGACTGGTAACCAGACGAGAGGCCGTGCTACACCATATGATTAAGCCGTCTTATCGGCTTTCTTCTCTCTCGGGATAAACATGAAAATCGTATCCGATGTATGTTACAAAAATAAAATAATTTAATTCAAACTTTTATATATAATAGTGCTCTTATGGCCCGAGTTCAAAATCGTAACAGACGATGCAACAATTATATATGGTCCGCGTTCGCAAATCTTTTATAATTTTTCTGATTTTAGTTATGGGCATGTAAACAAGGTATAAGCAGTCGAATCTAATAATAAAACAAGATAACGATGCTCTCATAAAAGGACACGGAGTACTTCCGTACCTATCGGTATGAATTAATCAATGATTAATTATAAAAAAAAAAAACTTTCCCCACCCCTGGGTTGAGCTCACTATCAATTGATTATACGATCAAGATGAGAACACATTTTGAAAAAAGATATAATATTTTACTTGTTTCAGCTGTCGTAAATGGTCTTGCTGTTGATTTTGCTGTAAACGGATATATTTAAAATAAAATTAGCAAATGAAAATTCACATTTTATATAAAAATTGCATAAAGAACATTTTTGGAAAAACAAGATACGAAATTCAATTTTTGTAGGTTCGAATATATGAAAAACTTTAAAAAAGAATCTACATCTAATTTGTTAGATGATTAGAAAACATCTGGAATTGCCTTGAAATTTAAAATTGTGCCCCCAACAGCAAATGTAAGTGTATATTAGAGTGATGATTACTTTTTTTGGCTGAGATAATGACTTACAAATTGAGGTCGACAATCGTAACAGACCATGCGACAATTATTGTTTGGAAAATATATAGTTTGATAAGCGCAAATTTTTCTGATTTTAGTTGAGGGAAGGTAAACGAGCTTTAGGCAATCGAATTTAATAATAAAACAAGAGAGTGATGCCAAATAAGAGGACACTTTTCGTACCGTACCTATCGATTCCAATTAATCAATGAATTTTTAATAACAACAAGAAGAACAACAACAACATAATATCAAAGCGATCCATAGGTCCATTTCATGTTCAACATAAGTCGGGATAAAAATGGAATGTCTACCAAATCAAAATACTTGCGCATGTCTTGGATCAAAGATTTTCCCGATAAGAAGTTACACTGATGAATCTTTGAGGTTTTGACTTTTTCGAAGTATTTTTGCTTATAATGAAAGATTATTTTGAAAGTTGACGTCCAAAAAAATATAAATGAAAATTGATTAAAAATCTCAATATATCTAATACACCCTGACTTTCTAAAAGAAAAAAGTCTATATTCTCAATGAAAATTAGAAAAATAAGTTGTACTAACCAGATTTCCCGTTTGTTTGCGTCGATGAGGCGACAACAAGCACAGATGCTGCTACAATGATTGTCCTCCACATCGTTAACAATATCACGAAGCAATTTTCTTTGAACAACTTTAGTATATTACTATATATATGTGTATACGTTACTACTCATAACCTGTATTAAAAATTGAGGTTCTAATAGTCAGCACTTATTTATTGGTAGTTCGAGATTCGATCTTTATTAACATACTTCATTTAAAATATGGGGAAATTTAGTAATATGAAAACCTAATCTTGCTATCTTGCTGAGACTTGAAATGGACTCGCTAATGTGCTTCAAAACCATCTCTCGTACTGTTATATGGCAAAGCACCTGTTTCGGGTATGAGAAAAAGGACATGGATTTTTCTGGGCCGGTACAGCTCGCCAAGATACGGGTTAGAGTAGGGTTAGTTGGTAGGTCTCCACAATAAAGAAAATTTTGCGCAATTTCATTTGTGTCCTTTGTTACAGAAAAAGAAGAATTTTCGGCGCTCAAGCAGTATGTGTACCAATATGGAGGAAACTAATTTTTTCGCCTACTTCACATCCAGTTGTGTAAAGGGACGGAAGCCTATGGGCATGAGGTATATTCACTTGGCTGACACAGACGGTCCCCGAACTCGTAATAGAACTAAAATAAGAAAAATGGGAATAAAATTATGGTCTAAACCTAACCTGTTACACATACTACAGGAGTACCGAATTTTCTTGGTTTCAATGTTTTCTATTACGTGCTTCACAGGGCATACGTGTTTACGTTTTACGTGTTTAATTTAGTCTTATAGCACTCGTGCATTGATACGATATTCAAAATGTTGTTCTTCAAGTTTTAAATTGAAAAATCGATGGAAAATTGTTTACAAAACAAGCATTCAAGTGGATATGTTTGAATATACTTCCGAAAATTTTAACAATCAAGTACATGTTTTGGTATACTGTCTCTCTTAAAGTGAAAAGTAACTGACAATAAAAAGACAAACTTTTTACATACTAATTCCCATTCTGCCGATGTCACCAGCCTTTTCTGTTCCAACGACCTATTTCGTTTTTCCTCGTTGTCATTACTGTAATATGCGAGGCTGTGATCTAGCAACTAAATTGTGCGACCAAATCAACTGCGGTAATATTACACAAGCAACGAGGAAGTCATAGAAAATCATATCTAAACGTTATGCAAAGTCTACTCCGCTGAATAAAGCGAACAGAGCACACACGGAAGTTACCATCCAAAACTAGATGACTAACAACAGCGACCCGTTTAGATCGACTGACGCAAACGCACGCATTTGCCTCTACGTGGGCTAAATGATATTTTGTCAATACCCACTCAAATACGCACCATGGTTGAGTCTTGCCTTCAAAACATGGACCATATTACACTCAACTTTGATACAATGACAGGTATTTGTTGCATTACATTGTGCCAATTCTAAAAAACATATGCAAAACAATGGTGTTATCATCGTGGGCGTAGGTGAAATTAACAGTATTTTAACAACAAAGGTATTGTGATACATAATACACAAACTGAAAATGTATATTCAACGTTGTCACGCTGTACTTAATAGCCTTAAACATAATTTTTATTTGCTTTGTTTTCAGCAAGTTTACCACTTCAATATCCAAGACCAATTCCTGCCAAAATGATGTGTATTTTTCAAATTTAAAGTTATTACTAAAGCATAACGCATAAACCATGCTAGACAAGTGCACTCAAATTTCCTTTTAGTTGTATCAATTCAAACTATTGTTATTCACAATAAACCAGGAAACTTGTGAAATTCCCGATTGAGAAGGATAACAATAACTACTAGAGCAACGCCCCTCCAAAGAAAAAGCACAGATGTTCAAAACTTATAGGCAGAATGATTGTAACCTGTTAAGTATACAATCTGTATAATATTTCGTTTCTAGGGTTCTTTTATGGCTATATTTCGTTAATTAAGGAATAAAGGAATATCTTACGATGACGTAAGTATTCCTCTATGACAAAACAATAACATGATTATCGCTGCATATGATTAAGTATACTATACTGATGACAACATAGCCGTACAGGTATTGTGTCAGTAAGTCGAAATACTTCATACAGTAGAATTGAATGGAGGGGAGTTGATCCATATCACGATGCGTGATTTCGTGTTGCTTCGTCTCCTAGGAACTTCAAATGAACCAAACTGTTAAATTCTACTATCTACCTAAGGTGGCATTGAATTAACTGACATTGGACAATCGTTAACTTCATTGTTCCATTAGCTGTGGAGGGAACTTCGGTGATTTTCCTCAATTCGCTCAGCGATCAACTCCTTTACTTTATAATGAGTGCGCATGCAACTTGAATTGGATCAACCCACAGTAAAAATAATTTGATAAGAGACCGAAAGTGGGCTAAGCATAAATAAGACAGTATCCACTAATGGCTAGTCTAATAATAAAAAATGATAATATATCTTTTGAAGTTTATTTAAAGTTTTCTTTTGAAGTTTCTTTCATTGTGAAAGTAATCCTACATCGCCATTTTGAAGTAATTTTACGCCACATCGCACTTATTCAACTACTTGTTTTCTTCATAATAATACATCACTATTAGCCAATCTCGGAAATTTTATTGGACACAAAATGGTTACACTGTTATATTTAATTCATGGTATCACTTTATATATATGACTTCGTTCGCACATCATCATAATGGAACATTTCTTTCAACATTTGGCTGGAGGTTTTTTGACATTGCGTAATCATTTGACCTCCATGGGTATGTATATGTCTCTTGTTTCGTATACAAGGTGATTTGCAATAGCGAACACATCAATTTATTCTCGCTCAATAGGCAAGGATGACGTATCCAAACCTTTGAGTTTGCCATGTCCAAACTACATAAAAAGGCCTTTAAACATAAAATGTACTAGCGACAAGTATACCTGCACATACGTATGGCGTGTTCAAGATAAGATAATTTAACATAATTGATTACATACAAACACAAAAGTGTGTAATCTTTTAGATGAGATTGTTTTAGCCATTTGAATATCCAATTTTTACGTTATTCCTATCATTAAAAATGCTACTAACACGCCTGGGAGGTCTCGTGAACTCAGTTTAGAATCTACTGATCTACTGATAGTCCAAGAAAAATGGATTCCGCAACATAGTACACGATCCTAATATTGAATATTTGGTAATTTTGGTACCCAACTCATCGAAATTTGAGATCATTTCCAGTCGAGCAGATTCGAAACTCATTTATTCACTGAAATGAACGTACAAAAATTACGTAATGCTATGCCCCCAATCTATTTTCGGAATTCATAAACGACGTGACGTTAATTCGTAGAACACGCGCACAAAAGACGGAAGTACACGTTACTCAAATAAGCGCATGTAACACGAAGATCTTCCAAGCCCGATTCTGTGTATAGTATTATGATTACGTACATTTCATGCTTGGTTGTTTCTACGGTATGAATATATGAAATACTCAATAAAAAAGCAGTGTACGGATTTGGTTAGTATACGATGAATCAATACATCGGCTTGTGCTAAATACAAAAACTATGATTTATTGTGATTCATGAACTTCAGGCGCATGGTCAAGCTTATTTATTTTATGTCTATGTAGTATTTACGTCACCATGAAATTTGCAACGTTTGATACACTTAGCTCGAACGAAATCTAAGTGTTCATAGTTACCAATGCTCTTCGACGTGGAGACGCTCTGCAATATTTTAAAGAAACAGACAAGCCCATGCTAAACACGCTGCCTCCGTTTTTAGACACGTTTAGTGGACATAACGATCGTTTCAATATTACGTTGTTATTGGACACGTTTAGTGGCCATAACGATCGTTTCAAAATGTTGTGGTTATTGTTATTTTCTTTCGTCATTATCATTAAAAAATTGCTTTTCTCTTCGAATACTGGACCAATTGCTTTGAAATTTTCAGTGGTTAAAGATAAAATTTTTCTCCAGAACGCTATTACTTTTTTTTTCGCTATGACGTCATCAAAATTATTGCCAGTGGGTGGCGCTACGTGTCCGTATATTTGAGCATAGCTCTCTTGTTCAATAAATGATCACCACCAATAACATTGGAGGTAAATCTAGTGACCAGATATGCTTGAAGGGTAATTAGTCCAAGAAAAGTTGAGTAAATAGACTACGAATTTAAGATTTAGAACCCTTCTTCGAGTAATGAATCTGGACGCTTCGTAATCTGATTCTGTACTCGAAAGATAAATATTTGCTTTGTTTATTCGATCACGAAAAGCTTATGGTCGCTGACAAAAAATTAAGAGAAATTTGATAATTTTGAAACTTCAACCTCAGCAAGAGTCTTGCGATGTTCTTTAATAAACTATTGCAATTTCTTGCTCGTATTTTTATTACCCGAAAATAAATTTCATTTGATCAGACGATTTTATTACAAAACACTACACAGTACATAATAAAGAAATTAAAGTCGTTGTGAATACTGCTTTAACTGATATGGCTTTCCGTCAATTGAAGCTACACCATTATCTGAATGTGCGGCAAACTCTGCTACTTCACCCAACGGTAACTTTATTTTTGTCATCATTGGAGAAACTTATTAAAACCTTGTTGACAAGTTTGGTGAATATTTTGTCAAATTCTCGCTAGGTAGTGCTAGACCGCTTGATTTTGGTCTACTTGAGTTCGTCTTGTCTGCCCAAGTTTTATTGGTTATGTTCGGACTCGCTCGAGGCGCTTGCTTCGAGTTTATGTTACTTGAGCGCTTCGCGTAAGAATCATTAATGCTTCTGCTCTTCCTTGTCTCTGCCATTCTTTTATATTTAATCGCCAGTGCTTTTCGAACTTCTTTTCCAATCACGCAGTAGACGATGAATAAAAATACTCCCTGTAAGCCATTTAGAATTACGTTTATGTACATAAAGTACACGGAAGAATTCCGCATGTTGACACCTTTGAAAAAAAAATTGCGTTAGTTGTAAAAATTGCTTATGAGATACCTTTTACGCATATTGTACGGATAAAAATGCCGTGATGCGTTGTAAAGGAAGGCACCTTATGAATGGTTCCAAAGTATTCTCCACCGCAGACCCAATAAGTAGCAGCCATTGGTGTATATGAGAAATATATTTTGTATGACATATTCAATACTGACGGTGTAACCCTTGATGGTGTCATGTCAGGATGACGGAGTTGCTTTGTTGAAAAAAATTAAGAATTTTCTGACTGCATTTCGCAGATCTAATGATGAAGATTTAGTCCATGCTCCAACTATACTAAACATTCAAACATTGCTTTGGAATAATAAAATTCAGAATTTATAATTAAGTTTTAAAGTAAGTGATTATTCATCAATGTACTATGTATACCGGTCATTGGTGCCCGCCCACACATATAACAGACACACTCAGGCATTTCCTTCGTTAATCTAGCTGAATAGAATATTGTGACATGTTCGACAGTATGGTATGATATTTTGAAGAATTGAATGTCAAAATGAATACATCCGATGAGTTTAAATATATCAATACAATACTCAATTTAGAAATATTATTTATGGCTTGAGTTTGTATGAATAGTTCAGGAAATTTGCTTCGAATAACGCAGATACTCAATAAGTTACAGTTACTGGAATTTTTCCTAGCCAATACAGCTTGACTAAAAGGGTTTTGAATTTGCACAAACTAAAATATATGGAGCCCGTAACCATGAGCGCAATGCGTTTTTGTATAGTAAAAGCCAATTCAAATGTGCTCCCCTGCAATTTATAAATATTGAGGATGACACAAGTTAAAACAATTTTTCTGAAGACGAAAAAAATTGAATCGTGAAAAAATATAGCTTACTTGTTAGGAAGGCCAACGTCCACGATACGCCAAGCACCGGTAACAAAACCAGAATAGCTTTAAACGTTGCTTTTGCGTGATCAAAATCTGAATAATCTGCAGCAACCTTATAGATGTTAGGTTTGTAATTGTCTCCTTGTGCACTCATTTTGAAAACAAATAATCCCATTCGCACTAATATAGCACAGTTTAATATTATAATGATCGCCATTGGTAATACCACCGACCATAAAACTAATGTTGAGCTCAACCAGCAATAATTGTATTTTTTAACATCTTGAAGATCCCATCGTTCCTCCCTTGCCAGTTTCTCCACAAATAAAGGGCTTTTATGCATGTAGGAGTCTGATAAAAATCCAACAAGTGCTGTAATAAACACAATCAAAAGTGGCAACCCCCAACTGACTACGTGTCTTGCGATAGCGAATCTACGCTGTCTTCCTTCACTTAGGTATTGTAGGACGTAGTCGTGTGTTTTTGCAACGAGAGTGAGGCCTTCCATTAGCATCCACATTCCTAAAAAAGGACAGATACTGAATTTATTCACCTTATCGCTTATTTGCTATTTTGCATTATGCAACATGCAACATTAGTCACTGAAATGAAATGTACTTGGGTGCGATTTGGTATGCGATCTCAGCGCCATAATACTATTTTGGAACGCAATCTCAGTTGATGTGATCTCGATGCGTGATATGTATTAACTCTTACGAAGAAATCCCCGTAGAATTCAGTTCCTAACACCAACCCTGTCAGCGTTGGGTTAGGACTTAGGATTAGGGTAAAATCAAAAAGATCACACCGTTTATGTACAGAATGTTATTTTATACTTAATGCTTGAATAAAGAGTCAATAGAGTTTAGAGCAATTGTATGTAAAATGGTTCGTAAACTGCCTACAATTTTAATTGTCTACTATTTATAACAGAATGAGAGGAAAACTTAGTTATGCGGAATTCACTTCCTCCATTGTATCGACTTGAAATTCTTTAATTAAGTTTTGTGACAATTAGCATTTGGCGACACGTAATGCATCACTACAACTCTGTACAGTTCAGTACATCTTGCCATTTTATCAGTCGCCCATAATTTTGCTCAGAGTGAGTGCGCATCTATATATTTTGAGCAAATTATCCAAACCAAATAACAGGTTTGGTTTGCATTCAAGCTCAATATATCATTTTTATCACAATTCCGAAAGTTGTACCTTTGTGAAATTTATATTGCAAATCAATAAAATCAAAGATTCACTCTGACATAATTTAGAATACGCGGCAACTAACTGTCGACATACAAGAAATCGCGTCGTCTGATAACATTTCACGTTAACTTAATCCATGGCTGAGCCGAGCAAGTTGAATCTCAAGAGGGAAATTTCACTTGGCAAATTCACGAGACATCAATGCAATTTTACGGATGTACTAACAATGCCAAGAACTAAGCACAAACCGTGTGCATGAGAGAAGCAATGAATTACATTACGATTTAGTGTTGCCAGAATCAAAACCCAGACTCAATTTGTGCTGAAAATCGTAATACGAAATTTCAATCTTATAGAACCGATTTTGGACATTCTCGCAACGGCAGCGTTTCTTGTTTTTTTATAGCAAATGAAAACAAATCTCGGGGTAGCGCTAAACAATAGGGCTATAAGACAAAAATGCCCGTATTTATTAATTATGTTGTATTATCTTGGTTATTTTTTGAATTGTATCCCATATTTATTCCTGCATGATGACAATATCTATCTAAATATAAGAATTATCGTCCATCAAATACAAAACACTTGTTTATAGCAGCGTTGATATAACGTAGCCTCACGGGCCCAAAAGTGGCCAAGAAAATAAGCCAAGATTTGATCTTTTGTGTGAGAATATACAAGCATATCAGTCTCATCAAAACTATTGTAAATTTCAATTTTTTTTTAATATTTTCTGTATTATGAAATTTTCTTATTTTTATTTTAGTTCCTGAGACGCGAAAAAATATAAACGTGCGAAGTGGGTCGTGAAATTCTTTAAAAATAATAGCAAATCGTGGGCGCTTATACAGGGTTTTGTTTTGTAATGTAAGAAGTATAAAAATCGTCTCTTCAGCGTTATACTTACCAGATGTCAATAGAAGATAGTGTATTACCACTGTTAAGATTTCACATGTTACTTCTTGTTTCAAAGCCAAGTCGTGAAATAGATTAAAAACATGGAGTCCAAGTAAAGATGCCGATAAACATATTTGAACAACGATCCTATCACCTCGGATTTGAGATCGCACACTCGAAAGGATTGTAACTGTGATTATCAGGAATATAACAGTCGGAATCTCAACGATGTAGGTAAGGATCTAAAAAGAGACAGGTATGTTAGAATCAGGGGTTGCTAATCGACACAAAGATGAGAAGTTCATGATATTTGCATGCATAATATGGAATCAAAATGTCAAAATGGAACTCGTCTTTGTGGTCTACGGTTGCTCGCGGCTCCGCTACGTTTTTTTTCTTATCCACGAATGGTCTTATTCAGCCATTTGTTCGTGGGTATCTCATTTAATGCGAGGATTTTTTGATAGAGTACATCTTACATTATGGCGCTAATTAAAAGCGATTGCTGTGTCCATATTCGCGAAAACTTGTTTTTACTAAAGACCACTAGAACATAACAGTACTGACCGATTTTTATGTGGAGGGGCGAACGATAGTATATGATATTTGGAAACGGCATATTTTTTTTGTCAAATTAAAATATTTCTTCGGCAATTTTAAGTTACGTTTCTAAAATTTATGCAGTATCACAAATCCAGAGTTTGTTAGCAGAAAGCACTACCATATGCAAATTGAAAATTCAAAGTTGGTATTCATAACAATTGATATTATTCAATATACTTTGTTAAAAACCTTCTTCGTTAACTATATTTATTCACTCAATGTAAATATGCGTTGACTCACTTCATCACGTCTTGATTTATTTAAAATGTACGCACATCAATCAAATGTGCCACGTCAAAGACGTTATGTCACGACGCATGCAGTCAGCGTCACTCAAAATAATTTGCGTGTGCGCACGTAATTGCGTGATATAATTGGTGCAATATGTTAAATTTGACGCACAGAGTTGTTGTGCAAATTCAACTTGATTATTATATTTGGACGAACGTCATAAAAATTTCAATACTTTTGATAAATTCGAAATTTCCTCGGACGATTTGTGTAATTTCTCAAAATTGCGATTCTTTCACTAAATAGAATACGAAAATTGGCAATTTTATTTCTTTACCATCGCTAAGTATAGGGAAAAAAAACGTTAGTATGTAATTAACAAACATCAGAATTTTGGAATACTTCCTAAGTTCCAAAGAAATCGGATAATTAATTTTTCCCAACTGAAATAATACTTATAACGTATCTTGCATGTAAATTTTTGTCATCATGCCTAGTTTCATTTTCTATTGATCCTCAATTACACGTTTAGTTCGCCACAACAAGAAAAAAAGGGTTCACCACAATGTCAATAAAATTACATTTACCGTATTTCCCGGCGAATAAGTCACTTTTTTAGACCCAAATTTTTGGCCCGATTCGTCGTATTAGGCTAGTATGATAATTTTCTAATTTTTTTTTTGTTGTCGCCTTATTATGTATTAGGTAATGTTCTTTCACGGTGGACGCAATTGCGAGTTGAACAAAATTAGATTAAAATTTAAAGACAGTTTGAATTCCCGTAGTTATTATGGATTGGATATTATGCTACAAGAAAACGTCATTATAGGCTATTTTAACCAATGCGCAAACGCGGCGACCGCTCAAAAGGCATTGCATGGTAATTTGAGATTCCGATGTTGATGCGATTTTACTACCCCGACTTATTGGCAGGTTATATGCAAAAACCCATTTTTTCAGGGGTAAAAGCGGGCCTCGTCTTATTTACCGGGTAGACTTATTCGCCGGGAAACACGGTAAATGTAATACCGAATTTGTACCGAATGTGATATCCACGTGTTCCCATGAATTATAAAATTCAACAACAATTAGAATGAAATATTGGAATCTTGGAAAAAATAAAAGTAATGAACCTTGTAACGACTTTAAGGGTTCATCACAATGTCGGTAAAATTCCAGTCAAATGTTTATACTGAATGTCATATCAAGGTGTGCCCTTAAATCATAAAAACCAACAACAATTAGAATGGAATATTGGTATCTTAGGAGAAAATAAAAGTAATGAATCTTCTAATGAATTCTTTTCTTCTATCTCCCCAAGTACTAAGAATTGGAACTTGATTGGTTCATTAGTTGTGGAGAAAAGCCTTTTTTCACAACAACCCTAAATGGACTAAAAACTCCCGTCAAAAAGTCAAAAATAGAACAATAGGCATTTGTCTTTTAAATTTCGTCCTTGCTCACATATTGCAATATGACCTTTTGACTATGCGATGCATTTATCAAGAATTTCAAAACGTATTAGTCATATGCTGGCATCCAAATTGCTGAAGTAATCAATCGTTTTTATGTGTCGTTGCTATTTGCATGGCTTATAAATAAAGCAACGGCGTTTTTGGTACATTTAGTCATTCTTATTCACGGCTACTAGAAATAGTTTGAACGCCGTTTGTATTGTCCGATCATATTTCAATAAAACTCTTGGAATAGCTGCAATTAATAACGCTTTTAATGAGCAATGCAGCGCTTTTTAAACTTTATGTGTAGGTGTCACAACTTTGAGTCACAAATAAATAGGAGACATGTGTCAATTCAATTTTAATTACAATAATATTACGGTAAAATCCCAACTACAATTGGATGGGATGAATACAAACGAATGTTTATTACATCATAATGGGTGAACGAATTGGCCATTGCGTTTCAAATGACAAGCTTTTTATAACTTTTTGCATAGTTTGAAAGTATCTGGGTTTGACTTCGTTGGGATGAATATTTTACTTGTTGATGGATAAAAAATAAAATTTCTTATGTAACGGCTCTGATTTTAAAATTATTACTAGGAAAGGTTGGAGATTTCGCTATACGAGTTTGATTTTATTGTTGTTATAAGTTCAAAATATCCTCCTATGATGGCGATATTTCATTCCACACTTTGCTGCTTTTATAATTCACGGGAGCACTTTATTATCGGATTTCCAGTCGGGCAGGAATCCCCAAACCCCCAGATGGGGATTTTGTTATGTCGGGGGAGACAAAGTGCAAGTTTTTTTATAGTACTAGCTAAAGATCCTTCAATTAAAGATTGAGCAAATAACAGAAACAAGGTTTATATCCATAGTTAGGGAGGAATAAAGGGAACTGGAACCACTATATAATATGATATTCGGTACAATTTTTATGACATTCGGTACAATTGGCTGGCAACAGGCCATATTGCTCTTGTATAGTTAATACACTACTAAATGTTTATTTACCTTAACTCCTCTTGGAACATTCACTTCTGTCATCGTGAGCAACACAGCAAACATCGTGGTGTGGTTGCAATCACATGTAACCTTTGACCCAGTGTCATAGGTCGTTGCTTCACATCCCTCGGCTGACATTTTTTCCGACATGGTGTCGATAAACATACACTGATACCCAACGTCACTGACGTAACCGCGCCCTAAACTTGGATCTGGGACGTCTTTTGGTAAAAAACTTGAATTCGTAAAGTCTTGCAATACATCAACGTCAAAAGTTACTCGTGCATCCTTTCGGTAAGTAAAGTTTTCTTTATTAAATACGGATACTGATATGGTGGGATTTCGTCCGGTGAAAATGTAATACTCGGATAATGTGCTTCCAGAGTAAAGATTTTCAGGCTGTTTCAAAATGATGTCGACACATTCTTTTGGAGCTTCAAACTGAATACCAATCATTCTTCCAACATCCATACCCGTCACGGAAGCATTGTGTAGTTTAGATGAAGAGAATGTCTTCAATGGCGCTTGAAGCTGAAAAATAATCAAACAAACGACGTATAAAACCGAATATTTGTAATTTTTACGTCACAATGACAAATGTCCATGGTTTTCATAGGCAAAACGTACTATATTATTACAATTATTACGTCATAATACAAAAACGTTACGACATATTCATTGTTTCAAGGCGCAAATGAGGAGCATCAGTCAACAACTTCACGTAAATACATATGAATCGAAGTCCCTTACTTGCGGACGAAGTAGCGCGTTGTTTACATTATATACTACGTCAGTGGTTCTCAAACTTTTTAGAGTTGGGACCCACTATTTATCATCACAGCTTATGGTGACCCACTAAACTTTAATTTCATTTTATTTTTATTTTTTTTATGACATAACACAGAACACAGCAATGGCTAATCATCGCAAAACTACCGTGTTTCCTCGAAAATAAGACCTGGCCTGAAAATAAGATAATAATTTGAATTTTCAAAATGATTTTAATTAAACCCTACCCTAAAATAAATTTAAAATGTGTGGGAGAGGAAAGGTTCATTGGCCCGAGGTAAGACGAAGATCACACCACTATTGAAGATTGTGTGATATCACAATTATGATATTTGTCACTTGATTTTTGTATAGGAAATACAAATAAAAACAATCGATGTCGGTTTTTATATAATGTTTAGTGAAAAATCTTGATTTTCTACAATGTAATTTTATTTTTGATAAATGAACACAATAGACCTCTTCCAAAAAAACCATAGTGTTATTCTTCAAAAGAAAATAAATCTAAATCCTGTCTAAATTTCGGGGAAACACGGAAAGCCACTTGGTCATTCTTTGTGTAGCAAATTTTTGTTCCTTTTAGAAGATCGTAAAAAGGAAACTTTCACAGATTAGAATTTCAATTTAATTTTTTTCTTTTTAAGATTTACGTATTCGAGACGCCACCGATCCTAATAACCAGTATAATTAACCAAAGCTTTCTACATCTTTTCACGACCCACTAAGATTCCTTTTGCGACTCACCCGTGGGTCGCGACCCATAGTTTGGGAACCGCTGTACTACGTTATATATATGTTATATTACACGAGTAATTATATATATTTAATCAAAATCATTGTGAGTGATAGCCTGGTACAGTTTTTAGAAGTCAACTATGTTCGAATTCTATTCGAATCTATCGGTAGTTAACATAGATTAATAGGATTCCTAACCTCGTTCTGATCAGCGCTTTCAATATCCATGGACGATATTTCAACTTCAAACTTTTTGGCGCTCAATGGCGACGAGTTAACAGTCGCTATTGCAGCGCATTGAATTGCGTCATTGATCATTATTACTTCGTTTATGACTTCCTCTTCACTTGTCATAGCTGAAGCCCTTTTCTGCCAGTTCTCTATTATTTCAAATAGAGCGTCAAATGCAGACCCGGACGGCACTAAAAGCAAAATTAGCTTTCAATATGTATCGGTTATATAGTACTATAGTATGAGACAATGTATATCTATGTGGCATATAGGTGCACTGAATTTCAACGGTAATAGTGCGTGGTGATACCATTAGCCCCGACGAAGATGAACCCTTTGTGGTTCGATATAACCTAGGTTGTCACCTACTGGATAAGGCGCATCTCAAAAACGTCTGCCCCACTGTTCTGACTTACAGTAGATATATATATATATATATATTCTGGATCTCAATTTCTAAGTGAGCATATGAGGTAGAATTCATGCCATGTTTTGGGTTGAAAAGATAGAAAACAAATAGTTAATGTACTCATATGGTGAAATTCGTACGACTGGGAAAAGTGGTGTATGACATTTTTAGACATGTGTTTAAAGTATAATCACCTGAGCAAGATCTGGTTACCCCTGTCTCCAAATCGGTGTAAGAACAATTGTATCTTCTATACAAACATGAGAATGTTTTATTGTATCCTTCTATTTCTGTACATGTGCATTCTAAATAAAACGAATAATCTGAATTATGTAATAATATCATACAAACACTGCTCCGAGAACTGATATTCAAAGATATAATAGGAAGTTATTGCTTGACATCGATCGAGGTAAAAAATCTCTCGTCGATTAGGAAAACGCTTAAGTATTTAAGTTAGACATCACTCCATGTATACATAGAAGCAAGCAAACCACATTTTTACTATTTGCAGCCCTACATTTTAGGTTTTTTCTAAATTTCGGCTAATTTTTAAAGTCCAAACACGATATCGATTCTGAGGGGCGTACTTTAATGTGACTATGCAAAAATAGTTCATGATGACATGATATATTTAAAAATATATATATATTGAAAAGTTTGAACAAGGAAATGCTTTCAATCACGCTTTTACCAACTCATCATCGTATGGTGAAATAAGCTGAAGTGAATAGTATTTATTTCTGGTAATGATCACGAAACTGTTGAATAACAATATAATCATTTGATTACCTGCCTCTGTTATTTCTCTATCTCAAATGTATTTGTCGAATTATTTACTTGCTTTTCAACTTACTTTATTTTATTGTATTGTTGTCTTGTCCAGACATTAGTTATACTTAACGTCGAAAAAAATGTATACCAATGTATAATTTAGCATTAGGTAACCCCACTCTTCAAATTGTGACCATACAGATACGCAACCTACCTACGCCAGAGTAAATACTTGTCTAGGTCTTTATTCCGGGCATAGATGTGACTACGCCGTAGTTGCGATTTGTCTAGATTCTAGAGCATTGTTAAGAGCACAAATGGGAGGCATTTCATAACCAAATTGAAACAAAAAAAATTTACATCAATGTATGTGAAATAGCCATTTAAGCAAAAAAAAATTTGGCTGAAATACAAATTTCGGAAAATTTCAATAATGTTAAACTTAACTAACAATGATTACCAATCGATACTAAGTTTTCATCGTGTTGCTGATACGTGACTCGTATAACCTTTCAAACTTATTTCCCTGTTGTAGGAATGAACTATGTAACATGCTAATATCGAGTCAAGTTGAATCCTAAATAAATCATGTGAATGTCATTGTATAGGGGTTCAAATGGAGGCAAAGTACACTCGCTTCTCTTGCAAAGGTCATTTATATATATAATATAAATAAAAAAGTGAATGCCACAGACTGAATTTATTTTGAACAGCAGCAATTTTGGGAAAATGATTTTCATAAAGCTAATTACTTCGCTTTGTCTAATTTTTGTAGCTTTGTTGATTTGAATATTGTGATAACATATATATATATATATTCTGAAACATATTAAATTATATATTAGAGGAGTATTTATCTAACAAAAAGCATTACAAGATATAGAACAGATACTAGATATGTACTTGGAGACGGAGCATTTCTCTGGGTGGCACGAGCAAATTCGCGATGGCTACATTCATTTGAATTAATTTAACTGATTTGTTTAACTTTTAGCCTGTAATTTATTTATTCTTTCACATTCACTTGTGGGTTTTTATTATTGAACGTGGTGAATAAGATAACCGATGATAACACGTTAAAACGAAACTAGTTTTTTATTGAAAACAATGGGCCCTGATTGTTAAAAGTTTCTGCACGAGAGTTTGAGAACCGCCGATAAAAAGTGTTTTTTTCCATAACGATACTCTATTTGTTTACAGAATAATGAAAATATAAATATCATCCATTAGCTAAACGATTATATATCACTTTGAATACAAGATAATAATCAATAACATTTAATTAATATTTAAAGCAAAATGTCAAATATCCCAAATAAAATGTAAACACTTTACCGCCTTCTTAATGTCAATGATCTATAATGTCATGGTCTACCTTTTTTAATATCTTTTAAATGATTAATATTGTTAACATTTTTAGGTCATTTTGATAGAAATATTATGAATGTCCATATATTTTGGTAATTTACTTACTGCTGGCTAATTTGATATTAGTTTGCTTTCAGCATTGCGTTATTTTAGTGTCACATACACGGGAAAAATTTAAAATAATGCAAAGCGATATCACCTTTCAGCAATTCAAGAATGGATGCGCCAGAATCGATTGGGGATTTTAGAGGGATGCAACAAAAAAAACATCAAAAATCACTGATTTCTTAGAAGATCAATGTCAAAAGCTTCAAAAATCAATATATACTGTAAAAATATTTGATGCTTTTTGGACTAGCGAGAAAACTAGAAAATATCAGTAATTGAATTACATAAGCATATATCTTGGTAAAAACATTATATCATCAACGTACAACCCCCAAATACGGGTTTAATACAATAGGTAGGTTATGCAAAATTTTGCGGTTATACTTTGCTTTAAGGTGATTTTTTCGGTAGCCTTGCTCAAACCTTGAAAATATCGCAATACAAATTCGGCAAAATATTGTTGCTTGGGTAGAATACAAAATGCAAATTCTAACAAATTTTATCCAATTTGCCTAAAATTGTAACACATAAATCTAAAATAATTCAAAACAGATATAGATCAATCAATGTATTTATTTACCCGAACACTTGACTCCTTCGTCGAAATAACCATCTCTGCAACCACATGAATATCCACCCGGATGATTGAGACAAGTATGCTTATGATTGCAGATATCTTTTTGAAGACATTCATTTATATCTAAAAATGTACGAATACGTTAAAACATCATTTTCTGCGCAAATTGCAACTTTCAATTCACTAAAAAAATTACGTCCTTATTATGAAAGATAACAGGATATCGATCCTATGCTTTAGTAAACATAAGAACATCATTTCAACAACTTAACACTGTAAACAATACAAAAACACGTAAACAGTGAAGTATGCAGTACGGCATTTCATAAGAAGGATATCGTTCCTACGCTTTAGTAAACATAAGAACAACTTGACATTGTAAACAATACAAAAACAAGTAAACAGTGAAGTATGCAGTACGGCATTTCATAAGAAGGATATCGTTCCTACGCTTTAGTAAACATAAGAACAACTTGACATTGTAAACAATACAAAAACAAGTAAACAGTGAAGTATGCAGTACGGCATTTCATAAGAAGGATATCGTTCCTACGCTTTAGTAAACATAAGAACAACTTGACACTGTGAACAATACAAAAACACGTAAACAGTGAAGTATGCAGTACGGCAGAACTAGTGTAATCAAGAGTACCTTGCGTACCCAATAATTACACTGTAAAGAAACACCATGACCACAGTTCTGTAATGTTACTTTCACATTTTCAGACGATATTTCCATTTTTGGTGAAATTAAGCATACAGCATTTCTTCATTATTTGTACACTTGATTTAAGTGCAAAACAAAACGATTTCATCTGTCACAACTTATATGTAAATGTTTTTATTTTATTAATAAATCAAATCATGTATGTAGAAGTCGGTATATGATTGAAAATTGTTTCAAGACGCACATGCCTATAAGTGGTATTTAAGTCTAATCAACGTTAGATGACTAACGTAATAACTATTACAAATTCGTGTAGACGCTATTGCAAGTTCCAGTACGAAGCGTGTGGAAATTCAGACATGAAAATCATACAAATTGGCACTTATTCACAATGCGGATTATTTTGCGATAAAAACTTGGCTTCTGCATTGTTGTTCCTTACATTTTACTGCCCATCAGGCGCACTGTAAATATATTGCCTGGATTGAGCTTTTTTATACATAAGCCGCACCGGGCTATAAGACACAACCGGTACTGGTACTGGTTTTGAGTGTGGGCAATAAAGCTTACAGCACTACCTGATACATTAGGCGTGCTGGCTTATAATGCGCACGATCAATCGAGGAAAAAATGATTTGAAGTGCGCCTTGTTTGATTCGTATATAAAATACAATGATTGTATTCAGTTTATATTCGAATTCGCTGGAATAACACTTGCCCGTCATCTTAACCAATGTGTAATAAACTGAGTAAGGAACGCCAAATCCAAAAAATTCTCATCCTTCCGAAAATAATATTTTTTTACATAACTACAAGTGGTAACTTGTACAGGGCATTTTTGGAACGAACTTCGTGATTTCGCGTCATATAAAGTTTCCATCATACTTCTACGGTTAGTATGTATCCATTTGAAAAATCGGTTCCCTTTAATTTCTCTGGCGGGTCACATGTGGCCCTCTTGCCGTTCGGCGGCTCCTAGTATATTATCAATAATTGATATTTAATTCATACAAAGATTCGTTCAAATTGGTTTTAAGCGCGACAAATCCGTAAATTGAACCGATTATCGCGTATAAACAGTGGGAATAATGGTATTTTCAACTCGGTGGAGCGTAGAAAGCGCAGAAAATTGGATAATTTGACCCAAATTTAGAGGGTATTTCATGCATCGTTTGATATTAAAAGTTCACGTTGCAAAATTAAAGATTTGTCATGGTGATTTTATCCATTCTTATTCCGTAATCTCAAAACGTGTTATTCGTTCGTGGTCATGACTAATGCAAATGCTTATATACATCATATATATTTATGATATGTAATAGTGAGATGGCTCAAAGATTCGCTGTTTTGTGCTGTTTTTTTATAGATGAAATGATTTTTGATGATTCAAGTTCCCGGCCTCACTCTACAAGAATATAAATAGCAGTTTGTTTCGAAATTTTATTCGTTCGACAAACATATACCTCAACATTTCTTTATTTTGTACCAGATGTTATCCACAATTTCACCCCTAACAAAGCAGTACACAAGCAGAAACTCATACTTAACGAAGCTACTGTTAAAGAGAAATATGTCACGACGATATTTTTTTAAAATAAGCGAAAAGAGTAACGTCGACTCAGAGATATACAATAAACATTCTGGTAATTGCAATACGTAACTGACAACTTGGCCCACTTTTCCTACATGTACCCACCCATTGTATGAATCTCACTCCATATGATTACTCTAACTTTCGTAATAAGATATTTTATCTATCTTAACGCATAGCATTGTTTCAACGTCATATGAATATATTACCCATTTGCCCCACAATATATATCCACACCAACCCAGAACAATGGAAGTGGTGGTACAAGTAAGACAAGTGTGGACAAAGTGGGACGAGTATGGCAATGTGAGGCAAGTGTGTAACGAGTTTGGCAAGTCAGGGATAAATGGGACGAGTGCAAGACAAGTGCACAATAAATGGGGCGAGTGTGGAATCAGCGAAAAAAGTATGGGGTAAATGGTACAAGCGGGATAAGTATGGCAAAGTGAGACCTGAAATTTTCAAACGCGTATAGAATTCAACAAATAGCTTATTCAGTGAAATCATATAAACATTCAAGTGTACGTAAAGTAAAAAATACTAACCTACACATGTTCCGTTTTCGTTCTTCCCATATCCATCATGACAATCACATTCGAAGCTACCTTTTGTATTACGGCAAGTTGAATGCTCAAAACACATATTCCCTTCAAAGCATTCATCAACGTCTGAAACAGAAAAGAAAAGGCATTTTGACTCAACTTTATAGTGATCCAAAAAACAATATCGTAACAGAATCCATTCTTCATTCCGAAACACGAAATGCATTTTTATGCATGTTTCATTCAGATATAAAAATTTTCTTATGCTTGGTTCTTAACATTGCCAAACCATTTTTGTGCTCATTTTAGTTTAAAGCGTGTTTTAATGAGCTAAAGCTTGTAAACGGGTATACATATTTGAAGTTACAATTTTGTTTCAAGATTTTCTGGCAACTGCCGTTGAAATATGCTGGCATCTGATTTCAGTCTAGTCTATATCCTAGTTTTTTGAAGATTGTTCTTTGGTTACCGATACTTAAACTTGAATTCTTGAAAAGACAAAATGAACGCTGAGGAATTTGATTCATACATAAAAAGTATAACATACCTAAAATGCAGCGAGTGGCAGTAAAACAATAAACCAAATCAATGTTTACAAGCATGATTGGAAATCTGTATAAAAATAGCGTCTGAGGGACGGCAATTGTTCCATCATCTTTAGGTTATTGCTGATTGGCCAAAGTTACGGAAGTAGTTAACTGCTTACCTTCACAGAACTTATCCACCAATGATAATAATATTCGCGGTAACGATCTGTAAGTATTTTCAGTGAAGACGTTTTTCATGCTAACGCCTCCATTTGCAACAATTTTCAACTCCGTCAAGTTGTATGATCCAACTCCAACTACAAATGACGTCACGTTACGCTTGACTGATTCGTAATACCTGAGTAACAGTAATATATTCGTGATCGGTTCAAGATTAATGTAATGTTTTTATAATTCGCTGAACTCGCTATAAACAGTATGGGACACTTTTCAATATACATAATATATATTTTTATCATTTTTTGATGAGTGAAAATGATTCTGAATAAGGTATTTCAACTTTGAGGCAATGTAATCCTTAGTTTGCATTTTGGCATATCATGTTTGCATGAATATATTGTTTCCTAATATATCATCGTGAACTACCGACAAAGAAAAATGTCTTGTGAAAACAGTAAGTAAAATTGATCAATTTTCACAGTAATTCTAACCTCTATTGTATAGAGAGAATAATTTTATAAAAAGCATGATGTGTTGATAAATCAGTTTATTTATGTACAGTTTTTGGCACAAAAAAATGATGAATTGTAATGAATTATTATTAATATTTCCAGATATTTTTAAACCTATGGTTACAACTCATATAAAACTAAGACTTGTAGATCAATACACAATTGATTGCCAATGTGAATGAAACTAAAAACTCCAATGACGCATGTATGATATAATTTTAATCGATAGGTAATTTTTCGTTCCAGAATCTACGTATTTCTATACTTTTATTTTTGTAGTACAAAATTATATTGACGCAATAAACTTACATTGAACGAAAAATATAGAAAATACTGTACAGTTCTAGTCATTTCTGATAGTTTTCATAGGTGACTAACAAAAATAACGTATCAGTGACTTCTTTGCCTTGTTTAAAGCGAAGTTGTCAAAACTGATCATAATGAAGCAAATACCAAATTATAATTACCGCCGTATAGGCTACACTCACTATTCATCGTACTTTATTATTACATGGAAAATGTTTTCTTTATTAGACAAAAAATAGGAATTCGGTTTGTGAATATATCGGTATTCGTGATTCTTTCTAGTTAGTAACTCTATACTGTATATTAAATTTTTTTAGTTGAATACCCATATCAACGTGTATTAGTAAATTTTCAAATTTCCGCAAACAGAAAACCGCAATTTGAACATTTTTTCAAACTAAAGTCCAAATCGACCTGTTAGCATTACTCAGTGGGACATCTGAATACATGTTTAAAAACACCAAATTTATAACATTATTGAAACGATGATTCAATTACCAAAATGTACGTCGAAATAATTGTGAATGCAATGATTATACCCGCCATTTAAAACGAACATTACCAACATATCAATCTCCTTACCAGTCCAAAAGGTACTGCCCATCATTAGCCATTCCATCGGTGATTAAAACTAAACTTTTTTGCGAAACGTTAACTCGAGGAGAACGTGGAAATTCAACCTAAATAAAAAATGACGTCACAAATAAATAACATCATAATTAGATTTAATAAAATACGACAAAATTTTTACCTATATACAAATAACGTCACAATTGTTTTTATTAGCATATGTAATTGTGAAATTCATGTAAATACAAAACGGTGTTAATGGTGTCACCATTTTTAAATATTAATTACTTACAATTACTCTCAATCACTAATTCTAATGATAAGTTCACAAATAGGTAAAATTACCTTATTTTAAAAAATCACAATTTAATCATATATAAACATATGAAAGAAATGAACTTTTACCTGTTTGACATTTTAATTGCTAGTAACAACCAATTTGCAAAATTTAGTCATCGAATACACCTTGCTATTTTTCAACATTGATGTTTATATAAACTTGTAATTTCTTATTAAGATTTCTCAATATTTACTTAAATTTGAAATGTGGTGAAATTAAGTGTTTATTATTACACGATTAGTTAATTAATTAAGGTCACATAACTATGATGCGAAGACAAAATGGCCTTTACGAATGTTTCGGGTATGGTTTCAACAACTATCTTTTTTATCTTATATAGCAGTGATGAAAGTTAAATTTCGTCAAACTAGAATACTAGAGTATTTTGTTATTCTGCCCATGAGAATGTACTTACTCATACTAGTTTGGGTAAATCTGTCAAAATATCTGGAACATGATTAAAAATTTGAATGGCTGTATCATCTTGAGTAGGGTTTTATGAAAGCATGTTATTTCTTCTACATAACTGATCCTCAAAGATAATGAATGGTGAATTCAAAATGTTCGTTTAGCCCTATTCGGAATCCGACAAGACTCATTACACCACTCTATATCATTGAGAGGCTAAGTTGGCCACCAGACACTAATTATTGAATGAAACGAGTCATCCAAACAAAATTTCTCGAAAATTGACTCGACCTTGGACACAGGCTCGTGACTCGATTTGACTCGCGAAACAAGATTTCGGGACTTTAAGTTAGTAAAAGTAAATCTCACCTCCAAGGTTCGATTGAGAGCGGCATAAGTGAGTGTGGATCCTTTCAGGTATCTCATACTAGATATTTTCTCTGTCATGCATTCTTTCGTTGTGCAGTCTCCAAGTCCAAAAGGAATTTCAAATGCATTTTTTTTCTTTCCATCTTGGCTAAATTAAAAATACAAATATAATGTCATACAGCCTGTAGGTCGAGACGGATGAAAAAATGCCCATCTCGATTCATTTGTGGACAATAGCAGGCGAGGGCGATCTCCAAAGACTGGACTGGTCCATAAGACGTTTCTCCGACCCTTGACCCCAGAATAAATTTTCCCATACTTCACTACTGCAAAATGTTTTATACTTGGAGTGTTTTGATGTGTTGCAGCTTAATCAAAATTAATCAACCATGTGCCGTTTACAGGCACTGACAACTTAGGGTAGACTAGTCTATCGTAGCATTTGCGAGACTCATTTTTGATAAAGTAACTAAGTTAATGCACCTTCGAAGACATGATGGCAATTGAGATATTTAATTCACAACTCTATTTTTGAAACACAACTGCAAACTGACAAATAACACTCAAAACTACAAAAACGAGGCAATGCTTACTGATATTGTGCTGGTTAATAAACAAGAAATTGATGCCAGGGGGAACATTCATAGAGGCCGTTCAGAGAATACATAGAGTATGAAAGATAAAGCGTTGTCGGCATATTTTGGCAAACTCCAAAGTTAGTTGTTGCAATAATTCAAAGCTGCTCACGTACTACTTGATCATCTTCCGCGTACCACTAGTAATACGCGTACCACATGTTGAGAACCACTGCATTGGCAAATGCATTGCTACTTAAGTTAATCTAATTGCAGCCGAACCATGATTTCGCTTTTGGTATGGCAATTATTACAAATATTCGTAATTTAAATATTATCACGAAAAACAATAATTATGAAGTTGCTTTCGCTACAATCATTTGAGATCCCTTAATGATAGACATTATAACAGAGGTTTATTGGTTCGATATCAACCAATCAAATGGCAGTAAAATAATTGAACTAAACTGGACTTCTACTTTTAAAAATTGTGTTTTTAATGCATCAATAAAACATGTCGATGATATTTAAAATTTTCTCAAACAAAGAATATGAGTCATTTTGGAATGAAATTTTAGACGGAGATGATCTTTAGATTATGCATTTTATATTCGTGTTCAGTCGAACTTAACATTTAAATAGCTATTCCAGTATCTCAAAATCAGAGTATGATATTGTTTCACAAGTTTTAATAATTTAGCATTACGGGTGGCATTTCCTACACGAATTTCTAAATATTTTCCATAAATATATCAATCTTTTACGCGCCTCCCATGATAATAAAGAATATTCGCCGGTTTAATTAAAATAGTGAGCTAAATTTTAGACGTACCTCTGCTTTCTATCTGTATCGGTGGATCAGAATGTATACTGTTATAGCAAGAATCGAAACGAATTTAAAATTACGAAATTTTAAGATAATATCATTATCCAGATGCTTTAGAAGAAAGTTCATGTATGACTAATCACCAATATGAAAGAGCTGCTGTGTTCCTGGAATACCCAAAATCTTTTGCCTACCATATAGCCAACCTAAATTATTACCCCTCAGGTGACGGGTCAGGGGATGCAAACGCGACATTTGCAACTGCTTACACCAATTTAGTTAGCTGCAGCTAAATGCATTTCAAAATGAAGTCATTGAAAATTGAAGTCATTTTACTTACACCCTATAGCCTGAATATTCCAATATACCGATTTCTGCCTTTTCGCCAAGTTTGTCATGAATGCTGGACGTAGTTGATATCAACCATTCTCGGATAATTTCAAAGTTTTCTTTGGTGACGGAACCCGATCCATCGACAACAAATACGATGTCAAAATATTCACAATTGTAAGCTGAAAATGTTGTTAATATAAGTTACAGAAATTAACTCGTGTTAATATAAATAAGACTCTCATGCATCTTCGTTTAAAATTCGAATTTTTCCTGCCTCAACCGCCTGTCAAGTGCATGCGCGTCAACTAAACAGAGGTGGCAAATTAGTTTAGCAGCAAGACTATGTATTTGTTATATATTGTCCAAGGTTATGTCGTGAGATCCAAACCCCAGTAGGGAGTTGTTCACTGTAACAACCAGAACCCCTGGACTGTTTATCTATATTTTCAAATGGGAATGGTTGGCCTCATTAATTAAAAACTGGAAATGTATGTCAACAAACTTCTCCGAAATTTTATTTCATGTGTTCAAGTCAGCATTTTTTGTTATGTTTATGCATTTCATCGACGGTATTGACCTAAATGAGGAGAGGAGCAAAGCTACGAGGCAACTCACGTAAAATGATGGTCCTCGTTTCTCCGAACGTCAGCAGTGAGAACAATAGAATGGTAAAAAATCCTTTGCAACGAGGCATATCCGATTTTCTCCAGGTGATTTTATTCGTGATGGTACTTTATTCTGTCACTTCATAAAAAATATTCCCTAATGCACTATTATTCTTCTAGAATAAATTTTAGAATAGCAGTTGTACCGCCAGTCATTTCATCATACGAACTAAAGTTACAAAACCACCTAAACTGCAAAAAGTGAAGTTGTGGTAAACTGCACGAAAAGAGTAACCACAACAAACATTGGAAACTACCGGAACGCTGTAAGTCATTCTAAATAATTAAACAACATAAGCCGAAATTCAAAAGTGTTATTTTAATTTTGCCAATCTGCCAATGCATGTTGTTATACCGTCAAGTACCACGATTCTGAACTCCGCTATAGATTCTCTTTTTAAAGCAAGAAACATGCTGGAATTCCCATTTGCAACATGCCAAATAGTAATGACGACTTATTTAATTAATGTTCTGTGCTTTGTGGTTTCCTCAAATAACATGTTCGAAATGTTGTTTTCATTTTCTGATTTCCTTTCGGCAAGTGATAGAACCCTACACTGTTACAGGCGCCTACGCTGCTGGAATTACATTTTGTTATGCCGCATAGAGGTTATACCGGTACAATTAATACTTTCTTCCCTACTCGGATGAAGCTACTCTCCTTAATCAAAGTATCACATTGCAAATTTATTTTCGAAAGTTGCGACTTAATGCTACTATAACTAAGAAAACAATTCAGTCACACCAGAAACCTCAGAAAATGCTGTTAAATAGCGTACATTACACGATTGAATAATGTAAAAATGACTTCATGTTAGCTGTCGCGGTAGGTGCGTGACACGCGTAGTTAGGTAGATTTGAACTTATGATAATAAGGAGATCAATTTTGATAGCGTTGTTTACGTCGATGTAGCATTTGATCAAACGTGTATATTGTATCCAAAAATATTTAGTTTGGTTGGTTTGACAGTCACTAAAGGTTGGGTGAGTTTATTTACCAATCCCTTGCTGAGGCGAAGAACGTGACAGACTACACCAAACTTAAAGTTCTTTCCTTTGCCAACTGTTCAATTGAATAAAATGATGAACCCCTCGAAAGATGTGTAATAAATGGCGTTAACAAAATTGGAATATTCGTTTTTGGAATGGAATATAGGCTTTGAATACATGTTCTTCCATGTCTGGGTCTAAAACTCGGGCTAGAGCTTTTTTTATCTTGCGTTTTAACAGGGCTTCGTAAGGAATTTCGGTTGCCGAACGTACGCTATTAGGTACTCTCTGTTGCATAGTCTCACTCGATTGGCATTTCCATGTTGGAATATATTTGAGCACGACTGATACCTAATTTAAAGAGCATCAGTAATTTCCAACATTTCGCAATTAACCTCGCAAGAGTGTAGTAAAAAGTAACCAAGCAAAGGCAATTTTAATTAACTTTCCGCGACTTTTTATTGATATTAAACCAAATACAAAACCTAATTTGTGGTCGTCGATTGAATGATGCATAAAATATTATCCACTTTAAAATCCAATTTTCAGTAATCAGCTAATTTGCCCCCAGCACGCAATGAACCTTTTTATTTGAGCTAACTCAGTAACAGTATCATGTATGAATTTATTAAATTTGAATACAATCCTCCAAAATAAAACTATTTTGTAACAACAAGAACTATTGTTTCTGAATCATTAAATATCCCTCGAGTGGCTCGAATTTCTAACTTAAATAGATTATGTATTCATGTAGCTCCAAGCTATATCACAGGCTATGAATATATTTAAATATGTTATACCCATGTTTACAAGTAATGAACCAATAAATATGGCTACCTTTTAACAACCAGCATTGCGACAGGTTTGTATAATCCATTATCAAAACGTAGTTGCAAGAGCTATGCTGCACCCTAACCTTTAACGATTCTTTCATTTTCTGGGCCTTCTTACTCTAAATATAAATTGAACTAAAATAGAGCCTGACTACCACAAATGTTCTCAAAATCAGTCTGTCACAAACCGCACGAACCGCATCAAAGCCACAATTGATCAACGTATTAGCAGACAAGCCTCTATTTAAAATCAGCGTGCAGCTCAGGGCACGCAAGCGACAAATTGTCAAATGTCGTTAACATTTTGACTGCCGTACGCATATCATGCTTATATGAATTTGATGATACCAATTCATATATTTGTCAAATTGCTCTTATTTATATGGTTAGGTGTACGCTATTGCTGTCGTATTTTAGTTTGAGTTAGTATTAAAGCTTTGGGTCGGAATTGCCTATGACTAACACGTTGGCCTTACTCGGGATAACTGTTAAATAGTCCTGGTAAGTCAACGAGTACTTTGCCAATATGGCCCATGAGGCGGAACTGCCCTGAACACTAACTATTAATGACTACTTTAATAAAACATTGTTTAAAGTTATCAGTTTGTAGCAATGTTTTCGATAAAAGAGAATCTAGAAAGGTAGTAATTTACTACCTGTATTTAGAATCTTGTTGTTACCAAAATGTTGATGAGTGGCGGCGCTAATGCCTATTGATAAGCATTGTAGTCGGATTATTCAAACGTCAACCATTAAATACCTCATTTCCTATGGTTAAACGACTTGTGCAGATTATTCATAAAAGGACAAAGGTGCAAACTTCCGACAAAGTTCTAGTGAGTCACATTAATTTAATGAATATCTAACACTATTTAGTATTCAATATCTGAGCCATACTTATAAGTTCAATAAACATATATAACCTTGAAAAACGAATAAATTTTTTAACATTGCACATTTATTTTAACTACCGTATATTTGGTTAAGATCTAGCTAGCTGCTAGAGTGACATGCAGTTTACGAGAAAGTGAAAAAAGTTTGTTTAATTAAAGCTCATCGCTCCCAAGCCATATCTCATTTTTTCAAATCAAAACAGTCATATACAGTTTTGGAACAGAGAAAGTCACGATTTGGATCGAAATTTTATAAAAAAAAAAATGAAATTTTGCATCCCAAAATTAGCAATAGGTAATACATTTCGCAGTGGAAATATTTCCAACTCGGAAGCAAAAAAGTTAATTTTTAACCAGTGATGATGATGGCAGCAGCTGATTACATTCGGAGCTGAAGAATACCAAACATCCATAAACGACGTGAATGAAAATTACAGTGCATTATAATTATGCATGTTATTAATTATGAAAATATGAGCGTTGTGTAGTCGTCATATTTTTAATTCAAGCAGCATTTGCAGGATGGAAGTGTAAAACTGCTTAATTCTGGCCTATCAAATACACAGGTTTGAAATAATATGAAAATAAAAACTAGTATATTACTAAACCAAAACTATGATAATAGAAAAATGCAGGAATTTAGGAATGCCAAATGTTGTTTCTATTAGTATATCTAATATGCGTATTGCTGAAAAACTTCAGTACATTTTCTGGCAAACAGTCATCGTGTTTACTCATGTCGTGCCAAGAATGGTCGTTGGAAAACAAACCTTTTAAAAATTAGCAAAAAATGGCAGCTGTTTAAATTAGTTATTTTGGTGACCGACATTGTTATTACATTTAGAGAGTAGAGCCATGCTCAGAGTACTTAAACTTCATAAAATTCAATTAAAATTAAAGTTCACATCTATTTTTGAAGTATGTACTTGCTGTTCATGTATCAAAAGTGGAGCCGTTTTATTTTAAAAATAGCATGATATGATGAAACAAAATGTTTAACAGTATAAATCGATGATTGAAGCAAAGTTTTTTCTGAAGATAGTATGGTATGTTATGTTCGGGTATTATGACCGTCATTCTTGAGATTGGTAGCAGACTACAAGCAGTAAAAGTTATCTCTTCTGACATGTAGCGAGCGTATAAAATATCTTCCTCAGAAAAATTCAGTCCCTGTGCATAAGTGCGATATGGTTGCCAGAATAAAGCAGATTGCATAATCTGAAAATTAAAATTATGAATTCCATAGTTAATTTTGTATATTGCTATAATTAAACACCCGAACTCACAGAAGAATATTTTAAAGTGCTGCAGCTGCGTGTACCTCCCTTTTTGAAAAAGCGATATAAATGAAATACCGTACTTACACAAGCGAGTGCTGCTCGCTACGCCAGATGTTGTAGATATGTGTGAGGTGGTTTTTGTAACCGTTCCTTCAGAAGAATCTAAATAATATGTTTTGATGAGATAAAATAGAGTACAACTGTGATTTGTAGTCTGATTAACAGTGCAGTTTAAATATGTGATTATTTGACAACGTAGAGACTCTATCGAAACGTTTGGCGTTTCAAGGTCGACATATGCGAGTTTCCAAACCTAGTGAATTCCATAACAATACCCACCTACACTAGTACTGATATCTACATCTGAATTACTAGTTATCATTGATGTTGTATTTGTAATTGATTGATCTGAAGAAGCTAAACATCATTATAATAAAAATATCGTTAAATGTATGCTGAAGAAAAAACAGAACAGCTTTTGTTGAACTCGGTAACTAGTTTAGCTTAGCTATATGATTTAAAGACCTGTAGTAATTTTAATTTGTCCATGGACGTGATTACATGCGTGATTACACTGAAAAAAGCACTGTTACGAAAACTTTAAGGACTAGCGGTTATACGTTTTTTAATTTGACTGTATTTTCTTTATATATACATAAATGTATATATATTACACCGTTAATTGGGAAATTCCTTACCAGTTGGTGATGCAGTAGTCATCACTGGTAGGGAACAAGTGACACCATCGCCAACATATCCAGTGTTACATGTACAAGAAAGTATTTGTGACGACATAGTCACACAAAAAGCATTCGAAGAACAACTTGAGCAAGCTTCACGATCTATAAAACAAATGGTGCCATTGTCAAATATATTCGATTTTTCAAGTTTAAGAGCGCATAAATTCACTAACAATAGAAAATGTCGTTTCATTGGCGTCATATGGGCCTGGAGTCATTTGGAAGAAATGTACTCAAAATACGTAATTTTCATTTTCACTCTGTACCCACATGCTATATATTTGTATGGTTTTTCTAACATTTGTCATAGATTTTTATCTATTGTTTGTCACAATATATTACGAATCATGCTTCAAATTAGTTCGTCGTGTTGGTTCACAGAAATTCATCGTTATTGTTGTGCGACTGAATATTTTCCACATTGCCTAATAGCTTGATATAGCAGTTTCATTTCGTGAATGTTAAATACACGAACTACTGATTTAGATACGAGTATTGATGGACACTTTTTCTCGTTGTCATGATTAAATAATAAGATTTTTTGACTGTCGATAACAATACAACATTGTCAAAATGCCAAATTTCGAAATTAAAATATTTGGAATTTTTCGATTCGTGTGATATGTTTTTGACAATAACCAAAATGGGAGTTCCAAACCCTCAGAAGGACAGTCACCTGATGTGATTGTTACAGCTCCAGATGTAATTGAGCCTGTACTTCCATCCTGTTTTCGAGTACTCACTCGAACTGTAAATGTCAGAGAAGTCTGAGACGTTTGTTCCCACTGTTGAGTTACCTGTATCAAAAAAAGACTCAGCCATATTTTACTGGAAAGCGCCATCAGAAATGTAGGAACCACCGCCACCAGGAATGTACAGTCGGGAAAAATTCATTCAGACGTGGTTTCGACTCCGACACCATCTTAGAATACAAGAAAATCAAATTCTAATAACAAAACCTTGATCCCTGATTCTCATTGAACGTCCGAATTCTGATGGGTAATTCAGAATTTCGGCTCCGGCTCTAGTGAAAACATGCGAATCTTCGACTACGACTCCACAAGCTTGAGAAATACACTGACAACCCAGAATAAAGACTTACTTTGATATACTCTGAACCATCAATATCTTCTTCTGTTACGCTATTTAGAACAGTACTGCCATTTAGAAGCTCGTACTTTATTGCTTTGTCAACTGCAGGTATACTGATAGTTGCTATATTCTCGATTGATGATGATGCAACAGTTATACCAGAGATGTTTAAAATGCTTGCACTTGCATCTTTCAATACACAAAATTAGCGTTAATAGCATATAGAAAAGGCTGGTCGCTAGGTGACTGTTTGGAGATGCGATTGTAAAAAATGCTACATGCTTATTACTCACCTGTGAAGTACAAAATGCTGTATATTTTGCAAGAAATCGTTTAATTAAACAAATCATCAATTTGCAAGGCATTTATGCGAGACTTATTCTATTATGTCATTGTGTGGATCACTATGTGTATAATGCAAATATGATGTTACAATAATCAAGACGACCCTTTGAATCTTTCAAAAATTTAGATTCTTTCAAAATCTTTCCGTACGTCACTTTACTGCTCTGATGGTAAGCGTAACTTGGCCGCGGCGGAAGACACCTTATCGTCGTTAAAATGTCATAAAATTACAGACAAAAATGAGAATATTGAACAATAATCTGACCTGTAGTGTAAAACAACGCTTCAACAGTTTCTGTTCGTTGATTCAAATTTATCGCCGATAGAAACTGGGTATAGGAAGAATTATTATCACCCGAAACTTGATTTCGAAGACAATCTTTCACAAGAAACTTTGGATTGAATCCGAGAACGGTGTTGGGTGATACGGTTTGTTGAACAACGCCATCATCTGTGAGTAAATCTTAAAAAAGACGTTTCATATAATGTAGATGGTAACAATGTCATTTTTATTCAGAACTATAAAAATATTGGTATAGGTACATTCAGTGATTCGGGAGATACATATTGCATCAACGGAGGCCATTTCGAATCTGCTGATATTCTGGAAAATATATTTAGAGCATACAGCGCAAGCTCGCAGCCGTACAGCAAGCTAAAGACATGACAAGAGAATGCTATCAAAAACATATTTTCTATGGTCCAATATAAGATATTAATATGTAACGAAAACGTGGAGTAACCGATTAGTTAAATGATGAGCTATAGGCATTTGAGCAATAATATATTCATGAAATACTTGTGCCAGATATTATAAGGCTATCGCTCTCATCTGCGGCTCCTCCCTCGGCTGAAACAACATTTAAATGAATTTCAAGTGTGTCTTGATTTTCCGGTGTAACCAACATATATCTATCAACCAGTTTGTCGCAAACCTTCGACGAATTTGGAGAATATGCCAAAGTGTATTCATCGTCTCGAATTAATATAAAGGGGGTTCCAACGGCCTCATCTGCAATTTAAATTGGTTGATGAAAGTTGGTGTTTTAGTCGAGATAACGTATAACAATGGTATATCATTCTTTAAACAAACCGAATTTGTTTTCTTACTATCATTGGTTTTGTTGAGTTGTTTTTATGAATCTAGTACAAATAACATAAAACAACCCTATTGATGGATAGGCTTGTCGATCAGCGGCATTGTCTCGGTCTTGTTCAAATTAAATTTTAGATCTCTTCCCAGATTTCATTAGATTTCATACTCGTGCTATGGAAAGAAAAGACCATAATTCTATAATTTGGTAACCAGTTCGGATAGAGTATTTAATCAGTTAATAGTTTTAAATGTGTGACTTAAACGGCGAAGTAAGCTATAAAGCCCATCATTCTATAACGGCGAGAAGTACAGTCGGTAATATTCGGTAATGACTCCACCTGAAACTTTTTTGAAAATTTTGAAAATAAAATATATATTTTAAAAGTACAAATATTAGGGCTATCTTCCTATGAGACTGGGCGTACGAATAGACATTTTTCATACTCAGATAGGATGATATGACAAATCAAATCTTAAACGTCTATCGAGAATGTATAACAAATAAATGATAAATTGCATTCAATGCAGAATAAACTAAATTTGAGTGTGGCAATTGTCAAAATGCAATACATGCATTGGTTTGACCGCGCAAACCAGCCAAGAATATTGAATTTCTCGATCTCATGTAATGCGAAAACGAACACTGTTCGGGACGGATAGTTTTATGAAGCAAACTAATTGCATATTTACAAAATACATAGCCATGAAATAAATTAAAAAAATTCTGTCGCTTATTAGAGAGCCGTACAATACCGCGAGCCTTGGTATTTTCTCGAAGGGAAAATGACGTAATCATAATATGACGACAATAATCACAAATATCTTCTTTAAAATGAAATATGGCCATTGGAAAATGCCGTGAATTTACCGTACCTCCGTTGTTTATAATTGAATTGGAGAATTGCGATCCACTTATTGTATAATCTGTTGCAGATGGAAGAGTTTTATCTGTGACTCTTAATTGATAGTAAGCCACTGGTTTTCCACCGTTATCTTCGATTCTGATAATATTAATCGACTTGACGCTACTGACAGAAGAATAAGCACTTTGTATGACAGCTAAGGTCGAGTTCCATTCGTTGCTATAGGCTGTTGAATATGCACTGCTGTATGTGAAATCAACCAGATCGACGCGACCAAACACAGACAGAGTATCTGGAATCGGGAATGACAATATAAACATTGGAGTTTTGCGCAAGTTGAGCATGGGTTGTCTATATAAGATACATTGTGTATTGCACATCTATGAACTAACTACAGATTGATTGATTACTACTAGCCTAAGTACACTAGGAAAGATAAGGTTAATGAAACCACTCACGCCTGAAACCAACGATTTTGGGAAGCCATAAAAGGGTGTCGGGGAAAAGTCGGATATCAGCAAAATAATTTTTCATTTTCCCATTTTGGACCATGTCTTGAATGTTATGTATGACTAAGAAGGCCATTATATGATACGATTTGCATATTTATCCCGGGGGTGAGGAAAGCTGATCATACGTCTCAATCATATGACCAACCACGTCCAGTTACCAGTCCATGTCGGGTATGAGATTAGTTAGCCAGTTATTTGTTTCAGATGTATGGGCTTCATGTAAATACTGAGCACTGGCCGCAAAACAATTTAAGTAATGCTAGCCTAGCATACCGGTTTTTATAGTTTGCCACGCCGAAAAATCAACTTCGCTTTCAGTTAAAGTCGTAGTTTCATTAAGCTGTAAAGCTCTTCCCCGAATCTCATATTCTGTGTCGCCTTTGAGCCCTGATAACCTGCCAAATGCCAAAAGAAGAACATTGAAACATCAAAGGAAGAGAAAAGAGGGATGAAAGGACTGTAGGTATACATGGGATCCCGTCCAATAAAGAATTTGTCAATTCAACTTGGCTGAAGAAAATAATCGAATTCTAAATTGCTGAACGGCTCTGAAAACGAACGACAGAATACTTTTTAGCAATATATATAACATTTATGAAATCAGGAAAACCTGATAATAAGTCTTCTTTAGCTTCGATAGCTTTTTTCTTAATATGTAGAATTGTCAGACGGCAGGTGATGTTGACTTATAGACGAACCCCAATACTATCATTAACTAAATACTTTCCCTTTTGGCGTAAAGACTTACCATAGACCATAATATCCTCCGCCAATCGATATAGCGCTATCTCCAGTTCCCTTTTCTCTATATTCCAACCTCCACTGCGAAACTCTTGCTGAATTAGGCGTGTTGAAAAATACGAATGAACCAGTCGGAAGTGGGTTGTTAGCCATAAGCGTTGGGGCTCCTGGCACTGTAAATAAGAGGAAATTGCATTAGCTAGGAGAACGAAATTATGATCATAATTTTAAATATTGTTTCCTGGTCGACTTAAAGTGAGCAGTGTTCAAAATTTGAAATCCAAATGGAAAATTTAAAGACGCATAAGCCAAACCTTCCTAATATTAATCTGTTTCTGTGTTCAAAAGGCTTGTTCGTACTGTACGTTCTTAAGGTTAGTTTATTAAACAATCATGCCTAACTATAACATTTGATTACCGACACTCTATGAATTTGCATTAATGTATAATAACATAATTTAATAGTTAACAAGGAACCAACTTGTTTGAACAGTTGATGATGGGCTATCCCCACCAATTTCTCCTTGCGAATTCTCCGCTTTGACAGTGACATCGTATAAAGTGCTTTGTATAAAATCCTTGAAGTAGAGTATAAATAGGATAGTTTAGTACGATTCCACTTTTAGTTTTGTACAATAATTTTTGTTGTAAATATATATATCTGTTTCCTGCCATTCCATTGTTCTGCTAAATTCCGAAATCATTACGAAACGACTTTTGCGTCACCAGATTGTACAGCTTCACATTCAAATGAAAACAGATGGTTAGATCTGGACACCGTATATGTAAAACGTTAATGTGTATCTAAAAAGCGCGACAAGTAGTAAATCGACCATTTTTGCAAAAGCCGTTTTCTTGCAATACAACAAGAAATTAGCATAACAACAGATCTATCTTGAACAATATTTTAGATGATTTTATGCGGGAATGTTAAAAATTTAAATCGTTTGACTACACCAAATTATGCAACCGTATAGTACCATTCTCACTTTGATGAGTCATAATACCACGTATGTATGTAATATCAATATATGTGACAGTTTAATGTACTTACTACGATTATTAATGATGTCTCAGTCGTTGTAAATGACTGCGTGAAGCTCGAATCGTACCTTTGTGTCACGGTGACGTGATACCTTACGGCCGAAGTCACTGATTCAAAGTTCACAGTAATTGATGTTGATTTGATTAAGCTGAATGTCGGCGCCGTCATTTGATCTGAAACAAGAGAGAAACAACATAGTCGATTTAGGATAGGATTTACATATTTATCCCGGGTGAGGGGGAAGTCGATAAGAGGTCTTAAGCATACGGCGAACCACGGCCTCTAGCCCTGTTTTAACAGTTCATTTTGGGTGTGGGATTAGTCAGCCAGTTATTTGATGTAACGTGATCTTGAATAATAGATTGTCTATACGAGCCAAGGTTACAATGCTTTGCTTGATATAAAGCAAACATAGAAACTGAAAAAGGCTAAAAACGTTATTTTATTACCTGGAGCCGTACATTCCACATGGCTAACCACGACAGTCGCGATCGTTAAAAATGATAACAGTATTGTACGGTACATTTGAGATGCTTTCTGGAAAATTAATATAACAGAATATTCTATAAAAAAATCAAAATAGTGTTTTATTCCCGAAACGAAAAGTACCAATAACTGTAATTTCATGGGCCCTTGATGAAATAAATTGTGACGGTTAAGCGGGGGTACTTTTAGGAGCAGCTCTATTTGTTAACATTAATTGTGTAATGGTTTGTACTCATCTAGTCTAATAATAGCGAAACGATTTGGAAAACATTACATATACGTGTCAGTTAGCACGGATGCTACGGTATGTATGAAGGTATTTATATCCAACCAGTAAAAAAGCGACTCCGTATCAACAAAGTTCTGACTCTGGCTTCCCAGTCTACTAGACTTAACAAATAAAACTCAATGAGAACGAAATGTTCATAGTTGACAAGCCATATTTTGTCCTGGCTAAAATCCAAATCTAGCAAAAAGTGAAACTTTAGACTAAACTTCACTGCTCTAGGTAATACCGAAGTGCCTCATTCTCTTCTCATCTTTATTGTACTCAATCAAAAAAAGCAGCGAGATTATTTCACTCAATGGAGCTTGAAAGACTTACTTATTGTGCCATTGCGAAATCTGCGAAGGTTTTTGGTACCTTTATAACTAAGTTAGTGCGTACTCCATTTATATTCGTCAGCAATATTTATAGCCTGCGCCTTTCCCACGTTTGTTTGTTAAAGTCTTAGATGTGATCACTGATCAGACTTTTCTGTCTACCCCTAAACAAAGCGTACCATTCAAAGACATCCTTTTGTGAGAATACAAACATCACGTACGCCATATTCATATGATGATAAGTTACGTATGTGCGTACAAGTACAATATTTACTTCATATTGTAGAAAGGTAAATTAAACAACATAAAGTCAACTCAATTTCGGACAAAGTTATTCATAAATTGTAAGTGTTATTATGACGACGACGAAAACTGAAAGTCACTAAAAGTCATGTATTGCTTTTCTCCTTAGTTCCATTGCGTTTCACACTCATTTCGAATTCTGTGTCTGCATAACTTTCTAATATTTCTAGGCTATAGATATGAATGCTGCTGATGTTGATTCATTCACCCCAAACTATCCTGACGTAGCTTCTAGCGCTTATAATTCATGTTTTTCCAGAACGTTACATGAAGTTTACGGCACAGTCTGTCGCCAGGTAGTTTTGTTGCCCTGTTGCTGATTTCAATACTGTGATAAGGTCAAGCGAATCACAACTTGCTTGAACTTGAAATAACGTTATTTTCACTTGAGGTATTGGACGAGGCAGGGTTAGAATACTTTTTGCAAACATCGAATGTGGCAATATAGAAAAACAAATTCAGATTCAATTATTAGTGCGGTACACAATCAATGATAACACATTTTTTATTCGAAACCGTCTGCCTCTCACTCGTCTGCCTGCTGCGAATACAGCAGATTAACTTTAAACAAGCAAGTCTTCCAAACTTATGCGCAAGATCTACCCCAAACTAGTACTTCTATAGCGCGAAGGTCCCGCTGGATTCTCCATCATCAACACTTATTTATACCTCTAATGTGAGCAGGCGACATATGAAACTCGATCTCTCGCTATAGTAGCACTCAAATATTTGATAAATTGATAGCATCGTACAAACAAATGTTACAGATAATATACCCAAGACAATGAATCACCCTCGATGAAACTGCAATCTACTGAGCAACGCACTCATAGCACAAGTTTAATATATAGTGGTATTTATCTCCTAATAAAATTTTACACGTTTTTTACGAATTTTTTTTTTTGAAATGCTGCGCCAACAAGAGTCAGATATGCCGCAGCAGTACACAAACGTGATTTCATTCCGCATGTGTACGGGGGTCATGAGAAAAACATTGCGACAAATATTAATATTTCAGTGTGAACATATTTTATCAGCAGTAATAAGGGTACCAAACCTTCATGGAAATCACCAGTCATCACATTTGATCAGCTTAATTCAACATAAGAATTATTAAATAACAAACTTACTGACGGAATGGAATGTCATATACGGTACAAAGCTCATCTCGGCACTGTGATATATGTTATACAAGTTATCTTTAAAGCAAAATGGCTTTCTCCTGACTCATTTTGCAAAGTAAAGAATACGGACTTAAAATTGGCGCCAATTGTCTGGAATATTGAAGAGTCGCGCGTTTAAATACACATCCAAAAGCGGTTTATCCAAATTTTAAAATTGACGTCATTTTGGGAGAAGATTGACTGAATATCTTTAGAGACATGATATTCAGAATTCTAGGAGTCCGTTTCAGTTGATAGGTTGTTGTTCAAATTTCCACTAACGTCTAAAAGATCGCTTCAGGACGTCCCCTTCGAATGCCTAGGTAAGTTCCTACTTATATATATATATATATATACGTAAGGTCACTTTCCGTAACAAGAAAGCGTTTTGTGAGAATAACTATTCATGCCGCGAATTCCTCACAATGTGATGAAATCGCTTTTCGCATAAGGTTTATATCTATTCTAGCCATATAGTAATAAATGTTACTTACCACCAGGTACCATTAATTCAATTGGTTGGTCATTTAAAATAAATCTATTGTAGGTCTCGGTACCACAAATCTTAACTCTGCTTGCACAGCGCACCAAACCACTGCGTGACAAACCAAAACGTTTATATTGTATTTTATTTTGACCTCACAGACAGGACTTTGATATAGATATATAAACATAACTATTTTATTAAAAAGAATAAAAGATAAAAATAACTATACAGTGTACATTTACAAATATACAGTAAATAAATCAGTGAAATACCTGAAATTTATATATATATATAGACATAAGCAATATAAGGCAATAAGCATGTCCAAATATTTGGCAGTGGGATTGGCATGAGTAGGTTGATGTTGGAATCACCTAATATATATATATTACAAACCTCTTTTTCGCCATTGCCAGATTCTCGAAAACAAGAGCTATTGCTCCAGAAAATTACTTATTACCTTTGGGGTGTCTGTAAATTACACCAACTATACTAATCTCTGGTTGTTTGAGTTTAGTTTGATAGGATAGGATAGGATTTACATATTTATTCCGGGGGAGAGGAAAGCCGATAAGACGGCTTATCCATATGGCGAACCACGGCCTCTCGTCCGGTTACCATTCCAAGTCGGGTATGGGATTAGTTTTACTGTATTGTTTGTTTTCGGAAGCATGGACTTGGTGGTGGAGGAAGCCGTAACCGACCAACGGTTACGTGAACCACCCAACGACGGCGAGGAGTCCAGCAATCCTCTCGCACATAACCATCCCTGCATGGGATTCGAACCTGCGAACCCACGCACAGTTGTTACAGGTGCGGTGGCGAGCGTATTCCTAACGCTTAGCCCGTTGAACCACACCGCCGCGCCTCTACCTACAAGTCCTGACAATTTAGAAATCCTAAGACCTAAACCAAATTCTTGAATTACCTGGTAATCTAAGTTGTTTTTAAGATAAAATCCTACACCACCAGCTTCTGTAGGAGTGCGGACAGATGTAAACTTATATCCTGGGATGTCGACATATATATTCGACCGTTGCCTCAGCTTTAATTTTTGTCTCACTTAGCGCAATTATATGCGGGAGATAGTGTAACTTTGATGTCAATTCGACTAGACGATCAATGTATTTTGGTAGAGATCTGATATTGAAGTGCACCAAAATACGGTCAGATGGTAGAAATCTACATGAGATCTCACTGATCTCATTTAACATGGAGGTATCGACAGTGAGTTGCACTAACATGATGATGTAAATTGTTAGATTCCCAGTTCATTTTGGAACAATATATAGGTAATACATGGACAGGAGACATTGGATGTGTGTTTCATTTAAGAAAAGAATAAAAAGTATACAAAAAACTTTTTAAAGGGATTCTATTAAAAGTGGGGCCCAACAACAACAATAAAGAGTTAGGTTTAAATAGCCATCGTAGAAAATTACAATGGATATTATAGTTATTCAACTTATCTGATTTTTTGCAGATCTTCTTCATCAGATATCGATAGGGTATTGGTATCCCTGTTTTTTCACCAACACTCGCCCATTGGAAGTCCAAAGAAAATCTATCTGTATTTAGAATCTTGTTGATAGCAAAATGTAGATGCGTGACGGCGCTAGTGCCTATTGATAAGCATTGTAGTTTGACTATTGAAACGTGAACTATAAATATCTCATTTTTGTATGGTTTGTAGTTTGTACTGTATGAATAATTCGAATGTTTTCAAGTGCAACTATTTCTGGGGCCCAGTTCAACGACTTGTGAGTATTACTCTTAGAAGGGCAAAAGTGCAAATTTTCAACAAAGTCCTAGTAAACCACATTAATTTAATGAATATCTATCTGGACAGTAGTATACGAGTATGTTCAATAAACAAAACCTTGACTAAACAAATAAAAACTTTTACTTTGAACATTTATTTTAACTGCAATATAATTGGTTAAGATCTAAAGTGACATGCAATTTTCAAGGGATTAAAAAAAGTTAGTTCAATTATTGCTTATCGCCCTCAAGCCATATCTCAATTTTTTAAATTGAAACAGTCATGTACTGTTTTGAAACAAAGAAAGCGATGATTCGGATTGAAATTTGGTAAAAAAAAATGAGATTTTGCATCTCAAAATTAGCAATAGGCAATACATTTCGTAGTGAAAATATTTCCAACTCGGAGGGTAAGAAGTTAGTTTCCACTCAGTGATGATAATGATCGCAGCAGCTGATATATATTTGGAGCAGTAGAAGAGCAGACATCCATATCCGACGTGAATGCAAAAAACAGTATAATTATGAATGTTAAACAGTCGTACTTTTAATTTGAGCAGCATTTGGAGGATGGAAGTGTAAAAATGCTAATTTCTGGCCTATCCAATAAACATGTTTAAAATAATATGGAAATAAGAACTGTAATATAATACTTGCTTAAACCACAACTATAAAATAGAAAAAATGTAGAAATGTTACAAAATGTCGTTTCCATTACAATAAGAATGGTCATTGAAAAATAAAAATATATGGGAACTAACGAAAATTGCTTGCTGTTCAAACTAGTTAGTTTGAACGTCCAAGTTATTACATTTGTGGACCACGTCCTAAGAACCTTAACTTCATAAAACTTAAAATATCACATTTATGTTTTGTATGTATATGTATAAAAAGAAAAGTGGAGCCGTTTTATCTTAAAAATAGCATAACACGATAAAGCAAAATTATTAACAATATAATAAGATGATTGAAGCAAAGTTTTGATTGAAGATAGTATAGTATGTAATGTTCGGTTCTTATGCCCGGCATTTTCATTGGTAGTTAACTACATGCTGTAAAAATTGACTTGTCTGACATCCAGCGAGTGTATAGATTTCCTCTTCAGAAAAATCCAATCGCTCGGTAAATTATGTGCGATATGGTCGAAACAATAAAGCAAACTGCATAATCTGGAAATAAATTCATGAATTCCATGGTTAATTTTGTTTATTTATCTCTTTTGTATCGATAATTTAGCATGCGAACTCACAGAAGAATATTTGAAAGTACTTCAAATGCGTGTACCTTCCTACCTGAGAAAGTGATATAAATGAAATACCGTACTTACGCAGGCGAGTGCTGCTCGCTACTCCAGATGTAGTAGAGATTTGTGAGTTGGCGTTTGTTACCATTTCTTCAGAAGAATCTAAATCATATGTATTTGATGAGATAAGAAAGCGTACAGACAGTGATATGTCAAACTGTGATTTGTCGTCTGATTAACAGTGCAGCTTGCCTATGTGATTATTTGACAACGTGGCGACGCTATCAAAAACTTTTGGCGCTTCAGGGTCGACATATGCAAGTTCCAAATCCAATGAATACTCACCTACTAGCGTACGGCTGTCTACATCTGAATTACTAGTTATCAGTGATGTTTTTTTTTTAATCGATAGATCTGAAGAAGCTAAACAACATTTATATTTTAAAAAAAAGCTATATGTATGCTGAAGAAAAAACTAAACGGTTAGTTCGATGATTGTCCAAGTTTTTACATTTGTAGAGTCACGTTCAGAGTACCTAAACTTCCGAAAAATTGAAAGATCACAGCTCTTTTTTGTATGAATATGTACAAAAAGTTGAGTCGTTTTATTGGACACGTAGGGGTCCTATAGATCGTTTTGTTATTATGTCGTTGTTCTTTGTCATAGAAAAATCGCTTCTCTCTTTGATTACTGGACCAATTGCTTTGAAATTTTCAGTGCTTAAAGATTAAATTTTTCGCTAAAGGACTATTACTTTTATTTATTTCAAATATTCCAAAATTTGCCACCATGTGGCGGTTCCGCGAACGCATGTGAGCGATACGTGGCCATATATTTGAGCATAGCTCTCTTGTTTTAAAATTAGCGTAACACGATAAAGCAAAATTATAAACAATATAAAACGATGATTGAAGCAAAGTTTTTTTTTTGAGTATAGTATAGTATGTAATGTTCGGTTCTTATGACCGGCATTTTCAAGATTGGTAGTTTACTACATGCTGTACAAATTGGCTTTTCTGACATATAGCGAGTATATAGATTTCCTCTTCAGATAAATCCAATCGCTCGGAAAATTATGTGCGATATGGTCGAAACAATAAAGCAAACTGCATAATCTGGAAATAAATTTATGAATTCCATGGGTAATTTTGTATCTTTGGCTCAATAACTTGCAGAAGAATATTTAAAAGTACTGCAGATGCGTGTACTTTTCTACGTGAGAAAGTGAAATAAATGAAATACCGTACTTACGCAAGCGAGTGCTGCTCGCTACTCCAGATGTAGTAGCGATTTGTGAGTTGGAGTTTGTTACCATTTCTTCGGAAGGATCTGAATAATATGTATTTATTGAGATGAGAAAGAGTAGAAGGAAGTTAAATTGAATGTCAAACTGATATTTTTTTGTCTGATTAACATGACAGCTTGAATATGTGATTGCTTGGCAACGTAGCGACGCTATCAAAAACGTTTGGCGTTCCAGGGTCGACATATGCGAGTTCCAACCCAATGAATACTCACCTACTGGAGTACGGCTGTCTACATCTGAATTACTAGTTATCAGTGATGTTGTATTGGTAATCGATTGATCTGAAGAATCTAAACAACATTCAAAAAACGTTATATCTATGCTGAAGAAAAAACAGAACGGCTTTCGTTGAACTAGGTAGCTAGTTGATCTCAATGTGATTCAAAGGTATATAGTAACTTTATTTTGTCCATGGACATGGTCACATGCACGGCGCTCCATAAAAATTTAAAAAAAAATAACTCAGCAATGTTATAGGGAATCTTGAATACCTAGTGAATATCAGTTTTTTTTAATTTTTTATTCATACATATATAATTTAGCGCAAGAGACTATTTGTGTCGACATAGTTACACAAAAGGCATTTGAAGAACAACTTGAGCAAGCTCCTCGACCTATAAATCAATTGGTTTCATTGTCAAATATATTCCATTTGTTAATTTGTGAGCGCATAAATTAACTAACAATAGAAAATGTCGTTTCATTGACGCCATATAGGCCTGGAATTATTTGAAATAAAAAAGGGTTTAGGGAAGTTTTAATTCCAATTCGTTCCCACATGCTCCATATTTATATGGTTTTCAAACATTTGTCATAGATTGTTATCTATATATCACAGAATAGAACCGAATTATTCATTATTCTGAACGAATTAACAAAACGTTTTTGAATATACATAAAACATTTATATTTTAAATTCTTTTAATGAATAACTACTGGATTGCTCAGTAATTTTCAGTGATTGAAGGTTGTTGTTGTCGATAGGAGGCTAATACTTTTGTTTATTCCTAATTTTTTTATGAATTCTGATATTTCATTCAAATTCCGCTGAATCATCATTTTTTTATTCATAGGAACACGGTTTTCAATCCACCATGCGTGGCGGTGGGTACGGTACAAAAAGTACTTTTCTGGACTCGGTGTCCATATATTTGAGTATCGATATCTTGTAAAAAATATATTAAGGTTTTTTGTCTGTCGAATACAAAAACAACACTGTCAAAATGGCAAATTTCAAAATGAAAATATTTGAAACTTTTCGATTCGTTTGGGATGTTTTTAACGATAACTAAAAGGGGAATTTCAAAACCTGGAATGAGATTCACCTGATAAGATTGTTACATAACCAGATGTAACTGAGCCTGTACTTCCATCCTGTTTTCGAGTACTCACTCGAACTGCAAATTTCAGAGATGGTTGAGACGTTTGTTCCCACTGTTGAGTTACCTGTATCAGAAAAAAGACAAATTTAACTGGAAAGCGCCATCGGAAATACCACGGGATGTGCAGTAGAGAAGAATTCATTTAGACGTGGTTTCGAATTCGGGCTGTGAAAAATTTTGTCTCCGACACCATCTTAGAATACGAGAAAATCAAATTCTAATACCAAAATCTTGATCCCAATTCGCATTGAACGTCTGACACTCCGACTTCTGACTCCCGATAATTCAGAATTTAGGCTGCGACTCTAGTGGAGACATGCGAATCTCCGTCTACGACTCCACAGTTTTGAACAATACACAGAAAAAAAACAAAATACAGACTTACTTTGATATACTCTGAACCATCAATATCCTTTTCTGGTACGCTATTTAGAACATTACTGGCATTTAGAAGCTCGTACTTTATTGCTTTATCAACTGCAGGGATACTGATAGTTGCTATACTCTCATTTGATGATGATGCAACCGTTATGTCAGAGATGTTTAAAATGCTTGCACTTGCATCTTTCAATGAAATAGTATAATATAGAAAATAGGTAATTGTTTGAAAACGCGTTTGTTAAATTGCCGCATGCTCATTACTCACCCCTGAAGTACAAAAAGCTGCACATTTTGCAAGAAATCGTTTGAGCAAACCATCAAGTTATCAAGCATATATGCTTTAGTTAAAAAATATTAGGAGTTAGGTTACGCGAGAAATATTACTTGCGCGTATCCGCGTATATCTTGTAAGGATGCTGTAGCAATAATAAAGACTACTCGTCCATCCTCCAAAAATGGATGAATTTTGATTTTATTCATTTTCCAATCGTCACTTTACTGCGCTAGTGATAAGCATAACTTGGCCGCGGCGGGAGACACCTTATCGTCGTTAAATTATCAGAAAATCGAAAGACAATTTCACACAAAAATTGAAATAATAAACTATGATCCAACTTGTGGTGTAAAAAAACGCTTCAACATATTCTGTTCGTTGAACAATATTCATCGCTGATAAAAACTGGGTATAGGAAGAATTATTATCATCCGAAGCTTGATTTCTGAGACAATCTTTCACAAGAAACTTTGGATTTAATCCGAGAACGGTGTTGGGTGATACGGTTTGTTGAACAACGCCATCATCTGTGAGTAATTCTAAAAAAACGTTGTATATGGCTTGTAACAATGTCGTTTTTATCCCAAATTACAAAAGTATTCATTATGAACTCCTTACTCTATGGTTGGTACAACTCAGTGATTCATGAGATACATATTACATTATAATTTAAACGGCGGCCATCTCGAATCGATGGAATTCTGTAGAATATAATCATAGCATACGATGCAACCCCGCAGTCGTACAGCTAGCTGACTAAAGGCATGACAATTAAGAAGAAAATGCCATCGAAAAAACATATTTTCTCTGGTTTTATTTACAATTTTCGGAGATAACGAATACACGATTAGTTGAATGACGAGCTATGTACATTTGGGCGATAATATAATCATGAAATACCTGTGCCAGATATTATCAGACTATCCATATCAGCTTCGGTTGATCCATCGGATAAAAAAACACTTAAATCAACTTCAAGCGTGTCCTGGTTTTCCGGTGCAACCAACATATATCTATCAACCAGTTTGTCGCAAACCTTCGACGAATTTGGAGAATATACCAAAGTGTATTCATCGTATTGCCTTATATAGCTTTGAAATCCTATAAGAGGAGTCCCAACGGCTTCATCTGAAATTTAAATAGGTTGATGAAAGTTAGTAACATAAGCACGATAACATACAACAATGGTATATCATTCTTTAAACAAACCGGATTCGTTTTCTTACTATTGAGCAACATAAAACAACCTTATTGATGGATGAAATTATCGAACAATTACATTGTCTCGGCCTCGTTTAAATTTTTTTTTAGATCCTTTCCTAATCCTATGGTTTTATAGCGTATGAGATTCCATACTTCAGCTAGGGAAGGTAGGTCCATAAGACACAAAAAGTCTATAAGTCCGGTGGTCAGTTCGGATCGAACATTTAAGCAGTTAATAGTTTCAAATACGCGACTAAAACGGCGAAATAAGTTATAAAAACCATCACCCTGTAACAGCGGGGAGTACAGTCAGAAATACTCGGAAATAATCGACCTGAGACTGTTTTGAAAATTAAATAATAAACTTCGGGACGGATAGATTTATGAAGCAAACTAATTGCATATTTACAGAATAAATAGCCATGAAATAAATTAACGAAATCCTGTTGATCAATGAGGAGCCGTACAATATCACGGGCCTGGGTGGTATTTTCTCAAAAGGAAAATGACCTAATCATAACATGACGCCAATAATCACAAATATCTCCGTTAAAATGAAACATGACCATTGGAAAATGCCGTGAATTTACCGTACCTCCGTTGTTTATAATTGAATTGGAGAATTGCGATCCACTTATTGTATAATCTGTTGCAGATGGAAGAGTTTTATCTGTGACTCTTAATTGATAGTAAGCCACTGGTTTTCCACCGTTATCTTCGATTCTGATAATATTAATCGACTTGACGCTACTGACAGAAGAATAAGCACTTTGTATAACAGCTAAGGTCGAGTTCCATTCGTTGCTATGGGCTGTTGAATATGCACTGCTGTATGTTAAGTCAACCAAATCGACGCGACCAAACACAGACAGAGTATCTGAAATCAAAGATGCCAATATAATACTTATAGGGGTTTTGAGCATGGGGTATCTGTATAAGATACATTGTGTATTGTACATCCATGAACCAACAACAGATTGATTGATTACTACTAGCTTAAAGTACAGTAGGGAAGATAGGATTACCGAGACCACTCATGCCTGAAACCAACGATTTTAGGAGACCATAAAAGGGTGTCTGCGTATCGGGAAAAGGTGGTATTTACAATATAAATTTTCAACTTCCCATTTTGCACTATGTCTGGAATGTTACGTATGATCAGAAATGTTACTCCATATATATAAATACTGAGTAATGGCCGCAATACGATCGAATGCTAGCATACCAGTTTTTATAGTTTGCCATGCCGAAAAATCAACTTCGCTTCCAGTTAAAGTGGTATTTTCATTAATCTGTAAAGCTCTTCCCCGAATTTCATATTCTGTGTCGCCTTTGAGCCCTGATATCCTGTCGAATGCCAGTAAAAAAGTTGAAACTAGTTCTTACTCAAAGGGTTAGTTCAGCAGATATACATCAGTTCTGTTCATGAAGAATTTGCCGATTCAATTTGACTAAAATCTAAATTTCGAATTCTAAATGAGTCCAGTGGTTCTCAACCTTTTTTTCAAGGATATGCTGTAATACTAAACGTATTATACTTTTATGACCAAAACTAAATGGATAATATAAAACAATCCACTTTATATACCATTTATCTCCCCATCATTAATTTTGAAGTGAGAAAACTGCGCGTGTTTGCCACCAGCGAGGTTTTGAAATCGAGGCGTGGCTTTACTAAAGCAAAATAAATGCTGCCAAGTTTTTATGCAGTGATACTCCCCATGCAATTACTATTGAGCAACACTTCAATACCAAATATAAAATAAACAATAAAATTTACTATAAAATAAAATTAGTAGCTTTTAGTTTTTTATTGGAAAAAGCAAGAGACTCAAAAATTTTTTTCAGGCAACCCAGTTTTGGGTCGCGATCATAGGTTGAGAAACACTGGGCTAGACAACTCATTTTTAGCAATTAACGTTTATGCAACCAGGAAAAGTTAATGATAAGTCTTCTTTAGCTTTGAATCGTTTTGCTTAATACGCAGAATTGTCAGTCGGTTATTTTGACTTATAGATTAACCCAAATAAAATCACTGAATTTCAGCATAAAGGCTTACCATAAAGCATAATATCCGCCGTCATTCGACATAGCGGTATCTCCTGTTCCCTTTTCCCTATACTGCAACCTCCACTGTGACACTCTCGCAGAATTAGGCGTGTTGAAAAATACGAATACACCTGTCGGTAGTGGGTTGCCAGCTTTAAGTGTTGGGGCTCCTGGCACTGTGAATAAGAAGAAATTACACTAGCTAGGAGAACGAATTTATAATCATAATTTTAAAGAATTTTTTCCCGGCCGACTCGAAGTGCTCAAAATTCAAAACAAAAATTGAGAAAGTTAAAGAACCATAATCCAACACTTCTAAAAATTAATGCAATCTGTTTCTATGTTCAAAAAGGCTCGTTCGTACTGTACGTTCTTGAGGTTTGTTTGGTAAACAATCATGCCTAACTAAAACAGTTGATTATCCATACTCGCTTAGTCTGCATTAATGTATAATAATTTTAATTAATAGTTAGAAATGAACCAACTTGTTTGAACAGTTGATGATGGGCTATTTTCACCAATTTCTCCTTGTGAATTTTCCGCTTTGACGGTGACATCGTATAAAGTACTTTGTATAAGATTCTTCAAATAGAGTATAAATTAAAATAGTTGACTACGATTTCACTTTCTGATGCAGTATAACTATAATGGCTTTTATTTCTGTACAAAGATTTTTGTTTGGAATATATCTGGTTGGTGCCATTCCATCACAATTTTATAAAACTCATTTCGGCTCAGTGGCACCCGCAAGTAAAGTTGAAAATTTCAGAAATCAAAATTGATCATGGTTTGCTCAATTCTGATCAAAAACGACTTTTACGCCACACAACTTTAAATGAAAACAGCTGGTTTGATCTAATGTGTACTTAAAAGACGCGACAAGTAGTAAAATGGCCATATTCGCAAAAACAGTTTTCTTGCAAAACAACACCTAATTAGCACAGCAACAAAGCTATCGTGAACAATATTTTAGATTTAGATGATTTTATGAGGAAATGTTGAAAATTTGAACCGTTTGACTACAGCAAATGGTTAGAAAATATACAAGCGTGGTACCATTCTCACTTCGATAATTCATAATAAAACTTATGTATGTAATATTGGCTGTCAATAAAAGTTGCTTTACAGTTTATTGTACTTACTACGATTACTGATGTGGTCTCATTCGTCGTCGTAAATGACTGCGTGAAGCTCGAATCATACTTTTGTGTCACGGTGACGTGATACCTTGCGGCCGAAGTCACTGATTTAAAGTTCACAGTAACTGATGTTGATTTGATTAGGCCGAATGTTGGCGCCTTCATTCGAGCTAAAGCAAGGGGGCATCAACATATAGTCGGTTTACGTTCTTATAATCATAGTGCATCAAAGGTTGATTGTCAGGTTGTGCTGTGTACTGTATTGTGTTTTAATTTCATGTAGAGTTGCTGATAATTGACTCAAAACTCCAAAATGATTAAACAGTCTACAGCACCAAAAGTAGAGTAACGTGATGTTGAATAACAAATTGTTTATACAAGCCAATGTTTTGATTGATATAAAGCAAATATAAAACCTAATGCACCAAATATGGACTAAAAACGTTATTTTATTACCTGGAGCCGTACATTCCACGTGTCTAACCACGACAGTCGCAACCGTTAAAAGTGATAAAAGTCCTGCACGGCACATCTGGGATACTCTTTAAAAAATTATTATAACACAATAATCTTTAAAAAATATATAATAATAAATCATAAGAAAAAATAAACTATTTTACTCCCATATATATATGTAAACGAAAATAGCAGTAACTGTAATTTCACGGGTCCTTAAAGAAATATGTTGTGATTGTTGACTGGTTTGGCATTATAAGCAACCCTTATGACTATTAACTATGTAATGGTCTGTTAGGACCAAAGCTATGTATGGAGATAATGGAGATAGAAAAATAGCTTCAGATTTAAATATTAGTGCGGTACACAATGATGTACACATTCTGTTCGAAACCGTTTGTCTCTCACCCGTCTGTCTGATGTGAATACAGTAGAATAACTTTCGAACAAGCAAGTATACCAAACTTGAGCGAGAGATATTTGATAAATTGATAACATTGTACAAAGGATACAGATAATATACTCAGCACAATGAATTACCCTCAATGAAACTGCAATCTTAGACGAAAAATACTGAGCAACGCACATATAGCAGTGATTGGCTGACTACCCTATTTCTCGTACACACAAAAAACAACATGACTTCTCTTAACATTGAAAAATCTGTTTGACTGAAGCGTGACGCGGTTAGCGTTGTAAAATCGCTCAATCAAAAAAGGGAAGTGGAAAGATTATTTTTGCGTATTTGGTATTTATCCCCCAATAAAATTTTACACGTTTTTTTATGAAATTCTTTTTTTAAATGTTGCGCCAACAAGAGTCATATATATATGCCGCAGCAGTACACAAACGTGATTTCATTTCGCATGCGTACGGGATTTATGAATAAACAGTGCAAAAAGTATTATTACTTCAGTGTGAACATACTTTATCAGCCGAAATAAGGGTACCAAACTTTCTCAGAAATCACCAGTCATCCCATTTGATCAGCCAAATTCAACATAAGAATTATTAAATGACAAGCCTACTGACGGTCTGAAATGCCATATAGCCTACAGCAGGGCTACTCAACTATTTTTACCAAAGTTCGTTTACAAAACTTCTAAAGTACTGGGGTCCGGACATTACAGAAAATTTATTTCATTAAATAAACGAAAGTTCAAATGCATTATTAATTAAATACAAGAGCAATGAATGGCTCGCAAATGTGGACACAAATGTCGCACATCGGTATCAGAACGACAAACTGTATAACTGTGTATTTAAATAGTATCGAAATTATCTAAAACTATGCTTATGCTGCCAGTGTAAACAAGCATACGCGGTCCAAATTGAATGGTCAAATAGTCCGGATTCGGACCGCGGTCCGCCAGTTGAGTAGCCATGGCCTACAGCACAAAGCTCAGCACTATGATATTATGTTGTACTAGTTATCTTTCAAGCAAAATGGCTTTCTTCTGACTCATTTTGCAGAGTGAAGAATATGGGCTCAAAAATAGCGCCAATTGTTTGAAATATTGAAGAGTCGCGCGTTTAAATACACATCCAAAAGCGGTTTATCCAAATTTAAAAATTGACGTAATTTTTGGAGAAGATTGACTGAATAGCTCCAGAGACATGATTTTCAGGACTCAACGAGTCTGCTGCAGTTGAGGTTTTAGTTAACGTCTAAATACACAAGATCGCCTTAGGACACACCCTTCGAAGGCCTAGGCTAGGTGGTAAGTTCCTACATATATATACGTAGGTTACTATTTACATGGTAAATTAGGCTAACGGTACATTGTTCTTCGCTTAAGGTTGGTGCTCCCGGAATATTTGTACCAAGATGGCGCACAACCTGGACATAGTATGTGTACCAGATTAGGGTTGTCCAGGTTGTGTGTCATCTTGGCACGAATACTTCCGGGGCGCCATAAGGTTTATATCTATCCTAGCTATAACATAATAATGATATTACTTACCATCAGGTACCATTAATTATATCGATTGGTCACGTAAACGAAATGCTATAAATATATCCTTTGTAAGTCTAGGTACAAGAAATCTTAACTCCGTGTATACAGCGCACCAAACCACTACATAACAAAACTTCTATACTGTATTTTATTTTCGTACATGACCTCACAGACAAGATTTTTATATAGATATAGCAATAGATTTTATATATTCATATATAACAAAACTATTTTATTGGAAAGAATAAAAGATAAAAATAACTATACAGTGGATATTAACGAATATACAGTAAATATATCAGTGGAATACCTGAAATTGAAATATATTAAGTTTAATGTCAAAAATCATACTTTATAGAGCAACCCAACCAAAATGCGATTTCGCGATAGTTTCCAAGAAAAAATTAAGTTTTATTATTCGAATTATTCAAGTAATAAAACTTAGTCATGTATCATGCACGGCCATTTTTAAACGCACTAACTGTAGAGTCATGGTATAAGCAAACATAATGAGTGGATCAAGCATGATCGAACAAAACAAAATGGAACATTTTTACATTCAGATTGTCGTCATTCAAATAGGAAAGTGCCACTGGAGCCACGGTACCATACAGCCACTATCAACACTAGGGACAGACAGAGGAAACTTTTATTGTCGTGCAACCAGTCAGTTTTTCGTCAAAGTGAGGTTTGTGTCGAATTTCTCATTAGGGTTGAGTTTTAAAAAATAATGCTTATAAAACCAACTGGCGACCAATTAACACTGATTTTATCGCTTTGTAATTATAACAATATAAAAGAATACTCAGTAATGTTATACATAAATATATATAATATAATATGATTAATAAAAAGAAATTAAAAACAGAATAGCAATGCTATTGTATTATTGAATAAAAACGAATATGTTGATTAACACATATTTTTCCGATACTTCTTATCTTGATAAATCAAAGAAATGAATTGACTGAGTGACTTTCAGTAATCCGCCATGGATCTTATCACCAGATAAAAATAGCAACGGAGTTAGAAATTGTATATCCAAACAGCATGATAAAACACTATTTTTACCACTAGGGGGGGAGTCACGAAAAACCAAAATTGGCTATTGGGTAAAAACACTTCGTTCAAGTAACAAATATGTGGCAGAGAATGGGTAAACTTATAGGTACTAATAGATAGGAATACCGGTACCAATGCTTTACGGATACCGGTATCAAGAGAAATATCAGCCGTACCGGTAACGAAAAGAATACAATAAGATTCATACTGGCAAATTGTATTCTGAGCTTCAGAATATACTGGAACAGATAATTCATATGGTTCAATAAACTACCAGAATCGGTCCTTATCTTAGTACAATGCATACATTTTCTTGTTTTACATTATTTATATACTGTTACCGGCACTTCATACAGCGTCACCATCTCTTGGACTATTTTCTCCGCTTTTTGATGATCCATGGAGTGTGTCTGTTGTTGGGATTCTAGAGCTAGTGTTTGGTTCATCATCATGATCGGAATTAATTCCTTGAGTTGATATTGGCCGCTTTGGAATGGTCTCTGGTGATCGTACATCATGTAACTCTAATGTTCGTTCAATGAAAGTATCATCTTCCAGATTTGCAAGCCACCTGAAAATTGAGGAATATATATTTGTCAGTATACAATACCTAATAATTTTACAATTATCAGATAAGGAAGAGCTGAAAGAAAACCCTTTACTATAACATACCCTATGGTAAACTGGTAAAAGACTTATCAGGTCGATTTAACCATACATGGGTATGCTGCAGGAGCCATAATTGACCAGTGGTTACCCTGGTACAAAAAGGAGTTCGAAACGCAATAGATTTAAACATGCCGAGTATGCAGAAGTGCTCCAAAGAAACGGTTCACGAGGTCCCGGTGACTCATTTTAAATGTATATTTCAAGATCAAGTTTGCCATGGTGTTTGAGTTGACTTGTTGGCTAAGGTATAGATAGTAAAATTTTGTGTGTTTTTTGCATGGTGTGATAAATTTTTCTCTGTCCCAAGCAGAATGTCATCATAGATCATCTATCCATCGCTATATAATGACAATACATCCCATTTAATTAAACAATTATTTTTTGCCTGTAATAAATAGTTCAGAGCGTTCCCCTTCACCTAATCATTGAAACATCTACTCGCAGTTTTATTTTTTGTTTTTCAGGTTACTTCAAAGTGATTAAATGAAGTAAAACACATAAGGAAAAAAACAAAAAAAGACTCCCGATATCCTGTGAAATAACAACCTCATTCCCATATCCTTGTCTGAAATCAATACCCAAGAATGAAAAACCTCACTTAGACCCTTTGTAACCAATTTATTTCCACATCCTATTTTACTTAATTATAGTAATTTTACTGTTACCGGTAACTTAATTACTTATTACAATCTGGACTATAATTTGGCAATAATAGGCTCTAATTTGGGGAATGAAATGGTCTCGCCCACCTCTTCATGCACCCAATTCTGGCAACTTTGGTTGGGCAACTTGGCATTTGACTCCAACTATAATCAGCTTGGCAATATGTTTTCAATAGAATCTTCCTTTTATATACCTAATTAACGATTAGAAGATCGATCAATTTGGCAATGGCAACCATTACAAAAATATCAATATGGTGTGGCAGATAATTTTCTTTTCTAGTATTTATTTATTTATTTTTTTGTTTACTGTATAGTATACCCTAAATTTATCGCGTTTCATTCTTACTTAAATAACTTCTCAGTGGTTGTGTGTGTGTGTGGCTGGTGGGTGCATGTGAGCGTGTGTGAAATAACTTGATAATTTTAGGTGAGTAAACACGTACCACTTCCTCTTGGCAAAACCTTTCATCTTATATTTTGTACGTTATAAACCTTATCTAAGGTTTTGTTTGCTCCCCTGATTTCATAATCAGATTTTATTTATTTGTTTTTATCTGTCAAATGTATTGTTATGCTGATTATGGAGTCGAAATAAACTTATACTTATACTTATAAACTTATACTTATACTTATTAAAAACAAAACCGTACCGTACTCGGAATATAAATCTTTGAATTTGATGTTGGTATGAAAATATTCAAAACATCAATTCGTACAGCACCACAATAATACCAATAATCAAAGTCTGCTTACTTTCTACACAAAAACACATAAGTCATTGCAGAGTTTGACGGCTTCACATTGATACTGTCCAAAAACCATCCTAGCTTCGCATCATTGCCATCATGTCCAACCGTAACCTAAAAATGATTTACCATGTAAAATCTGAAGATCAAATTTATCAGCTGTTAAATAAAGTAACTTTCTTAAATATATTTACTCAAATGATGAATCAAAGAATATTTGAGTATAGAGTTGATAACAACATCTCATAACACTAAAACTGAGATTGTGTTTCCATAACGTTTAGAACAAAATTTCATTTTTTTATTTGAAATCCGAAAAAAATAAATTTTTATAATTTACATTTACCTGTTTCAGGTCACCCAAGTCCACACCTTTGATAATGAACTTAGATTCTGAACCTTTGGCAAATCGTTGTTCATTTGGATGACACAGTAACCAACGTTTCCCGCTATCTGTTGAATTGCCTTTCTGTTCGCCGTGAAGTATTATGTAAACATTGGCAGTTGTCCCTGCCTCATCCTGATTCCCTGTTTTGATTGTGATGTCAAAGTCAACAATCTAAAAATGTACAATATTTGTTTTGGCTGTCATTTTGATCACCCGATAGAAATGTTATCTTTCAAATATCGGTTGCTGGAAACATACAAACGTATTGTGGTTAGCCTTATTCTACACATGCCATCAAAAAGAAAGACTATTTACATTTTACAGAAATATAAATGAGTAATATCTTTAAGTGTTTTTTTAAGTGTTGCGTTTAAAACTGATTTATTATTGAATAAAACTTACGGATGGAATCTTAGAATCATTTTGCTTTGGACGGGCTGGAACCAGTTCTAACCAGTTTGTACCAGATTCTGTTGATTTTCCCCCATTGGTGATAGCAGCATTTTCAAATAATGTTTTGCCAGGAGAGAAACTATAAGTAAAGTGAAACAATCAGTTTAAGTATACAGTGATATGGATGTTTTTTACTTTGAAATGGGAAAATATTTTAACTACCTGAAATATTCGTTGGTTTTCCTGTTTTTGATTGTTAATTTGAGTAGAGATATTTTTTGAATGTTCTTCAATGAATCCAATCGACTACCTTCAAAACTTTCAATTCCAAATCCTATTTTGTGTAAATTTTCAAGAGTAGAAGACGGCAAGATCTGAAAATAAACAAAATCGCTTATTGAATTTCCAAGTTTATATTAGAATGAATAAAACAATGACTATTTTCTTAAACTAATCACTGTAACACCAAGAATAAAGTAACCAACTTTAACTAAGCTTGGCCATATCTAGGAAGCTTGTGAGTGAAGCAGTGAGTGACTTTCAAACATTATAATTTATAAACATTTAGAGGGAACTTAAGATTAAACAGAAAACAAAATTTGAATTGATGTTGAAATGTAGTAATGGTGTCAGCCCTATGATAAGTGTAAATTTACATCGGTTGTCTCTTGTCTGTCAGTTCAACACTAGATTATGTCCAGGATGTGTGGAATATTCTGTTCTTGACAAAGAAATAAATTCCCCTCAATCAATTTATCATTGGTACCATGCTGCAATTATCATGTTAACCTTTATATGTAACTTTAATCGATTTGAACTTACCTCAATATTAGCTGCGTAATGGTCTTCTGCTTTTGATACATTATCTTCAAAAAATTGAAGATCGCTAGAATTTTTAGTGCCATACAACTTAAGAGCAAGTCGTGGCAAGTGATTTTTCAAATCGGAATTCTCTTTGTTTGCTTCTTTAACATCACTGACAATGTTCAAAATGGTATGAATGTCATAAGTTTCCACAACATCATCATTAGGTGAGCTTCGACGACTTAAAGGCGGGTAAGCTGATAAAATTGTGCTTGTCAAATCCAGTTTGATTTCATTGTTTGGTGCTGACGAGGGTTCAATCCACCTTTACAGAAAGTTTAACAGTTTTTTCAAAACCATTATTGTTACTATGTACAGTTGAATAGTATAATAAAACTAAATCATATTAAGATGGATAATTGATGATAAGAAGATAATGGTCTAATTTCAATAAGCTTGCATCTGATGAAGAGTGAGTAATACTTTGACGAGAATGAATAGACACATTCAAAAATTAATTCCTAAAAAGAAATGTCAATTCTGTAGTTTGTAGTCTCTTCATTTTTAAGAATAATTCACGTATTTGCCAAAAAAACTTGTGGAAAGAACAAGAGTATCTCAAAATGTTGCGTCCCACTTGTCTCACATTCATCTACGCTTAGGCAAATGGTCCGACGCACTAGTCCCACTTGTAAGAATCTTATTCATACGAATACTCTAACCTTCTGCCAAGGTATTAAACATATCTTAACTTGAAACATAGCATGAAACTTCAACCATTTGCACCACAATACATATCTACCCCATATATCCACTCAGAACAGTCTGACGAGTGTAGCAAGGAGGGGCCAGTGTGCTTTCAAGTATGAGACTATGAAAAATACTACATGCATATTTGTTAAAAATTCTACCTTCCATATTCAAAAGTGAATTCCTCTTTCGAGAAAAATCCTTTCTTTACTTTGATTCTGTCAAGTTTCCATTTGACATTTTTCTCTCCAACACGAAGGGACACGCTTTTCACTTTTTCACCTAAATCAACAGCTTCAGCAAAAAGCATTTCCATTTTACCTGGTTGGAACATGGCACCTGTGTCACCATTCTAAAACATAAATGTTTATATTAAAATGATTGTAAAAAATGACCATAGAGCGACTTAATAGCGATCAAATGTATAGCATTGAGAAAACAAACCTTTTCAAATACTTAGTGGTCTTGCATTGTGTTGAATATTTCAGGCATGTTAAATCAATTATCTTATTATGTTGAATAAACAGATAATTTCTTTCATTAAAAATTTGCAAATCTGGTTTACCCAATAAGATATTAAATGACTGAATATGGAGAGGGGTGATAGGATTTCTATTTTTGTCGTTTTGGTGAATAATGGCAATAAGACAGTTGCTTCACATGAAAAACACATTCAGGTTTTCATCATGGCAAGAGCAATCTAACTAATCGTTCCAGATGTGAGACTTTGGATATGGAATAAGTGAACCTGTGTCATGGTGAGGACAAGTTATCTTGCATGTAATATGCTAAAACAAACATGCGAAAGGACTACAAACAAAAGAAAACAATCGAAACAATTGTATATACCGATTTTTTGTGCAGATGTCGCCATCCTGTGTCACCATTTTCTCCAGATAACATTACGTCAACTTTCATGTTGTGGTTAGAATGTGCAATAGAATCACTCGCAGTGAAGAACATGATGTAGTAGTCATACACTGAAAAAAACACTTTCATAAAAAGATACCCTGAGTAGGAACTAATAAATAGCAAATACTGAAATACAACTTGAAAAGCATCAGTCACAAACACCTTAATTGAATTAGTACTATGGTACAGCCTAACCAAAATAATTTCATTCATTTCAACACATAATATTCTACTATATCTCAGAGTATACATCCAAAACAATTTTCATCATTAAGAAGTGTAGCTTATATTACAGGGATTTTTTGTCCGTACTTTATTTAAGAATATGTAAGAAGATATATAATTTGATGTGTTTGTAGTCTAGTTTTTTTAATTATCGACTAATGACTCGACTTCATTGATAACCGGAGCTGTGTGTAGTGTTTTTATAAATACAAAAATCTCACTTTTAAGAGGAGGTTTTCTGACTCGCATGACTGGTAATTCACGTACAGTATTTCGATTACTGCCTTCCCAAACTGGAGCTTCGTCAAAAACGAAATGAAGTTTTTCTCTGGAGTCAAGATCTGCCATTAACAACTGGACAAAAGAATATAAAATAGCATGAACATACAAATACGTATATAAAAAATCATACTAAACACTTGTGACTGACATAAGTCTAAATCTCTAGTTAAACAAGTGAATACAATTATTTTCAAGATGTAATTTGATACATTTTCTAACACAGGGCTCTACATAAACAGTCATCAACAAAATTTGACATCTTGGGTGATCTGGTGGACTAAAGTATTATAGTAGACTATAGTATGTCTAATAATTCATGATATCCTACTAATGAGGTAAATAAAGTAAAGTACAACAACTTATTATTTTAAAAGAATCAAATCAAATATTAGGTGATCATGATGAAATAGGTTTGATACTATTGTGTTTCTAGTCCAACGATGAGACTTGCCTACTTTTGCAAACTATAATAATTTACCTCTTCAAAAGGCCAGTCTCTTGTCTCATTCCCATTTTCATTGACTTCTATTCGTATTTTATAAAATCCATCATCTCTGATTCCCTCGGCAGAATTACTGATATAGTCATCAGTTTGTTCCTGCTCATCATCTGGGAAGACAACTTCGAATTCTCTTTCACTGGTTTCAAATTTACAAGTTTTGTAGATTGTCACAGTTGTATCTCCTTGGCGTTTCAGATAGAATGCTATTTTAGCAATGAGAGGCTGAAAAAAGATGAATATCATATGGAATAGAATTTATAAACATAATAATTTATAAACTTGAATATTGACTCAATTGGTCTAGAAGAGTTAGCATTAGACTAATTATTCAATTCATCAAACTCACAAAAATGAGCTAGAGAAGAGTGCTTCCCAGAACCACCATTTAGTTATACAGCAAATCTAATAACCATGTTTGTAATTATAGACATAGATCGTTAGACTCGTTGCATATTAATCATAATTAATCAAATCCAACTCTTGTTTGATATAGGACTATTATGATCGTATTAATATGGCGTCAATCCTACAATCAAACAAACATACTTCGTCCCTTTCATCATCAACATGATCCTTTGCCTTTAATCTACAATTCCATGATCCTTTTGACATTCTCAAGAAATTACTTGGGTAGTGAAATTTAACTCCAGTAAGATATAAATCTTTTTGAATCACTTTTTCATCCACGCCTTCATCCAACCATCTGAAACAAAAAAATTATAATTTACTATATTTTCAAAAGAGAAACAATTTGTCATTTTACATTTAATTATGATCCTCATTCATTGCAAACTGAATCAATGTTCGAAAAATAAAAAAAAAACAAGATATAGCTAAATCAAACAAAAAAATAATAAACAATATTTACTTGTTGCATTGGAATACAAAGTCAGATTTCTTTTCATTTCTTTCCTCTTGTATTGAGACATCTTCCAAGAACCATCCAGCACCTAGTCCACTGCCATTATGGTTGACAGAAATTTTTCGTGGTTCACCAACATCAACCGTTTCTATAGTTACAGTTTCTTGACTTCCCTGAAAAAGATTGTACATGTTTAACCATTTCCATCATGATCAGCAGCAAAGAAAAATATGAATAAGAAAATATTTATGCTCCTACCTTTTTGAAAGAGTCCCATTTACCAGAGCTTACTTTTCTGAGACCAGTATCACCATGAGTACCATATAAATTCACCCATACATCTGCATCAGTGTTTGCAGCTGGTAGGTTGCCAGTGTGAAGCTGGAGCTAAAGAAAATATTAATTAATAGTCATAATCTAACTAATAAACATAATAAAAAGGTTTAAGAGTGGTGAAAGTTACTTGGAGATAGAATCATAAATGATTCTGGACATGAGCTTTGCATGAAGAAAATTTCTTCAGACAACTTACTTTATAAGTGTGATGTTCAAGTGGAGGAACATCTGGTCTTACAAGTGGAATGTCAAAATGGAAAATATGCCCATTAATTTTCGTATTCTCCATTTTCTTGTGTTGATTTTCAGACACATTGAACAAAAATTCTTGCTTGGTATGAAGATCTTTAAGTTTAATCTAAAAAGAGAAAATTTTAGTGAATAGTCCTTTTTATAATAAAAAAGGGGTGGGATAGGACTTTTATATTTATCCCGGGGGAGAGAAAAAATAATAAAATTACTCAATAATTTAGTGAATGACGAGCTCTCACCAGGTTACTAATGGCAATAAATATTGTTATTACTTAGATCTATTATTATGCTATCATATTTGAGATTAGATTTTACGCATTGGTTTTTTCTTGCTATAAATGTACGAAAGTGTCTTTTCCATATCATTCCCTAATGTATTTTTTCTGTATAGAAATTTGAATCGAAAGCAAGTTATATTGTTTTGCCAGCACCAGTTGTGCTTTATTTATCCTGGACATAAATATATCGGGTGGCAATCATGCATTAAATATCGTTCTTCGTTTGATTCACTGAGTGTTCCACATTTCTGTCCGAATAAGGCTCTATACAAGCATAGATTGATTTTTATTTTACTCCGAAATGACTCTGCACAAGCTAACACTCGTGTAAATACTACTTGCAGCATTGCTCTAAACTAGGCTCCAGGAAGGCAGTTCATTATACTTAAATAGCGACAACAATTCTGAAAATAAATATTTTAATTCTGCTAAAACATTAAAGCCTAATGTTTTAATTACCTTGTTCAAATTAGGATCCCATTGTTTGCAACCAAGCCGCACTAAATACAGTGTTCCCATATCCGATCCAAGCAGAAGACAAGTTTCTACAATTTTCATATCTTGTTTTATTGCTTTCTTTCTTTGTGGATTCAAAGCAGATAAATGTAGATTTTCTGATGAATTTCTGGTTCCAAATACTTGTACCGTAACTTTATTTTTTTCTAAGTTCTGAATCATAATAATTTCATCTGAATCTTCATGTGCTTCTTTGTCATCCTGAGAAGATTGTCAATTTATTAACGATGACTACCGCTATAAAATTTGAAAATTTATTCAGAGTGCAACTTGCATAGCGTCTAAATAGATATTGTACACATTTAAAAATAAGTGAATTATAGATATCATTAAAGTTGGTTAAAAGGAAATGTAACTATTTCCTAATTTTCTTCATAAGTCAATTGCAAATTCCACTATCATTGCTTGTATTTCCTATACCAAAATTTGTGTATTATAGCAAACTAAAAACTTGTTTATGAAGAAAATACCATAAAAAGAAATTTCAAACTATTAATAGTGCATAAACCAGTGAATTTTCCACGAAACTTTTGAAAGAATGGATACGTCAAGACTTGACAATTTAATTTAACTAATCTTAGCGAGAGTCCACAATGATTTGCCCTATACTACCAAACGTGAATGAATAGAGAATTTTAGCAAACGCCCTAATTTTTTTGTCTATTTTGTTAGATTATGGGTTGAATTTCAGTGTTTTCAGGATCAAAATTTAGCAAGCACTAGTTGTTGCAGTATTTCGCATACCTGTGAATAATAAAGTGTAAGATTCCACACTCCCTCCGAACTCCTTTGTGCTTGTTTTGGTCCAGACATGTCCAATTGATTTGATGACGGCTTTATTGAATAAGGGCTTGATTTATCCAACAGATCTTCAGAAAGCTCAAATATTTTTTCAATGCGCTCTTCTGATGTTGTTGTTTTGAATATGTGATCAACTTCAGATTTATATATCATTGAGTTAATGGAAGCAACAGCACTAGAACTTGGATGATCTTCAATGCTGATGGAAATAGTCTGAAGAGTCCAACCATCACCTAGGAAACGAAGTTTTTTTTGATTCATACCAGAAAAACTTGGTAGTTGATTGTCGAAGACAAGCCCATCACCTCATAGTGTAAGAGAACACAAGAACACTACCTGTTTATATTCAGATTTTGACCCAAACTGTTTAAAGAAACTCAACTTCAATGAAAAAACATAAATATTATACTTTTATCTTGTTCCTCTGATTCGTACATGACTCCAACAGACGAAAGTCTACCAAGATCTACAGAATCAAGTTTGAACAGATATCCATCCTTTTGTTCGGTTGCATGGAAACTTTGAGTCCTGTAAAAAAAGACAAAATTTTAGTCTAAAAATTTAAGTTCAAATTTCACTTATTTTCGTTTAATTATCCGCTATTAATGTATTTATATAAACATTACTCTGATATTGACCTATTGACTACATAGTTTAACCATACAAACCGAAAATTTAATGAAAAATTACCCTGAGATAAATGTCCTGTAACCTGAATCCCCAGATTCTCCAAATAAATTCATTTGCAATTTTCCAGTTGGAACGAGATTGGTTGATGCTGGTGACATTACAACATCAATGAGGTAGCGGGTGACTAAAAGCAAAAATTTATTAGAAAATTTCCCATTTTTTATGCACGAAACATTATTCCAGAGCAAATATTGCAATTGTCAGGAGAAAATGATAGACCAGCACATGCATCTGAAACTAATAACTAGATACCTATCATCTCATATCCATCATGGGCTGATAATATGATGATGGATCATGGTTTTTCATATGATTAAGTTGTCTAATCAGTTTTCCGCTCATCTGAGTTTAGTAAACAATCATGTACATTGTTAGTTAAGGTAACTAAAATTGATTCAATGACCAGGCTAGCACATTATCAATACAGAAAATATTTAAACTTGAAAATATTCCACTGATAAGACGGAGCAAACTCTCACTCACATATAAACTCACTCATAAACACTCACCCTTGGACAGAGGTTTCTGTGGTTTTATCACTGGAAGTTCCTTCGTAGTAGATCCACTCTCTGAATGAAGTTGTGTATGAAATGCAAACTGTATTTGTTCTTTTGTTCGAGTGTTTTGAAGAGAAATATTCTCAAGAAACAGATTGGCTGAGGTATTGTAGTCTGGTATTCCAACTCTAAAATATTCGAAACAAAACAATTAGTTTTTTATAGCAGAACATTATACACCAAAGTCAAGGGTAAAATTTTAACCTTCCTAGTTGTTTATTAAATTTGTAATTATTTTACGAGACGTTTTACGACATAGTATTTATGTGATGTTAATCTGAATTATTGGCAAGGCAGAACTCCTGAAAGAAAGAATTCAGATTTAAGCGTCAAATTTAGAGAAGTTTATCTATAGCTTTTCTTATAACAGGAATCGAATAAAAGCGCAACAACTTTATCAATGCACAGTAAAAAACGAAATTGTTATGAATTACAAAACAAATTTTTGTATGAAGTCTATGCACCTGAAACAAATAACAAGTTAACTATTCCCAAATGCGACATGGACTGATAACCGACAATGGTTCGCCATAGGATTAAGTCATCTTATCGACTTTCCTCACGCCATAGAATAAATATGAAAATCCAAAGTATACCTAATCTTAAATATTTCTCCAATTTCTTTCAAGTTAATCTGAGTTTTCATCTTCTTTCTTCCTCCAGTACTCCATTCTCCTAATGATATAATATCTGATTTTCGAAGTCCATTCGTTCCATAAAAAACTCCAGTAAGATGGATGCGATTGATATCCTCTGTAGCCACCTCACTCACAGAAACATTCACTTCCCATAAACCATCTGTAATATTATTGAAATATGTCAAAAATTTTCATATTTGCGTCCCTACTTTAATAAGTTGAAGTAAAGTATTAGTGACTTCCAAAGGTTTTTATGATCTTACATTAAGAAAATATTCATAAATAGCTAATGATAACAAATACTGAAAAATATATCAATTTGAATGTGTTAAATTAAAAGGAAGCAAATAAGTTTGTTGTAGACTAATTTGTACTCAATCAATTCAAGATATTTACGCAATATAATTTCTACATCCCAACATACCATGTCCACCTTCTCGACTTGAAAGAGTTCCAAGCCCCTCAAGTTCCTCTTCATGAGAATCAAGAACCATCACGCCAACTGGAAACAGCCGTCTTGATATTTTGAGATCTCCGATATGGTCATCAAGCCAAGCATTACAAGGAAACACCCATTCAGAAGGAGCAAATTCGCCAGCACGAACTGTAACCTTTTCAACATACCATCCAGCACCTGTTATATTTATATGTGTTTATGAAAAACTTCACTCCTAATGGGGCTTTAAATAATATGGTCATGATGGCCAACTGGTTTAATCCAGTTAAACATGCCAGTTGTATTAACACCACTGCACATTTACTCGAAAACCCCCAAAATATGTCAGAATAACTATACTGACAAATAAAGACATTATGATTATCTAAGACTTATTAATGCCATAAAAGTGAAGCACACAAGAAATATTCTTACCATATCCTTCTCCATCGTGCCCAATAACTAATTCAACAAGTCTACCAAGATCAACAGCTTCAATCGTGAACATATCAATTCCACCTCGCTGCAAAATACCAAATTATATTTTAATAGGAATCAGAACACTTGAAAAAATGTCCATATTCATCTCAGGAGAGAAAGTTAAGAGACCTGATGAAATGGCAAAGCATAGCCTATCTACTGAATTGCTGGAGCGCTTACCAATTTGAGTGTTGTGATGGACGTCAAGCTAACGTCACATATCAAATTTTTTATGGTATTTGAATATACAGGTAAAACATAACATACTCACAATGGTAAGTGTGTGCCAACAGTTTACAACAAGTTTCAAAAATCAAGACTTTAAAGGAAACATTAAATGTTCAGATCTGATATTACCTGAAATGAAGCACTATCTGATGAATTGCTTTTAAAATATCGACGACCAGAATCACCCCTGTCGCCTCGGATGAGAGCATAAATATTTGCATCAGTATCAGCACCATGGCGATCTCCAGTGTAGATAGTAACATTGTATAATATGGCTAAAAAGTGAACAAAACGTGTTACGCAATTATAGGATGTTTTTCTGAGGAGCAAAATCCATAAAAGAGTTTGAAAGTGGATTGGAAGAAAGGTTTTCTCATACTTTTCAATGTCTCATGTCCATCACTCACAACAGCAATCTCTCGAACAGTTTCTTGATCATCATCAGCGGTGGAAAGCCATCTGAAAATATAATTTTCCACAATAGAATAGAAAAGGAAAAAAAAATTAAAATAGTGTTGAAAGCAGTCAATTTGGGTACATAAAACTGACTACCCTTCGTCTTTACCTTCTGTTTGTGGATTTCCATGAGTGAATTAAAAGAATGCATTAGCGAGATAAAATTGAAATCCCAATGGAAGGACAAACACAATCATGTCAGATTGTTTTTTAGTGCCAACTCTGCCTTAAATTTGTTGAAATTAATAATTACTCCAATGAAATTTAAAATATCCAGAAAGTCATAATAATATATTCCTTGCTGAGGCATACCTGTTGCAAGGGAATATCAGCTGTTTTTTGCTTGCAATATCTTCCAGAACAATTTTTTCCAAAAACCACGATGACCAAGAACACAAGTGGTTATACGATACTCGAATCTTGTATATTGGGCCGATTTCAGGAATATCAATCTGCAACATAACAGCATTAAAAATCCGGCATAGTTACAAAAAAATTACAGCTATAAAAAAACTCTAAAAACTCTACTAAATTTTTTAAATTATCCAGAAAGCAATGGTCGAGCAGTTATGCAGTTTGCATTGTTGGTTAAAGAACTGAAACAAAAGCCCTGGGCCATTTATTGTTCAATCAGCCACACAATGTGTAAGAAATTTGATAAGCAATGCCAAAATAAAAAGATTATTTCACCACTTAACCTTAAACGGAGCCTCCATTTGGAAGAACCGGAAGTTATCTGATTCAGCATGGTCTACACATACTATATTACATCAATACACCATGGGTGAAAGGTGGTACTAGCAGGTGATCTGTCATATAATTAGCACCCCGCATACTAACATAGTTGAGCTCAATGCACAGAGCCATTATGCACAAAAATCAGTAACAAAAGTGTACTTTGCATTCATCGGTCTGTCCAGGTCTGAAGCAGTTGGTTATATCTCCAGATATTCTCAATCCATTTTGACTTTTACTTCGAGATTTTCGTCTCATGCTCGAATCTCGACCAGAGAGAAGAGACTGGATGGCAATCTCCCCAGTTTTCCCTTCATCTCCGTATATCACCATGGTAACTTTTGCATCATCGGGGCAAGACTTCATAGTTGATTGTACACCAGTGGTAATGAGAACACGATATTCTCCGTCTAGAGAAATAATAAAGAAGTAAATTTAGGTGAAAGTTTCATAGTTTCTATATTAGATACCCAATGTAGACTAGTATACGGATTTGATTTGCCATATGAACAAGCTGTCTTATCACCATTTATCACACAGAATAAATATCATTCTATGTTTTTGAAATTTCACTTTGTCCGGATGCAATACTAATATTATTCTCTTGATCTGTATTTGTATATAGTGGTCCACATTCTGCAGCTCAAGTATTCTATTTCTACATCAACAAATAATTGCTTCATATCTAACTAAAAAAATAAAATAAATGAATTTGTATAAATATATCACAATTACCTGATACTTTATCTTCGACTATGTCTTCTTCGACTGCAAAACAAAAAAGATTAATATTATTCATTTTATTACGAAATTTTCCATAAAATATCACCAGAATTTTAATAAAAAAACAATGTAGATTTTGATCACAAAACTATGATGTTCTACAAAATCAAACCACTTGTCTGCAACCTTATCAAAGGCGTAAACAATTGGGTGAACTGGAAGGTACTTCTCATAAATGATAGATCTCAAAGCATCAGTGACCTTTAGTTCGGAGCCTTGTTCAGAGCATAAAAAGTGAAAAACTGATATAAAAACTGTAATTGGAATAATAATGTCATGTATTGGAGAGTTAGTAGCAAACGTTTGTATTACTGAACTATTATTTCAGGCAAGCATATTCAATACAATTATAAGATAACTGAAAGATATTGACTAATAGTAAAGTTGACTAAATCACATTAATCATGAAAATTAATATTTTCCTATATTGTATAACTAATAAAATCTTATTAATCATATATTCCATTGTATTCTATACAATTGATTTATAAATTTTCGTCCATAGCAAAGCAACAAAAATGGTCTCAGAAATGAGAGATCTCTTTTGAAATATAAATAAAAGAGGCCTATTTTGAGCCAAGAGGGCAAGAACTTGCAAAAATTTATTGAATCTGCTATAAAAATTCACAGAACATTTGAGATATCCATGGATGCAGATGGATGAAGACTCTACATTCATTTTTCATTTTTTACCCACAAAAAATGTTAATTCGGAAGATGAATATCAAAAGTAACAAAAAGGAAATAAATTAAAGTCTGCATAATCAAAGAAAAAGGAATAGTAGGGAATAATAGCATTGCATTTGATTTGCTAGAAATTATATGAGGTAGTATTAAAAAAATCCTTTCAAAATTTTCTACATATTTATTTCTATATTTTTCTGATATGATATAGCATAAATTAAAAAGATATGGTACAAATAAGAGAATCATAAAGATCTATCGTAATGATCAATTTTTCTAAGCAAAATATGACGAGAATCATAGACTAGCATATTGTAGAAAGCAATTTGATTTGATGGGATTGACAGATATTATGACATCATATTTTCATATTATGATATCAGATTTTTATAATAATATAGCACCATGTTTTGCAAACTTTTCATAAGAATATTATGATGTCACATTTTTATTCTGATGTCAAGTTCTGTATTATGATGTCATAATTCATAAATTTAACAAAATACCCATCCTTAATACGCTAGTATATATATATAAATATGTACAAAACTAGCATGCATTAACTGTCTAAATCTGAACTATCATCTAAAATATCATATTTTCATTAAAAGTCATTCCAGACTAATAGAGAGCCAAGATGCAATCTATATGATATAATGATAATCCGTACCATCCAGCAGTCAGTAAGTAGTACTCATCTTTCCATGCATTGGTTGATGGATCTCTTTAACCAGGTTGTGTTTTCCACTGTATCAAGCTCTTCCGTATTGGAACAAATAAATGCACAAGGCTAATTTATTTAACTTTTCTTCCACGGTAAGTCTGGTAGATGTTAAGTGGGAGTCTAGAGTTAGCTGCTGGCATTTGGAAAGTTTTCATTTTGTTAGACTGCACTTCAGCAACACACTGCAGTGCCTGCAAAGCTATGTTCTCTATTTGTATACAATTGCACTCAACTATATTATATATGGCTTTCTATGTCATTTTCTATGCAAGTTATTGGCTATAGCTGTATGGCATGCACTGTAAATGTCAATGCTTATTTCTGTGTCTGTCATTGGTTCCGTTTCTTACGTTTATATGGTGACACACTTCGACTTCTTGCATTCACCTTTCTCAGCGCCTCACCACGCATTGTTCTCACGACCGATCCTACACGAGGTGAGATTGATATAGATTTACGCTCATCAGGGAGAATGAGAAGATCTTGAGTGTTTTGTGGTAGTGGAGTCATTGATGTTCCTGTTGTGACAGCATTACCTAAATGAGCTATTTGCATAGTGGGATACCGTAGTTTTATATACTGCAGCATTTCTGGGGTGGTTTGTCGCTGAATCGTATCCATATTGTTGGCAAGTTCAAAGGTTAAAGTAGAAGCCAATGTTTCTTCAAAATCTGGTGAGTCGCTACTAAGTCTAACAGATGATGGGCTGTTAGAATTAGACGACTTTGCATTTTTGAAGTTGGGAGAACTTCCTTTTTCCGACAAGGTTACTGGCGTCATCACAGTTCCAGCATCTTTGTAGTGAATTGGTACCAGCATTTCCGGTGTTGTATAACGTGGAGAAGATGGTGTACAAGATACGCTATCTTGTTTGAAATGTTCGCTAGTTTTCTTATTTTGAGTTGATCTATATTGAGGTCGGACTTCACTTTTTACACTTCTGCGAATCCTTGCTTTACTCTTTGACTTTCGTGTAGAAAAGTACTGACTACTGGTACTCGTTTTTTCATCGCTTGACATAGTGTGCCACAGTCGTCTCGAATTTTTACGTCGAAGTACTAAAGTGTCAGTTGGCGTGATGGGTGCATCTGATGACTCAAGCGCAGGCAATGTCAATATAAACTTTGCATATTCTGTCAAAATATCTCTTTTGTTTGTTTCAGAAGAAAAAGTGGTAAAATATTCAATAAGATAATAAAAAAAATAAACATAATCAACCCTGTAGGAATTATTTAATTTGATAACAAATAAAACAAAAATGATGAAATTTGCACCCATTTTGGTAAAAATGGGAAAACAACATATTTGTCATTATATAATGTAAATATATGACAGTGTAAATAGTTCCTTCCAATATATGATACACACAAAGCACTCAACACTGCACACAATACTTTCTTATGACACGACTTACGTTTCACTGGGATCTCACGTTCAATTTTGCCGTCATCTTGTCCATCGTCAAGCCATCTAAATTAAAGAGTCATGGAATTCAATAAACAGAACATGTAAAATGAAATTCAATGCATGGTAAAGGTTTATATGTTAAATCAAATATTTTTTTTCTATCTGATTCGGTAATAGAAACCCAAGATTTAATAAAAGTAAACATTTTGGGTCTTATCAAATAAAAAAATGATTTTGACTGATTTCAATATAGCAACTCCATATTATTACAAGATAGCTTGCCTAGAGTCTAAAAACTATCCCAATTACCACAGGCAAATCTGACCCGTGCAGTGAAGCAATAAGAAGTAAACAATAGTTACCTATTACAAAAGAAGACATATTCTTTGTTTGATGACTCCGATTCTTTGATAACAACTTTATGTAAAAACCATCCATTTCCATGTCCAATACCATCATGTCCTATCTTGATTTTTTTCAATTCTCCAAGAGTAACGGCATCAAGGTCAAAGACATCCATCTGAATAAAACAAGAAATTATTATCATCTGCAGCCAATGCAACGTTCTACCAATCAATTGTTACTAAACAATACAATACCTGCGATTCCTGAAACTTGATATCATTTGTTTTTGACTTAATTAATGGTCTTACTCCAGAATCACCATTAGCACCATGAACAGTAATATAAACATTAGCATCTGTATCACTTCCTAAGATGCTTCCAGTGTATACCATAACTTGATATTTCAAAACTGAAAATTATAAAAAAAAATGTTAGTGAATTCATCTGCAGTGAAGCAGCAGAAGCACGTGATTCTGTAAGATTACATTGGGTCCACAAGGGAAACATAAATATTGGTTTTAATCAGAGCAATATTCTAAAGAAAACTTTTGGCTTAGACTCAAATAGACTTATCAAATAGACTCAGACTTATCAAGGTTCTATATAAAATCTAAGTGATAACTACGTTTGTATATTCTCTCATTGTATATGTGGCAACTAACATGAAACATCATTTGTTTTGTAAAAAATTTGCACATTTTTCTGTTGAAAATTGTCCAAAAAAACCATGTTTGTTAATACAATAAATTCTGCAACACAAAATGTATATATCATGCATGATAGGATATGATAAGATGGAATTTACATATTTATCCTGAAAGTCAATCAGACGGCTTAATCATATGGCGAAACACTGCTTCTCATCCGGTTACCAGTCCATGTTGGGTATGGGATTAGTTTAGCATGGAATTTGTTTTTACTTTTCGGAAACATGGACTTGATAATTGATGAAATTTATTCGAAATAATAGTTACAATCTGCACAAATACACAATAATTAATGAATGCAACTTATATTTTATTAGAGATAAATATTCGTCCTGACTCCTAACAAAACCATTTTACATCCGATGGCAGTCACCTGGCAAAGGTTCCACTCCAGGCCTGGGAATAGGCACTTCAGTAAATACTTGGTAACTTTCTTTGTCAGCAGCAAGCCATTTATTGACTAATAATGTATGTGAAATACCATTATGAGGATCAGACAGTTTTAGGTTTTCAACAAACCAAGCTGAATTTGTTCCCTTCGCATCATGACCAATCCGAACTTTGAAAAGATCGTTAACCTCATTCAGAGCAACCTAAAAAAGCATTGTTGATGATATTGTGCTGTATCACTATGATCTGTGATGCTACCACAGTTGGATTCTCTTATTGTCTCAAGAAAGGGACTGAATACTTGCCTTAAATTTTCCAGTTTTACCAGGTTCAAATATCTCATCTGTTTCACTTTGCAAAATAACATCCCCAGAATTTGAACCATCAGATCCGCAAGCGTAAAAAATAACTTTAGCCGATGTTCCGGCATCAGGATGAGTTCCCGTTTTAACACAAAGTTTCCAGTCTCCATCTAGGATCAAATATAAAAAAGGTTAGTTTCACTTCAAGTGATAATGAATGATAAAAGTGACTTGAGCCAAATTTCAATGAACCAAGCCTGAGTACTCAAGTCAATTTAGCAGACAGAAAATTTTTCTTTTCCTCAAAAAAGAGAACCACGAGTATTGCTATTAGGGAAAAAAATAAGAATACCATGTTTGAATAATGTGGCTAGGTACACACTACCTAAAACAAAATTCTGCATGAATCTCACATATTCAACTTTTTGTTTATAATCGTGTAAAATTTAATTATTTGTCAACCTCAAATTGGGTGTTTAAGAATTGGACACGTTAGAAGTAAAAAAAATCAGCTAATATTGTTCTAAATTGATATTAGAATTTCCTAATTAAAATTATAGCTATTGGACTTCCATTTGAATATTAATCACCTTTAAAATCAGCTTCATCAGATGATGATTGTTTAACATCACGAACCTCAGACAAAGATAAATTTATTGTTGCATGAGAACCAGCTTTCTTCAATCCAAGCCATCTGAAAAGGGTAGTTCAAAAATAATTAACCTAATTTAATGTTCAAACAGCAAAAACATTATGTCAAAAACAATTTTTTTAAATAGTTGTCAATCTAGTTGCTTTCATTTGAAGTGCTCCGAGTCTGACGTCCACTTATATTCTCAGATGACTCTGTTGCAACCCTATATGCAACTTTCATAGTAGGTATCAGCTTTCCTATCAGTGATGTTGCTATTTTAATTGAATATGTACAAGGAAAACATAAATTACAAATTTGCCCACTTTTTACAAGTGAATACATATTCTGTACTAGCTCCTTCTGATTCTCTGACAATAATTTCATCACATAACCATGCAGGATAAGAACTTGTTGACGTTAGTTTTGACGAGTTACGGAGTGATGTTGGACATGAGAGTGCACATTTAGTCAAGGTTCCGAGAGAAACTGCTTCAATTTCAAAAACATCATTCTGTCAAGTAAATCAGTTTTAATAAGAAATGTTCGGCAATGCGAAACAATATCAACAAGTGAAATTTTTAGTTTTAATTTTGGTAGATCAATTTGCTGGCAATGACTAAAATTTCAAATGCATTTGCTCTTAATTCAACAATGTTAGACTCTGCTATGTGTATGATATCTTATACTGATTATTATAGATGATGATACGTTCAAGTGAATGTTTCAGCTAACAGATAGATCATGATTTGACAAGAGTCAACTGTTAGCATGCGGCACGTATCTATGTTAGTATCATAGGTTTCAAAAAGCTCAGGTTAAGACCCCATGCACGTGGCATCGTCCACGTTGAAATTAAATATTTGAAATGATGAACTGCTAAGAATCTTATCACTTCAAAAACGACCTATGTACATATGAATGACAACTGCTTGTTTGAATCCTTGTCTGAAGAAATTATCAATCTCAGGAACAAAGCAAACATTTAAACTTTAAGTATCTGTAGAATAATTACTGTATTCCTTATTTACTAATGTACATATGAGAGAAACCACAAAAGGAATAGACCACAAAATATGCAGGACAAGTCATACTTGGTTTGGCATAAACGGCTTTCTCGATGTATCTTTAGAAACCTCATTCCTAACAAAGCTTCTCTTTTGTAACAATCTTCTTCCGAAATCACCTTTTTCACCAAACAAGCACAAGTATATAATTGGAGGTTTTTTACTTGAAAATGAAGAAGAATTCTTTGCGGTTCGTACTTGAATGTGGTATCGATGCACTGAAAAAAAAAGTTTTGAAAAACTTTTTACGGATACAGATACAGCAATATGTCTAGTGATCCTAAAATGGGCTTTATCAGAAACTCTAATTGAATAAACAATAATAGACTTTATTGAAGAAGGGAATGTTACTTGGATGAAAAAATGACGAGAAGTCAAAAAATCGACTGGTGCTAAACAAGCCAATGGCATACAACAAGATGGTAGAGTGGTTCCCAACCTTTTCTGTATTTGACCATCTTTTGTTGAGGAAATAACAAAAATAAAACTTGTGAAATACATAAATAGCCTACTTTCCAATTCTCCATCAGTTCCTTCAATTATGACAGGTCGTTCTCGAAGTGTGTCACCATCGTCTTTGCTACGAGAAATCCAGCGATTGAATTTAAATCGAAATATTTCATTTGATGTCATGTCTTTCATTTTGACCTAAAATAGCGAAAAAGAAGGAATTTAAGACAAAATATTCTGGGGTGAACACAGTAAACTTTTTTTATGATATCAGGATTCTTCAGCTGAATCTAACCTGTTTTAGTCTCCAATCACAGTTAGAAGAAGCTTCTTCAACACCAATTCTTATTTTATATAAGCGTCCAATTGACGAAAAATTTGCTTCAAATTCGTCTGTTTGTCCACATTGAAAAACACCTTTGTCACTTCCTTTACCTGTTATTGAAAATATCATCCTGTGTAATGTTTTTAAGTAACTTCTTGATTATATGAAAGGGTATCTATCAATCAAGACTGTTTAAGGATGGTATTTACATATTCATCCCGAGGAAAGGAAAGCCGAAAAAACAGCTTAATCATATGGTGAACCATGGTCTCTCTTCCCTTTACCAGTTCATGTCCATTTTATATATATCAATGAAAATAATAATGTGCAATACCTAAAGTAATATTTCCAGATCTTCCTTTATCTCCATAAGCAGTTATCGTAACAACTTCTTTTGTTCCAGAGTTGCCAGTTGTAACATAAATTCTATAATCACCTTCTGAAAAAATATATACTCCTGATAAAAATTTACAAATTGAAAAATTTCATTTGGTGCATTTTTCTGTTTATTTATATGGAAAAAATCTTAAACAAATATAGATAATCAACGACAGAAAATTACTAACCATTTGGCCCTGGGCTTCCAAATTCTCTGCTCCTTATAATTGCCATTTGTTTTTGTTGTTGATTTCTACTGATGGGTGATATCTCACTAATAGCAGGTGTTTTCCCTTTGTTATTCACAAATTGTTCTTCGGTAACGAAAGAAGGTTCAGGTGTTCGGTATTGGTGAGCGTCTAATTTTTTCTTTTCTCCAACTATGATGAAATAATTTTATGATTATATTTTCATATATGACTTGAGCATATAGCAGATCATAGACTCTCGCTAGGTTACCAGTCAAGACCAAGTAGGAGAGCCAACCAGCCTTTTGCTATTTTAAAAGTCCATAAGATAGTATTTGTGCGAGTAAGAAACTAGGATTCGATGCACTTATCCAAGCATTATCACTCTTGATCTATTGATTTCGATAAAAAAAACTCACATTTAATCACTTCAGGAAAGAATTGTGTGTTGCTGTCGCCTGTGTCGACAGTTGGTCTTGCTTTGCCATTTGAACTTAATCCAACGAACACACCCCTGTGTTTCATTGACTGCAGAGTAACATAGGCTCCTTGTTTGTATTTTTGAACCTTGAAATGGCAGTAAACATCTCCACTGCCCTGAAAAAAATTTTGTCACTTCAAAGCCATGTTTCCAATATGCAATATTAATTGAGTATTCTTCCAAATAAATCTGAATTGAGTCTTACCAATCCATCACATTGGCCATCTTTTATTCTTAAATATCTTCTGGGATTCTTCTCGCATTGAAACATTCTCACGCCTTCCGCCACCTTTATGACACGAAAATTTGCCCATTGTGGTGGAACTGAGACATTGGGAGATTTCGCAGCAGTTTTCATATCACCTGATATAGGACAAAATGAGTAAGGTAAAAATTAAAGAAATACACTACAGAGACCTATCTTCTACTAGTCGAGTCAAAATATTTCCAATATATTTGCAAAAATCCAAAGAATAGAGAATATATTCCTCTGTTTCCCTTTGTCTGCATAGCACTATTTCTAATACAAATTAAATGAGGTATTCAAAATTACTTACTTGTTATATCCCCTCTCTTTCCAGTTCCGACTACATCACCCACCCCCGTCACGACTAAAGCTTGAGTGGGACTTGTGTTGAATATGATTATTGAATTGTTTCGGAAACATCCCTAAAATTTAAGATATTGCACTAAAATGATATAAACAATTTACAGCAAATTTAAAAAAGTAATAAAGGTCATACCTTGACGTATACATTAAATAAACGCCCAGTAGTGTTGGGATGCCCTCTAGTGTCAGCAGGTTTACCGCTCGGATCAATACTGATATAATGACCAGGATATCGGCAAGATTCAAGCATCACAGATCTGTCAGGTTGAACTTTTATGACAAATTCACAGAATGTACCACCTTTTCCCTGCAGAATTAAACAGATCACAAGATTATTTTTATTAAAAATATACTCTAAAACACTAAGAAACCAAGATTAGGTTAAATCCAACTTCCTCAGTCTCTTCAAGTTTCTGTAAACTACTTTAATGAAGATAACAACTAAATTGTTCACAGGAGACCACATGCAAAACAAATATAAAACTTTATTGACTCTAATGAAAGTTTCGATGGATCCCTTAAAACTGACCTGTCCCAGTAATCTATTCTGGTCAATGGCAAGATGATAGGCTGGTGTCGAAGCACTACAAAATGATCGAATTGTTCCGCGACGTTTTATCACTTCATAAACACCTAGTAAAAAGGATAAACAATTTGAAAAACAAAAACATTTTGACTTTTAATATAAACTGATATGAGCAGAATAACAATTTTCACAACAATGCAAAAGATGTCTCGACAGGTTGTGGGGTATATGAACTGTTAGAAGTAAGCCAACAGACATCTAATGATCGTGTGTCAGTTCCCCATGTTCAAGTCGTATACAAGTTATGAAACAACGAATCGCTGAGCTCTTAGGCGCTACAGGATGTTACACACTAGTCAGTGACAGATTCTTCCACTACCTACTTCCACCATGCAACTTGAAAGTTTAAAGCTATTCTCTCACACTTATTTATACTAGTACATAATAACAGGACATGGTATCGTTTCAGATAATTAGGCCATCTTATCTGTTTTTCCCCACTCTCCCTTAAAATAAAACTAAGAGATTCAATTTGAAAGAATACAGAGTGAAAAACAATTTGAGCAGACACAGAATGATTTACTCAGAAACGTGATTGTTTAATATGGGGTGGTCCAAACCCAGGCCCGAGGGCCGGCAGGAGAAAAAATTGTGTGGCTCCCGGAGCCGACAATCTTGGACCACCCTGGTTTAATGTTATGTTATACGGAATCCATACTTCACTTCCATATGAAGAAGATAAAAGAATTTTTTAACGAGTTTAATAATATAATAAGAACTAACAATGATACAACAGTTATTGAAAAGTGGAAGTAGAAGAAACAACAATATAAAACTTAGGAGATAACTATTTGATATAAGGTAAACACCCCAACAAAGATAAACACATATTGTAGAAGATAATTAAAAAAAAATGATATTCACTACATTTGAAACTAAATGAAAAAGAACATTATTATGATAATAATGTCCTGTTAAGAGAACTATTACAGTGATATTATCTTTACCTAGGTCTGATTCTTTTATCTTGACTAAATCTGTAATTTTTTGATGTATTCTATCAATTATATTTTTAAATATAATATTTATAACAAATAGTATCACGCATAAATGTTTCACAGTATTTAGGAATTTGGCAGTAACTGGCAATATTTCATTTCTTTTTCAACATTTCTTTTTAGGCCAAGAAATTGAACTTAGGGAGTTTTTCAAATATACTCCTACCAAGACTCAAGACAAATATTCTGTTAATTTGTCGGATTTTGTCCAAAACTAGAAAAATCCTCAAACTTTCAGTGTAACATCATTTCCTTCACATCCCAGCAGTAATATAAACAAGGATATGGAATCTCATTTGAACAAATATGGAATATGTATATCAAACTATTCAGGATTTTCCCAAATTTTATCATTAAATAATAAATTCATGACTTTTAGCAAAATTTGTATGTTAATACTGCTTACCAAATGGATGTGAAACAACTCCTAGGCCATCTACTGATCCATCAGGTTTTGTTCGAATAGATCGTCCAGTTGCTTTACTTATTAACATGATCTGATTTCCTTTCTGGAATTTCCATTTCTCTTGATCCCACTTAAATTACAGACATTTTATATATTAAATTATTTTTAAAAATTATATTCAACACACCAAGATCCACACAAACACTTACGAGTTCCAATTCTCTTGATTTTTCATTATGATTACGAAGACGAGAATCTAAAAATGGAAAACATACATATATATATATTTGAATGACCGGAGTAAAATAGTAACAGAGAAAACAGGGCAATCATGAATCAGTTTTTTTAAATGCCGTATTTATTTGTACAAAAATAATTTTTGCTCTGATTTCGAACCAAATTATAAGTTACTCAGCCAGTGATATCAAATAAAAAAAGCATTTCAAATTAATCTCAACCTACGTGATGCTTTAGTTTCAACAAATATTTCTCTGACAATCTTTCTGTCATCTTGTGATTCATCCAACCAGCGATCACAGTGAAAAATATATTCGTCTGATCCGACTCTGTCTTCCTGCAAAATAAAAGATAATATGTTTTAATACTAAAGGACAATAATGAAATATGCTCTGTCGAAAAAAAAAATTTCTCATTCTTTTTAAACATACTTAGCTCCACATGTATCTGGTTTGACTAAAATTTTGTGTGAAACAACTTATGAAAGATAAATGGTATTATAAATGAACAACATTTTCGATACTAACCCTAACTATTATCCTTTCGAGGTACCAGCCAGCACCCGGACCAGCTCCATCATGTCCAACTACAAGACGTTGCAGTGTTCCGAGATCAACAGCTTCGAACCGAAAAACATCATTCTAAAAGAAAGTAAAATAGTTTAAATACGCAAAAATAACAGAAGTTAAGATGAAATACTACTCAAAACATTTAACGACTGACGCCTTTTAACAGTATTGAATTACGGTGGAATGCCATTTAAATATTTCACGACGGACACTAGATAACAGTTACATTTTAACGTTGCCATGACGAAAACTTTTACCCTCATTTTGCGTAACTTTTTTAACACTCTATATAAAAGACAGAAAATAAGTACATTTCTGACAATCACTTGAATTCCGAAGAAGGCATACAGCTGATTATAAAAATATTGTGTGCATTGTGTGCATTGTAGAACAGAATACTAAAATATACATGACAACTTTCACATCCCAAATTCTGACAATAAGTATGAATTGGCCTGTCTAAAAATTGGTATTAAGCGATATCCACTGGCATGCATATCTGTTCCTACAATTAAAAACTAACCGATCCTTTATGCAATTGCTTGGGTTTGCCATTGACTTGAAGCAGTCTTGATCCTGAGTCACCTAATGTTCCATATAGAGTAATGTAGACATTTGCTTCTGTACCAGCATTCCAGAGATCTCCAGTATGAACAGAGACGATGTATCGCAGAACTGAAAACAATCAAATTGTGTATAAATAACTTATATTGGATCCATATTGAATAAAGGCCTGGGAAAAAACAAAACATTTTAAACTTTGAGTGTTCGCAATATTTTCAACCCTTAATCATATGGAAAACCACGCCCCTCTCGTCCGGTTACCAGTCCATGTCGTGTATGGGACTAGTTAGTCAGGTATTTGTTTGAATGTATGTACTTGATGGTGAGGGAAGCCGTAACCGACCAGTGTTTACGTAAACCACTTACACAAATTAATAGTATAAATATCTTTACCTGGAGGCGAATGTTCATTCTGAGCTGTTGCAGGAAGTTCTCTGCATATTTCACCATCATCTTCGTCGCGTGACAACCACCTTTACAAAATTACGAAAAAATAATGTTAACAACAGTAATCCTATGTTCACATAGACAATCAGAACGATAGTGAAAAGAAAACAGGTTGCAAAACATATAATTAAGAGGGTCAAAAGACAGTATCGGAAAAGTGGATTCATACTAATAATTGGAGCTCATGTTGAGACTAGCCAGTCTGTCTTGTAACCTATGCTTTCGGTCTTAGACAATATTTCAGGATGTAAGACATCGGTCTTTTCAAACAACATAAACAGAACATAGTTCAAAGTAAAATAGGCAGGCAACTCATAAAATGAAAATAGGAATAAAGTAAAATTGATTACTGTGCCTACAAATGTTGCCTATATATAGCACATGGTGCTTTACATCAAAGAATAATATAAAGTAAGAGTCAACAAATTATCTTTTTTCTGCAAATACACCACAGGAAAGTTGAAGTTCTCAACCAATATTTACAGAACACACAACTAGTCTACAATAGTATATACGATTGAGCATGAACCATAGATATTATAACATCATGCCGTCTGGTCTTTGTGAACCATGCATAAAAAAGGATATTTTTCAGAAAAATACGTTTTCAATATTATATGATTAGGGAAAAGCCGCAGACTAATATATTACAATGTATTGTATGTCAGTCAGACCAAAAGTCGTGATTTGTTATTACCTTATTAATTATTCTATTCTACAGGTTAATATTACGATTCTATATCCTTATCCACACCCTAACCGCATCCTGTTGAAAAAAACTGTTACCTGTTAAAAGGAAATGTCATGACTTCCCCGGTTGTTAAATCGGACAAAATAACTTCTTCGCAAAGCCATCCCGGTGATGATTTTCCACTGTTATCATGACTGATCCTGATTTTTCTTATATCAGAAATGAACCCGACGTTCACCTGAAATATTCATAGATTTAGAAGAAGATAATAATAATAAGAGGGAAAGAATCAGGAAGAGATGAAACCGGGAGAAAAGTCGAAAGGTCGGTTATTTTGAAATATATAGAAAAAAGGAAAGAATAAAAGTAACGGGAACAGCAGCGACAATAAAAGTGAGAGAAATGTGAGAGGCAGAATGAAAAAGGTGAAAAGGGGGAGATTAAGGAGAACAAAGACGAGGAACGAATGAATAAGCGGTGTGACAAAAGGGAGGAGATGGAGACATTGGGATGAAGGAAAAGAATAGAAAAAGTCATGAGAGGAAGAAAGAAAGAAAAAAAGGGAGACACATGCAAAAAATAGATATAGAAGAAAATACGGAAATTAGAAATAGGCGGAAAATACCGAAAGAGAGCAAAAGAAGAATCATGTAGGAAAAGATAGTCTAAGATCAACGACTACATAAAACAGTGAAAAATATCAATCATAAATGTTAGCATGACGTTAAATTGGGCCAATGGTGTTGAAAAAAACACCAATGAACAACTTACCACGAATTCATCTTCATTTCCACTCATAAACAACTTTTTCGATTTGTCCCTATTTACAATAGTACTGGTTCCAGTAACATTGTTATGATTCAAGGGTATTGCTCCAGAGTTCCCTTTTGCTCCATAGACCGTAAGTAGGACTCGAGAATCGGTACCAGCAGCTGGAAGTTCACTCGTCGTTACGGTGACGCGCCATCTTCCCTCTTGTAAATAAACAAAATCAAACTGACTAACGGTACTATAATTATTTACGGTACTATCGTAATAAAATACGCTTTCAAAAATGCAATAGGCAAGATTCCTAATATTTTTTTGCACCTAACCGACAAAATGCAGAAACAGCTGATCGTTTGTTTATTACTTATTGATAGACAACCCAGTTCGTTGAATACAAATTGTGTTTAAAATTATATTTGTTGTTCTTCATTCGAATTTGTGTCATTTATTTTAATTTGGTAAAACTTGAAAAGTGTATATGAACTTATTTCCATTTAAATTTTACCGCACCACGGAACTTACTTGTACGTTTCAATTCTTTAGGCATCCTCGCTGAATCCACCGCGTTAGTGTTTTCTAAAAGAAAAAGCGAATTTGAAAAGAATAAAAAGAAAAAGACTATTCACGCATACAAAATCTAGGAGTTGTTCTATTACCATTAAATACTATTTTAAAGCCGCTGATTGCTGTCGACGTTGGTAACCTGGCAATTTAGGTTTTCAATCCTTACCTGCCGAGCTGCCTGACTTTGATTGTGCATTGGCTCCGCGTTTCATCCGGTATTCCATTGGGATAAACGATTCCTTTCCGGCAAGTACGAATACATTTCCATTGGCGAACAGCTCTTGCAGGCTCTCGATCTATCGAGTTCAATAATTGTTAGTCATCGTATTGACAAAATCACAGAATGTTGCAATAAATATACAGTAAATACAGTACCTTTCGTCCTTCGCATGAATATAAATGATGTTGTTTTATTCGAAAAATGTCGGCAACGTCTTCTAGAATTTGGTCAAAATTTTGATGAGTTCGGCGACTAAGGAGAATGATATGCCTGAATATAAGTGGAAAGATTATTAATTTAATATTTTATATTAATAGCTAAAGCAATGCGAATAATAAACCATAAAATACCTGAATGAAGGATCGCCATTCTTTACAATGACGACTTTCTTTGGTGTTTTTACTTGTTGATATCTTGGAGGTAAACTTGTCTCTGGGCTTGTCTGGCTGGACCTCCTCGCAAGAGTTGGAACACGTCGGGTGCGAGTCTTAGGTTTGCTATAATCAATGGGAAAGATAGAAATCAATATTGTGCGTACATTTCTACAATATATTTCTTGTAAATCAGAATTTCCGTCAAATTTTAGTACTGTAGTGTAAATTCGAGGCCCGATGTACAGAGATAATATGTATACGGTCGTTATCCACATACGCCGTGTCCACTAAATTCGACGATGCCGCTAGAATTGGTGGGTTATTTCTGTTGCACTGTATTGACGCATATTTTATGTTTTATGGCAGATTACAAAATCTCGACTATCGATTTAATCCTACCAACATTTGAAAAATAACTGATGCCGTTATTCTCGACGTATCATTCCCGTCGCCTATCAATTTTACAATCACATAAAACCCACTTCATACGTTTAATCCAAACATTAACATGGCGTTTTACATTAAATTCTAAACCACAACATATCGTAGATTCACGTCTGCAGATGCGTATTTTCATGGCCTTGTATGCTTTAAAGATGGTCGCATAAAAGAGGTTTAGTAAGATGAATAATGAGTAGATTCAATGTCGCCATTTCTGGCAATACGCTTAGCAACGAAATCATTCAGCGCAACCTGAATGCAATTAAAAGTTCTGGGCGAGAGCCGTGTCCGCATAAATGCAATAAAAAAACACCACCAAAACTAACTCGTTTCAAACCCACTCCTAGCGGATGGTTACAATTCCATGAATATTTTTTTACCTTATGAACCAGGGTGGTCTGTTTTTTCGCTTCAAATTCAGATTTAGAGGTTTGACTGTTTTTCTATCAGAACATATATATGCTTTTCCGTCCTCCAGTTCATCAAGTCTGCTTATTCCGTGAGTTCCATTCGGTGTGCTGATTGTGCGAACGCCGAACGGAAGAGAGACCTGTAAAAGATTGTGGTATTAAATAACGCTGAAAACAGCCCAAAATAGCAAAAACTATCTTTTAGTTAAAACTCGACCATACAAATTTTGACAAGAAATGCGTGCAGCAGGATTTTGTAATAATGCAGAAATCGCTGCACCTTCACGACCCCTCGCCATATATATGCAGATTTGAGGGCGCTCCAGAAGTGTGTGTAAACCAATATGGAGGTAACTAATTTTGTTCGCCTACTTTGCATCGCGTTGTGTAAAGGGATGGAAGCCAAGGTAAGTTCACTTGACTAACACAGACAATCCCCGAGCTCGTAATATAATTAAAATTAAAATCGGAATAAAATAAAATTTGGGCTGAGCTTAACCTGGTACACACACACACACACACTATGCAGTATCGTTCGCCCTTTTTTGTAATCGCTGCATCTGCCGAAATTCATCGACATTTATGTGATACATACTCTTTCGTGCATGAAATCTGATATAGTATTAAAATGACTCAATTGTTACCTTTTCTGAAAGATTCTCGAGAAGTGAATCGAATGTACGAAAGTTCCTCTTCGTTACTGCCACCTTGAAAGACTGAAAGAGAAAAATTAGATTTAATATAAGTAGAATATATATTTCGTTGTTGAGCAAAACGTAATAAGCAGAAATTCTTTTTTCGATTGGACACGGAAACTGAATAAGATGCAATCGATTAAAAAACCGTTACCTTATTAGGTGATCGTATTGAGATATTTAAAGACCCACGAAATCGAGGGTTCGAATCCAGTGGATAATCAGAAGAATGGTGATTTATTTATAAAAATCCCTTCAAAATGGATTTGAAACCACGGACTTATAAGCAATTTATCGATGCATAATAGAATTATTTTGCATTTAACCCTACCAGTTTTTACACGTGAGACACACCTGAAAATTCGTATCTCCACTTCGATAGAAGAGAACATTTTTTGCCATTATTTGTGAGCTGTCCTTGATACTCAATCTTGAAGTTGGTGTCGAAGCAGAAGTGCCACCGATGTGTGGTGGGCCACTTATCGTGGAATGTGGACCAACTGACCGATGTGATATGGAAAATGTGTCTCGGTGGTTAGCGGACAAACTGGGCGGTCCCGGATGCCGAGGCATAATTGGCAGGGACGTAGTCCCACTCATTTTGCCAGTCGTTTATATTACCACTATGAAAAAGTTTATTGTGGATAACACATTTTAATCTGAATAAAATGCACAATAGATGTACGCCATAATAGCCTAATATTTATACGGGAAATTTTGACGAGCAAAGTTAATAACACACTCACGCAGTAGCGAATGATAACAATCACTCCCAAAGTAAAGTCATGAGCGACCATTGGAATGCCACTGATAATCGTTACCAAGTTAATGAATAGCTTGAAAAATAGTTCAACTTCAACTGGCATAAAAATGTTGTAATTCGGGTACACATTGAAAGTTAACACTATTTAAACATTAATAACATGAAACAAGTTATATATTCCTATACCTGATATGATTGTAGCCGAACGAGAGGCCATGATTCGCCATATGAATGGATATGATTAAGCAATTTTATTGAATTTCCTCTCGCCCGGTATTATACTATTTTCTTTGCCAAATAATGATAATTTATAATTCGGATTCTCCATATTTTCATTATAGTTATTGCAAATTGCGCCTTGCTTGCACTACTACATGCTACTGCCTTGTTTACCCCTTTACTATCATTATACTTTTACGAAATCGATGCCAAGGATTTAACCTGCCAAACCCTTGTTGCTAAGGGCACGCAGTTACCCAATATACGACAAACTACAAATCAGGTAAATAGTTATTTACTAGGTACATACAACCCTTAAAATAGTAAACCTCAAGCACTGAAATTTTACGATGGAGATTCCATGAAATTTAACAATGTTCAAACAACGCCCACTATCGAATGATCTTTTGCATAAGCATAGAAAATTCCAACACTCGTCAATCATCGAATATTTGGCAATAATATTTATAACTCAAGCCATCTGGCTCATAAATTTAAAACCATCGAATTCTTATCTACATTCAGACTTTGATTGTTTTCATCATATATATATCTACTTTAGGCGGGTCTGAGGTAACGAATTCCACTGGAGATAATTATAATTGACGCTTTTGAAAATTCAATGTCCTATACAGGGAAGCCACCGAAATTGCGTTTGGGACCATATAACTAACCATCCTTGCACCTAACTGTATAAAACTCGGTTGCGCAAATTGTGCGATGAAAAGACGTGACAATGTCGTCATTTCTCAATTTGCAGGTTATAAATTCATCTTTTTGTTTCTTCGCGAGTCCCCTCATTATATTAAAATGAACTCGACCTTCTTTGCTTTCCTTATGATTATTCCTTATAATTGACAACGCTAAGAAATAAAACAGGCTCAATACAAAAATTCAAAGGAGGAATCCCATTTCCAAGACTTTTTGATCGACTATAAATTTTTCAACTTTTTATATATCGTGCTACTACAGTACTTCATCTAATTTAAGACAACACCACCTTAGCTTATCGCGGATTACACACAACTACGTTCAATCTCCAACTTTACTCAATGTAACCGCAAAAAGCACTTTAACATTCTGACTTTACAATCATCGCTTCTAGAAAAGTGCAATAGGCACTCGACCTGGCGCTATCGGAACGCAACCCAACGAGCAACAAAGCTATTATCTGAATCCATTGTGTTGGCATCAGTTTCCCATTGTACTCGTCACACATCGATACCATAGAAAAGTTTACCTATGCCCACGGTGGAAAGTGGTTAACGATATAGGGGGTTCGATTACTCTCTCCGCCACACACAAAAAGTATTGTTTGTCGCGAACGACAAAAATTAAGCCCATTCGACGAGAGATTGTCGTCAGATGTTGGCGAAATTCCTTTTATTTGATCACCAGCGTAACTACGCGACTCGTTAAACATTGGTCCCGTGTTGTATGTTGGATTTAGAATTTCTTGCCGTCGACCAATCATGAATAGTGACCAATTCGCGCCTTTATACGTTTAATATGTACGCCGGCATAGACGACAATATGTTCCTACGACAGAGGCGGGAAAACAAGGAGAACAGTCACGTGCGAGTGTCAAACACACACTTTGTGTATTTTGTAACACGCTTTGTTGTTAGTAATTTTGATGGAATTTCATTTTAAATCTTGACGACAATAGGCTAAGGAAATGCTACATTGGATAAAGTAAAAGTGACATATACAAAAATACATATTTCACACACACACCGATCGCCGGAGTTTATGGCTCAAATGGGAGGAGAAAAATAAAACACACATGCGGATTGTTCCGTTACCATTCTAACCGAAAAAAAAATCCACGCAAAACTTCGTCGTTAACTAATTACCTACATCGCTAATTACAATAGAAATAATTTCTATAAAACAACACAACGAGTTCCAATCTAGACAATAGTTCGAGTCCTTTCGTATTTACGTCACTAAGTAAACATCTAACGAGACTGGAACAAAGTGTATTGTACATCGAAGTTTGAAAGTGCATACGTCATCCTCTTATTTCAAGATTTATTGTCGCGTATCTAAGCCATAAAAATTGAAGTAAACTGAATAAATAACTAAAATTCACTATAACTTTTCTAAACTTTTCTTTTATTTGGAATTAGTTCAGCACAACCTACTTCGTATTCTCCGCTGTGTACTTTCAGTAGAGTAGATCTGTTAGTTTTTTTTAACAATTGTCGTTAAAAATATTCACTCTTATGTATATTTCTTGTATATTAAAACATTTATCAGTTAACTATGAGCTAACAATTATCAACAATTCTGTCTGAAATCGCCAAAATGGTAATAATTTATGTGATATGTCTCAGAACTCTATTCCAATACTACGGACAGTGATAACGTGCAGTCACTCTGATAATCATCAAAACAATTAATAAACCATTTTATCATCATATTGTACTAAATTTCTAGTTATTCCAAAAATGTCAACTCCTATGCGCGCAAAAAGAAAATAGCGAGAACGCGATAATTGTACAACTTTATCTCTCTGTTCTAACCAAGTTACACTGTGGGAATACCACTTGCTGTGTAGATAAAACTGTCCAGAGATAAATCGTCACAACTACTACTGTTCTTGTGCATAATAGCCCCACGTGTATTCTTGTTCGCGCTACTAAAAACTTGAACAGGCAATATTAAACCGATAATCCGACCACCGTCCGGACGGATGCCAAAAAGGATTGGCATAACTGACATTCGTGAGGATACCAGCACCTGTCCAATTAATGGTATGAAATTTTATATTTCCAATAACAAAAACATAAGAGCTAAATGGCCACTTCGATAACAACAACCTCTTACCATGCTCTGGGAGCGAGATTTGGACAATCTCAAGCCTTCTTCACACGCCACAGGATGGAGGGTCGAAAACATAAGTGTTATCGTATTTTGGACAACATTAAGAATTGAATATACCGAATTGGGCAACGAATTGTTACTGCTGGCATTCGCACATAAGGGGAATTAGCTGAACAGTCAAGTCTCGTTAAATTAGATATAATTAACGTAGCACACAGCCACAATTAAAACTGTCATCTTTTCAAAGGATCAGTATGTTCACAAATGAATGACGTCTCAAATCCACTCAAAATTGTGCTCAACAATTGTCAAAGGCAAATGTCAGTAATTTATCAATAGGCAAAGAGATTGATGGAGTAGGCATTGATATGATGGGTTATAATTGTGAGAGGCACTTGTCACATTTTATACATCCACAAAATCTTTTAATACGACCACTTCAAAGCAGTATATTATGCTATAAAGTATTAACATAACCACATTCTTTTTGGAGCTCTTCCACGGGATAGCAATTAAACTTTGGAATGTCTAAACGAAATATAATAGTTTCGATAATCAATTAACACAACCGCATTAAATGGGATGGTTCAAGGCGTGTTGAGATGGTCTATATATGCATGACTTTAGGAACTGCAACTGTCAAAAGCACATCAACCATATCGTTAACGGGCAACAATATCGGCGGCTACCGATCTATGTCTGACTATCATGTCTAAAATTGGTCAGCCATTGACAAGATGTTACAGTTAGCGGATGGAAAATTTTACCCACTCGCAAGATGAGCAACACATGCGACTTTGAACGGAATAGCATGAACCTTTATTTTCGAACCCCCGTATGTCAACAGAAAGACTCATCCCCAATTTGCAACAGTCTCATATTGGCCACAACGTCAACCAGAGACACAGTACTACGCACGTGCGCGATAAAAGAAGCTTGCAAAATATATCGAACATCTCCTGGACATCGCGCGAACTTAGCTTCCCCCTATCGCCCTCAAGTGAGGAAAAAGTTACTTTAAAACTAGTTTTACTGAACGCTCCATCGAAACAATATATAACCTTTATCATCTTAGGATAGGATATACACATTCATTCCAAGAGAAAGGAAAAGTGATGAAACGGCATAATCATATGGCGAAGCACTGCCTTTCTTCCGGCTGCCAGTCAATGTCGGTTTTTGGATTAGTTAGCCAGTTATTTGCTTCAGATGAAAGGACTTGATGGCGTTTGTTTGCATCAAGTGTATTTTCAATTTTGGTGATAAACAAACTACCGACCTGCGAATGCGCGAACCCCCTACGGCAGCAATCATAAAATGACATTCCGCATATTTCCCCACGTTTCCTCTCCCTAATTCTCCCCGTGGACGCTCGTTTTCAAAACCAAAAAGTAAGTAAAACGTAAATATGAACTCCGCTTCGTTCACAGTACAGCGGAGATTGAACTCACCAACAGCGCAGCATGCACCACTGAACAAAAACCGGTAATGTTATTATGAATTTGCTTTATTTAAACCAAGAAAGCGTGCCATTAAACTACCAAGCGATTGCTTCATGAATTTGTTATTTCAAGTTGAGCCGGATGTCGCGCATGATCTCCGAAATGCAACCAAAGAGAAATCAACTCAACCTCAATGACACGAAACACGGACGAATCTAAATATCGGTGGAGAACGTCCAAGTATGTGACTGATCAGCGCTCGCACGAAACAATCGTTGACGGCCGACAGGCCAGCACTTCGTTGAAACGGAACGCGAACCTCAAGTGCAAACCTTAGTATGGTATCCAACGTCGCAATGGAAAACGCTTTTCACGATATGCCAACCATCGATAAGTATTACAGAGGTATTTCGTGAATATCACCTGGTATCATGAAAGAAACTTAGAAATTCTCGTAAGTTTATTTCATCAATAGAATCAAAACAGGTCAAGTTTTACATCACAAACTGCCACTAGGGTCCGTACCGTATTGGCGCCAAACCAACAAACATTCATGATAATTTAACAATCACGCATAGAATCAATGAAAATAAATTGCTTGAACTCCCGCCCATGGGTAACCAGGAGCATTCCTGCGCCATTAATCTTGACCGATCATATTTGCTCTCGTGTTATATCGTTTCTGTCTCGTTGAAACAAATGTTGGAAAAATGCATGTTATCTCCAACACTATTTTGTCCAAGTATCAGCTGCATTTCAGAATGTGTTTCTTCAGTTCTGGCATGTTTTTCTGATCCCGTTTACAAATGTGGCATCTAGAAAGTGAACGATTGTCTAATCAGCAAAGCTACATTGCATGAATAAATATTGCAATATATCATACAATAATTCATACCTTAAAGGTTCTTTCAAAAGATCTGCCATGTGCTTTCTATTTTTCACTTTCCCATCTTTTTCAATTTCATTTATAATATCTGGAAAAGAGAAATGTTTTACATAAACAGCAAAATTTAAACAGCAATGGAAATTATTCATATACCTTCTGCATCAACAAAATATTCTGTAGTGAATGAATTCCAATGTTTCTTCGTCTTCAATGCATCAGAATCGAAATCTTGACTGATAACATGCATATGAAGATGACTGCACAATGAAAAAGTGAAAAGTTGTCAAGTGTTTTTTTATGGCAGCCTCTAAATTACCAGTCAGTCCATGTCTGGTATAGTTAACCAGTTTTTTGTTTCAGATACATGGAATTCATGATGCAAGAAGCCATAGGTGAAACTACCTTACACAACAAAGACACCAGTACATCCAATCTCTTCACACATAAATAAGGTTGTCAATTAGATTTTACAGTTTTAGTGAAGGGTAACTAACCTCATACTATGAACAGCATGATAACCGTATCGAAATTCAGTTTTCGGCTTGTCATTTTCTGAAATATTGTCCTCAATTGTTTGTTCACCGACCTAAATAGAATATATAACATTGATAATTAGGCTGAATAAGTTTTCAAAATCTTCGCCTCCATCAGTGGTAAGGATTACTCAAGAAATCCCAGGAATTTTTATATGGTATGTATGGTCGAATATTAATAAATTTCCGCACTTTTTAAATGTCACATATAGCGATAAACGCAATAACCTTAAGAAGACTCCTCAATTTTCATGGAAAAGTAGTTAATTTTTTTACAGTTATCAGCAAAATTACACACAACACACAAATAATATTGGACAATTATTGGAAAAGGGGAGATAACATATGAAAAATATAACTTCAAAACAAATGCCGTTGATAGCATTCATTATTCACACTAGATATCAATGTTTCATACCTTTACCATGTGTTTTAGAAGAGGTAGATGTTCAGATCTAAGATGAGCACAAGATATAATATTTTCTATCGGCATAACCAGCCAATGATACTTTGCCTGTGATAAATATAAATAATGATAAAAATTGTGGACAAAAATAGACATTAAATTGGTGTAATTTCAGATCTGTTTAACAAAAGAAAACAAGATGTAAAGTGAAAGTAAGCCTGTCTTCTTCAAGAAAATGATTTTCTCAATTGACTACCCTGAAAAGCATTTGAGGTATGCATACATGTAATATTGTAAATTCTGTATAACATCAGAGAAAGTTGCGTGACCTAGACTAAAATGATGATTTATACTGTAATGATTCATCGTCCAGTTGCAGGTTTTGATATTATGATTTGTGAAGAATACAACAGGAAACAAGAGGGAGATTTAGAAAGGAATTAATGTAAGTGTAAAGGAAATAATTGTTATGATTATGACTATGAACAAGTTATTTGTTATTACATTGGGAAGTAAAATTGAAAGGAAGTTTGGATTTAGAATTGCAGGAGATGTGATTTTGATCATCCCTATTCTCCAGTTGATCTTACTATTATAATATAGCTCAGTTGGGACAGCACAGGTATTGGAAAGTTGTAAAATATTGCAGGAATTTTAAATTACGAGATATACAAAGAGTAGTTGTCAAGTCTAAACTAAAGGCAAAGTTCCATGTTCAGAATAATCAAATTGAGAAGAGACAACAATATTAAGATAACAATATTAAGGAGAGAACTATTATTTGTCTTTTTAATTGTGCAAAATGCAGTAAACTGATAAGTATTCCTGCTTTTGGCAGTTAATAATACTAAATTCTGTATTTTAGAAAAGTTCAAAAAATAGTTACAATTTACAAATCTCTTGAATTAGCAAATGAAACAAGACGATGGCACATTAAAGAATTTTTAAATAGTAATGAAGAAAATATCAAAATCTCAAGATATAGAAATTCAATAAAAGATTGTCACAATACAAAAAATGGAAGGTAAAAATTGTAGTTCGAAACAACACGAGAAACTCATTTTCATGGTGACTATGCCACATAAAAATACCCTTAACTAGTAATCACATAACTGTTTTAGTAGTTCTTTATGAGATCATATCATACTTTAACACAAATCCCAGTTTGGTCATTGATACCATACTTTTAAAATGTACATAAATATTATCAAAGAAATAACATGATTTTATATTAAAGCAATTTTGGGCCTATTAAATAAAGATACTAAATCAGAGATGGCCAAAATCAAATTTACCATCTACTATTCCGAATACAATAATACATTCAAATATGAGACAAATTCAAAATTTTCTTATACATAGACAAAATATATTCAACAAGTTAGAATTGGAAACGCAGAAAGTTTTCAGAAAGTAAACGATGATTTTTTTTTGAATGAAAATATTTTAAAATATACTCTAAATCAAGAATGAAGATTGAATATGCCGATAATCAATTTTAAATTGATTCAGTATTCCACTCTGGTTTTTTAAAGATTCCTTTTGAAAATAAAATTTGTAAAACTCTGAAAAGAACAATATTTTTCAGAGTGGTTCCAACATGAAGACAATTTTTTTTCTTTCAATCTGACGACAACCGATGGACACGTAGGCGCTGATCAAGAATGTAAACAATCTGGTGGTCACCTAGCAACCATTTCTGACAAAGAGACAGAAAACTTCATAAATAACCAAATCGATATTCAAAACATGGATCAGAATGTTTCATGCCTTTGGATTGGTTTAAGAAATAACAGTAACGATTGGGTATGGGAAGATGGAACAAAAATGGAATACACAAACTGGGATGAGGGGGAGCCAAACTATCTTGATACACAGCATTGCACAAACAAACAAATTAAAGGCATTTATGCTGAGAAGAAACCATGGTTCAATGACTATTGTGATATAGCAGGCCCATCGTGTGGAAGAATATGCCAGAAAAATCAAGGTACTCAGAAGTAGTGATAGAATTTGAGATTTCTTACGGGATTCATTTACTAACCAATCCAGATTTATCTCCATCATAAATCGTAAAATTTATCCCCGAAGGTGAATTAAACAAAGTCTGAAACTGATATATTTAGTAGCGCTTTTCAGAATAACGAATTTTATAGTTCGTTTTTATATTTGAGAATGAAGAAGTCATTTACACCAAAACTCAATGTTAGAAGCAGATGAATCTACATCAAATATGTTCCATTTGACCAAATTTATACCTATGCTAATACAGAAATTATTATTGAACACTGTTTATTACACTATGTCTTAAAAAAATGTTGGCACAAAAAAAAAATTCAGATAATAGGGATCCTGCTTTGTTAAATGTTTCATCAAGTCTAATTGGTTACCATCCTATTTTGTACACAAATCAAGAATTTTCTACCACTTGATTGTTTCTATCTAGATTTCAACACTTTGGAAACCTGGAACACTATTAGTAACACACTAACAACAATTCAACCATTTGATGGAAATTCAATGTCATCTGCTATCATGTTTCCAGTGATGATTCTCATTGTTCTTAGTCTTACAATATCTGTGCTATTCATTTGTTACAAGTAAGAACAATGTACTATGAAGTGGGGCTTTATAACAGGTTTAACATTGATTACATAAGCCATAGCAGTAATCCTAGTTGAAATTGGATTTACTCCTGAAAGTTTGCGCTTCCTAGTTGACACGTAAAATAGCGAATTGGAGCAAATAGTAGTTAATTTAGCCTATATATAAGTGGACTGGACTTTGTTCAGAGAAAAGGGGGCAGGCAAATAATCGTCATATAGACAATATTTGAATCAGAAAAATAAAGCATAACGTCATTATGCCTTGTTAATTCAGGGAACAAAAATTTTGCCCACCTAGACTGGCAGGCCATGTAAGTATGACGTAAAGAATTACATTTTATGAACAATGTTCACAGTGTTACAAAAGCAACAGTGGAAAGCAATAAACCTCGTGCCAAAATTTAACCGCAATCTTAACAAATTCCTTACCCGTTTTTTTAACTAAATCATCAAAATTTGGTTCCAGTTTAGTTGTGGCAGCATCAGGCGGGCAAGATTGAATTACCCAGTTGGCCGGATTTGGCCCGCGAGCCGTATGTCTGTTCTAGATACTAAAATTTTCATGTGAATATAGCCATTATGCATTTCATTTATTATTTTTACAGAAAAAGAGGAAGCAGGCTTGAATCAGAAATCACAAAAGAGACGGAAGATGTTGAAATGCAAGAAATGTCTCCTTTGAACCAAGAGAACAAAAGCACAGAAGATTACGAAGATGGTTTTCCAAATACAAACAGAAGTCCCAATGAAGATGAAAACATTTTGGAAAATATTGCTAATGAAAAGAATACATCGAATGCTTCCAGTGAATGTGGATCAATTTTTGACTCAGACAACATTGATCAAATTGGAATAGAATTAGAAATAGGTGAGTATATACAATAAAAATGTAAATAAAAGATAAAAATAAACATATAAATACTAGTTTGTCTGTATTTGAACATATTATCCTTGGGTCGCAAGCAATGTTCCCTCTAATTTTTGTAGTATGTGTGCGCAGAAATGTTGGTGTGTGCGCACTTTTTTGGAAATGACTAATATCTGTGCAAAAAGCAATGAAGAAATTTTGACGTTCTAACCAGGTAATAAGTGGGCTTATTAAGAAAATTTTGGTTATCCAATAAGTTTTTCTATAGATTGTAAATGCTTTAGTGAAGGCTATATGTTATCAGTAGATAACAATGAACATACATGGAAAATAGTAAATGAAATTGATTGTAACAGATGGTTTTATTTGAATTCAAATGAAGGGTGAAAAAAGAACAAAAGAACATTGTTACATTACATCGAAATACGTCTGTGCGCAGTAAATCTATGCGTGTGTGCAGCCTCTGAAAGCTGTGTGCGCGCGCACACGCGCACATCTTAGAGGGAACACTGGTCGCAAGATTTTACTAAATTTATTTTTTTGAAAATTTGGGTCGTTTGAAAAAAAGGTTGGAAACTTATATATCAACATTTATTTATTCTTTTATTCCTCTGTATTGCAATGTATAATTGACAAACCATTCGAATTTCAGGGTCCTTGCAGAACGAAAGAATGGGCAGCTCACAATATGAAAACGTCAGTGACACGGCATCACGGGGCAATGATACAAGTTACCATGAAGATATGGATACAGCATTGTGATTATTAAATATTAGAAAATGTATGAAACAGTAGTGAAAACCTGAAAATGACATCATAGACACAAAATCAAGTCATGATGTATTGAATATTTAAGATTAAACTTGGTTTAGCGATAATGTTTTAATAATGAGCCGAATTATATATATAAGTTTCAATATGAGCTATGATGAGAGAGTGTCTGTAGAATTCCACTCAAAACTCCTCTCAAAACTCCTCATTCAACTGGGTTAATATGTTAAATTTTGTCAGAGTTCAAATAATTCATGGTTGAAAATTTCTGCAAGGAAATTTCCTAACAACGATGAGAAGATGATTCAGAGGGGGTTTCAGCAGAAAGATGATTCACTTTTATCTCAAGAGCGAGTGTGTTAGACTTCACCACTTTGAGCAAATTCTTTAAAAAATTGGTATACAGACAAAGTTTTCTTGCTTATATAAGTTGTAATATATTTCTCATCAATTTTTCATAGATTTTGTGTTTTCTGCTTTTATACTAATTTTCAGTTTTGTGGAGCGAGCCTCCAGTACCCTGTGTATTTTGTACACAGTGTGACAGAGTATTGAATAGAAATCTGCAATGGATTTTTACCATATGCAAAGTTATGAATTCAGACTTTAGTTCGCAATATAATATTAGCATCAACATACCTTTGGATATTTATCTTTGATGACAACAACTTTATCATCTTTGGAAACTCTCAAACTAGGATCATCCATTGATCCTTTCAAACCTTGACTCCAATGATAGGAAGGTTTTTGTGCTGAATTATTTTTATTATTTGCATTTGCTTCGTTTTCTTCATCGGAAATATTTTTTGCTACTTTTTCAGTCATTTTTTGTCGTTTGCTGAATGTGTTTTCCTCCTGAGGTAGTTTTGTTTTCTTGGTATTGGAAGATGTAGTTCCTGAATAAATATTATAGAACATAAGAGTTTCGATGTGGTTTCTTTGAAATTATTGGAGAAATAAATTTACATTGGGATATGAGTACAGGTCACTGTTTTTGGGACAAGAATTGTTTTTCGTCATTATCACGGTAAACTCTGGATAAATCAATATCAAAAACCTACATTAATCGAATATTATGATTTCCTAAACAGCGTTAATTATTTAAAATTCTACTACTATTTGCGTAAACACTTTTTTTGCGCTCATCAAGGTACTGTCTTTTACCCAACATTTTTCTAAATTTAAAAAAATTCCATCCTCACCCCATATTTTCAGCAATCTAGTTTATTGAACAACGTATGCTACTGGTAAAACCTTCATGTCCTTATAATAGTGCATTTCTCTCTAATAATAATAAATTCACTATATGATAGAAAATGAAACCTGAATTAGGGATACATATAGCAATCTTGTGAGGATATTTCATATCAACGACATGTAACGTTTGTCCTGCATGAAGTCTGTCAGTTTTTCTATGTCCGATATCAATCCCTTCTATCTGAGATGCATTACTGCCAAGTTGCTTGACCATAACATATCTAATGTTCAAAAATAACAAATTTAGTGATGCCAATAAAATCACTCTAGAAAAGTGGTTTTCAAGACAACATTTTAAATAATTAAACATATTTTAAAAAAGTCTTATAAAGTCTCAACAAACATTGATCATATACTTGACACATTTTCAACAGAAATATTTTTACAAACCAATTTGACAGAGAAAGAAAACACAATAGCGGACAATCTATATTTGAAACAAGTTAGAATTAAATGTTTCCGTCTAAATGACCATTTTTCAAATAAGCATATATTCCAAATAAAAATCTATAGGTACCTCAAAATTACCTGTATGGCCTGATACAGATAAACATTGGCAAATAAAAAAGTCTCTTTATACACAAAAGAAAGTATATTCAAGTAACGTCAATAATAATTTCACAAAACATAAATATATCAGTATCTATAACAGCAAAAATATAACACATTCCTACCTACTTTTGATTGTAATTTGCAACCAATTCCAACTGATTTCTTGAACACAATTTATCAGATATTTTAGTCTCTGCTGATCTCCCAACGACGACTGGTGAACCGTCTGGTAGAAGTATCGGAGCATGTGTTGAATTGCAACATTGAAAATACATTGAGAAAGATAGAGATAAAGCAATGTGGTAATTCCTATTTAAAAAAATAAGAAGTTCCAACTTGAAATGCATTTGCAAATAGTAAAACTCAAAATAACAAATTTCATATCTTCGTATTTTGGATTCTGACATTGTAAAGAGCATTTTGAACCATGTAGAATAGATAGAACAAAACAGCATCAATCACAACAGAAGTTATCAGGTAAAATTCAATTGAAAAAGTGATGAATTTTTGCACGGCTCTATATGAAAAGATTTTGTGTGAAATACCAGGAATTATGTTTTATATTATTAAATCTTTATATTGAAAAATTTAGACAAAATTTGTTCAACTCACAAAAAAACTTTTGTGAGTTGAAAAAAACATTGGTAGCATTAGAAGTTTATTAACATATACTTTAAGACTAGTAAAGCCTTGTGAAAATGGAACATCACATATGTTGAACGACAAAATCCTTAAGAGTTAAATAGCTGTTCTTTTACGAGAGATTTTTTTAAGTAAAACATTCCTTTACTTCATAAATATGTCAGAATTTAAACCATTACAAACATTTTGAATCCATCGTTAAGTATTATTTATTGTCACAAAATATAAATTCTAGCTATTTAACACTCTTATATAGTCCTACTGTAATTTTTATTTTCATAATTATTTTGTGAGGAGCTCAATTGTTTTAAATTGTCTGTCATAATTTAGTATTTGCGAGTATTTTATAGCAAAAATTAGTCTTGTTCTTTCTTAACAACATGAGCACAATCAAGTGCTCCTCTAATAACTTTATGGTGAACTCCGACTAGGTCCTTACGTCCTTTTCCTTCGATGAGAACAACGTTATTTTCTTGTAAATTATGTCCTTCACCGGGTATATAAGCAATGATTTCTTTTCCGGTACTTAACCGTACTTTGCAACATTTCCTATTCGCACTGTTTGGTTTTTTCGGCTTTTTAATTAAAAGTCTTAAAACAACGCCTTTTATTTGTGGCTTTCCATCCATTCTTGATTTTTTCTTTTTCTTGGCTATTATGTCCAACATTTTTCCTGTTTTCATGTATAAATCAGCATGATAAAAGTTTCGATATCTGCCTTCCCATTTGAAATCAATTGCAGATGAGTGGAAGTCCTTAGAAGGCTGAGTTAAGAAGGTGGTTAATACAGCTTGGCTTTGATTCACCAGTAAACCATTGTATGTGTTTGTTAGGCAAGTATTATTCACTTGATGAAGACATCCAGTGAGCAATGTATTTTTCAATCTGATCAAGTTTTTGAACGCCATAAGTTGGCAAGTTCAGAAGTTAGATTTTCATGTAAATTAAGACTTGAAAACTATTTGAAATAAATATAATTATTTGTTTCCAGATGCAGTGAGAAAGCATGATGAACACTGACTAGCTATAGATTTTGCGAAAATAGTAATTGATCCCAATTTCTGAATTTTTTTAATTTGCAGCTGCGCGAAACTCCCAGGAACACTTTTGAACAAGAAACTTTTTCACCTTTGTGGCGCAACATACTGTTATAAGACTACGCCAAATGTACAAAATTTTTATATATCTATGTTTGATGTTGTACCTATGTATGAATGTGATGTCAAGTAACCGAAGTCTGTAAGCGTCTACGTACCGGTACCCAAGTGAGTGTGGGGTCTACAAAAATAAATCTTCCTCTTTCTCGCTTTGTCAAAAAATACTTTATTACACAATAAACTTAAACTTCATGCTGTCAATAATAAACAAAACATATTCACACCATCCTCCAAGACCAAACCAAAAATTAGCCGCATGAGACAAACAAATGCTGAAATGCAATTGCACGAAAATATATCACTTCGTACTGCGCGCTTGTCATCAGTGACCAAAAATCGTGATTTGTAATTCACGATTCTTTACTGCCATCTTGCGTATGAGTAAAAGTCCGGTGTTTCAGAGAATTAAATGTTGCACAACATGTGCAAAAGAAAACACGCGACTGAGAAAACGCTGGTGCAGCAGGTTATTTCAATATTTGTATATAGGCTACTATTATATTGTATTCTGATCGTTTTCATTCTACACATCTGATATTCAGTTAGGCGGCGTCAAATTGTTTTAGAAAAGATATAAAGTGAAAAGAATCCTTGTTGTTGGCCAACCCTTTATTACGGTACCGGTATGGAGGGGCAGTTTGATGATTTGGACCAGGCGGAGGAATATTTGCAAATGATGACAAAAACTAGTAAGTTCATTCATCTTTTTTGCATTCAGTCATAATAATAAATAAGTATTATAATCTAAGTCGATAAAGCGATTTCGTATCACGTCAAAGCTAGTAAAGTGAATTTTTCTATATTTTTCATTGTAACTTTTATTATTTCAGTATTTCTATTTTTACTTATCATCATCATTCTGTTATTACGGTACTTTATTATTGTATTTATTCCTTCGCTGTTTCATGCACATTCTCCAATGACTGTTTCGTAATCCACCCCAAATTCAGAAATTTGAACATTTCAATCAGCAAGTTGATTCACATACAACAGTTATAATCAAATTGAAATGAGCAATATCTAGAATAGTCTTATCAATTTTTGTCATAATACTGTAATAATACTGCACTTTAAACAACATTGTTTTACATTTTGTTTTTGTCCATGCATCTGAAACAAATATAACTGGCTAACTAATACCATACCCAACATGGACCTGTAGCTGGCTGAGCGGCCGTGGTTTGCCATATGATTAATCCAGGATGATTTTTCTCTCTTTGACAAATTATTTCAATTTGAGCCGACTCTACATCATTCTTGTTTAGATCAGCTGAGTAATGTATAGAACTTTCTCATAAACAACATTTTGTCGTTTGTCTATCAGCAGTCAGGATATGTCATTTTGGAGATTGTTGGATTTTTGTGTATTTTCAATGTGTGTCTTTTAACTGTATGATAAAATATTTTCTACTTTTGAAAATTACCATATCAGTGTGTCACCATGTATGAAGCGCATTATTTTATTGTGTCTCTTATACAATTGAATATTTATGTAATGCTTTATTTTAAGATCCTATTCAAGAAGGATGTATCGATTCAAATACAAACATAGCAGATGATGATGACAATTGGAGTGATGATAACTATATGGAAATGGATGAAATGTATACAGAAAATTGCAGAGGAAACGGGGCCAAGTATTCATCCAACCAATCTTATCAAGTAGGATGTGATCATTTATTATTTTGCCACAAGCACATGTATAGCTTCAGGAAGAGATCATTTGAATGGCGATTCACTGAATGTCTGAGGGACAGGCTTATCAATTTCAGTTATTCCTCTAACTATATTGGTTTAAATCTGACAATGTCCAAGACGAATTGAATATTCCAATTAATTTGAAATTAATGATATTCAAAATTTTATTTTTAGAGAATATTAATTTTATTTTGGGGATAATATAAGCCTATTATTATAGTTTTATCTGAAAAACCATCATTTTGAGCAATTGAAATATTTGAAAATTTTGGCCATCCCTCTTTATAACCAATAGTTGAATAAAATAAAGTGCTCAGCAAAGTATAAACTTCTTGTTGTTTTATAGCCTGTGGATAAAATGTTATCAAAATTTTCTGACAAGATTCATCTTGATGCATATGAGCATCCTAGTATTCCGCAACATAATCTCGCACAAGTTCGACAAATGGATAAACGAATGGTTGAAAACAAGTAAATTTATTCAAAAACTTTCTTTCCTTCTCATATCTTATTCCTTTTAAATCAAAGAACTGGGAGGTGCCTGAAAGATTTAAATTTAATGTTCTTTTAAAATGATAAATTTTCAGGAATTCCATTAATTAATATTAATAACCATGTTACTTTGGTAGATTCACTAATTTTTCGGTGAAATAGTTAGTTTTGTTGCAAACTATTAAATCCCATGGTGATGCTGTAACAATTTTGCTTACAATAGTAATTCCCCAACTTTCATAAATCATGACCCCCTTTTAAAGACTACAATGCCTGTGGTCCCCTTTTTCTATAAAAATACGTTCTTTCAATGTGATTCTATCGGTTGTTTTATGCGCCATGGTAGGTATTAAAAAAAATTATTTTTGGAAAGTAAGTTGTCATGTGGTACTTGGTATGATTCTTTATAACAGTATCTGTGGTTTTTTATCTTTTAGCAAATATTGGATAATCAATATCAAAATGTTATGTTGAGTCCGGACAACACCAATTTTCAAGTTTATTTACTGCAACCAATAATTTTCAGAAATCGAGTAAAAGACAAATCGGATCGAGCAACTATTGAACAAGTCATGGATCCAAGAACTCGAATCATACTTTTCAAAATGCTGAGTCGTGGCGTCATTAAACAGATCAATGGTGTAATAAGCACTGGGAAAGAGGTGATGAATTTATGTACATTTAATTATGGAATTTTTCTTTTGACGTTCAACATAATGCAAGATTTTAGCTCTCGTAGTTTCATAATATATTTCCTGAATTTTTATAGTTTTGTAATATTTTGAGAGGTGCACGTAAATTTACGCACGCACATTTTATATGGCATTTGCTTCAAGCTGTGAATTTTACCTGTTTAAATATTTCTATTCCAGGAAGAAGTTAGGGATTTCCCATATATAATTATTAATTAGATTGTTTCTGGAATTCTGCCTCAAAATGGAGTTCTAAAATAATCTTTTTGAATCTATCTCACAACAAAATCATGATAAACACTGAATAACTCAATCAAGATTTTAATGTAGAATTAGTAAATCGGGTCTGTCTATTGACTAAATTTGTGTCGGACATTCCTAGTAAGAATACTCAAATTCATTTGCATTGTATATCCAAAAAATTTCATTTTCCTGTAACATTTGCTATTATTATAACGAATTTGTCTGGTACTAAAATCTTCTCAAAATTGAAACACATACCGGTATGTCTAATACGAATTGTATAAATATCCTTTTCAGGCTAATGTTTATCATGCCACAAATCAACATGGAGAAGACAGAGCATTAAAAATATATAAAACTTCAATATTGACGTTCAAAGATCGAGATCGATATGTAACGGGAGAATTTCGTTTCAGAAGAGGGTATTGCAAGGTCTGTAAATCTACTTTTACCAAGTATGGCCTAACATTAGACACTGTCTAAACAGCATGATTCATTACTTTATCATACTCGATTATATATATAACTAGAAAAACGATCAAAATTCTCCTGCTATAAATATAAAAATCCTTCAAGTAATACTGTGATCAAACATTAATTATTTTACAAGGTAATACCCACTTATAAACTTTTCAGGGAAATCCAAGAAAAATGGTTGCCACTTGGGCAGAAAAAGAAATGAGAAATCTCACAAGAATGCATCAGGCTGGGTTACCTTGTCCTGAACCCCTTATGCTGAGAAGTCATGTTTTGCTAATGAGTTTTATCGGAACAGATGGCTGGTATATGTTCTACGTTGTTTCCATAAATATTTTTAGTGATGGTACAAACTAAAAATAATAATAAAAGCAACACATAATAAAATATCAAGTCAACTGCCTTTTTCCCTTTGTGCTCTTTTAATTAGGTATATCAATTATTGCGGCATCTACTAGTCGATAGAATTTTACATTATATAATAAAGTTTAGTAACTTTTGAACTGCTTTCATTGCTATAATCTTCTCAATCTACACCATTCACCGAAACTCAAGTAATTTTTTAAATTTGTTAATTTTTTTTCTAAATAAAACTTGAAACAAGAGATACTGAGATATTGTATAATGAACTGCAAGTCATTCTTGTTCATAAATCGTTATCAGTTTTATTTGTATCTCCTATTGTCCGACGAAGTTAGACTATGATCTTATGAAAGATTATAGATATACCTAACAATTTTGTGAAAAATAGGCCTAGACTAATCCTGTTAATAACAGTACTCTTTATTCTTATTCGATAGGCCTGCACCATTGTTAAAAGATGCTGCTTTATCAGAATCCAAATCAAGGGAATTATATTTTGAATGTATTCATTTGGTAAGAAGAATGTATCATGACTGCAAGTAAGATTGTTAGAATCGCAAGATGGGATTTTTTAATTTATTTCATGAGGGGGCAAGACAACTCAATCATTGGCAAATGTTATTCTTTTTTCATGTTCCTAGTTTATGCTGGGTCTACTGGTAAACTTACCTTTAAGATATTTCCAATTTTATAAAAATCCTGGGAAACGTGTAAGAAGATAAGCTGTTATTTGGTTATATTCAATTCAAATTACAAAATCTCCACATTTTTATTTGGTTGAATTTCATGTTAACTTAATCAGTACTACATCATCATGGATTTATCTTATCTTGTTTCAGATTAGTTCATGCCGACTTCAGCGAATATAATATTTTATATCATGATGGGGGATTAATCATAATTGATGTTTCTCAATCTGTTGAACATGATCACCCACATGCTTTGAATTTTTTACGAAAGGTTTGTAAAGTTAACGGTATTAGATAAATTGACAATTCAATGAATAAAAATTTGCAGAGAATATATTCCAATATGATTATTGAATCATATTTTAACACATTTATACTGTACTGTATATAGGCCTATTATAGTTTTTTTTTCAGTTATGTTCCTTTCATACGAGAATATGATCTTGACAGTCTCATAATTCTATGTCATTTTGGAAATACACTGCCTAATAGTCAGTTTTTTAAATATAATGCACATATTTCATGACTCTGTTTTTTAAGAATGATCAGGATAACTATAGGTACGTATATTTTATCGATCATGCTTTGAAATTTTCAGGATTGCAATAATGTGAATGAATTTTTCAAAAAGAAGGGAGTTGCCGTTATGAATTTGAGAGAACTCTTTGAATTTGTTACAGATGTTGATATAACAGAAGAAAATATCGATTCATATTTAGATAATGTAAGTAAAAAAACATTTTTTCTGTTTCCAATACATTGGCACTCAATTGTACTCAGAAAAGCAATGCGTGTAGGTTCGTCCCCAACTCAGATCTTGAAATTTTTTGTGCCAATCATCAACTGATTCTAAGGATTTGAAAGTTCTCAGTCACAACTATGGGAAAATATCTGGCCCAGCATGATCGATGATTACTGTGAATTGGAACTCATTTTTCATGAATATTGCTAATTATAAGACGCAGATTTTGACAAGAGACAGATATTTCATAAACTCAAATATTTTGTAACTGGACGTGTATTTAAAGAAATAATTTATTATTTTTACCCTTAAATTCAAAAGCTGCTTTATATCAAAATATTCTCTTCTATTCAACTTTTCTTATAAATGTCAGGCGATGAAAATTACGTCGGAACGAGTATCTACACTCGAACAAAAAGACGAGGAAGAACAGAATGCTGATTTAGAGGAGCAAATATTCAAACAAGTTTTTATTCCGAGGACGCTGGATGAAGTTCCGAATTTTGAACGAGATGTCGATGCAGTTATGCATACTGGAGATGACTCACATGTACGTAAATAAATTTTAAACTATTAGCTTGTGTCTATAGAGATTTCTAATATATTTTTCTTCTTCCCAGATATTGTACCGATCTGTGACAGGAATGAATGTAAAGTTATCTAAAAGCAAAACTACAGGATCTGATGAAGATGAAGGTATGGTTTTTTTTTCACTAATTGAGTTTTTTTTTTCTAAATTGCAAATTATGACAACTTGAAGGACAACATATAAAAATATGGTGGTTTTCTGTTCAATATAAGAAACATTTCAAAATTTGAAATCTCTTTCGATTTATAATTATTGTGGTTCACAAAATATGATGACCGGCTATCCACATCTTTAAATATGAAAATCTATCCTTTATTAGGTTCAGGTTGGGGCCATGAAACTTTGCTTGATGTTATTCTCAATAGGCCAAGTTTTATGGTCATCTTTGTCCACTCAAAAAAAAATCTAGGCTATTGTGGTCTTAGGCTTAAATGCTATCGTTATTGGACACGTAGTGGACATAACGATCGTTTCAAAATGTTATTGTTATTATTTGTCTCCGTCATCACGTTTGGAAGAAATCGCTTTTCTTTTCAAATACTGTACCAATTGCTTTGAAATTTTCAGTGGTTAAAGATAAAAATTTTCTCCAGTGGGCCATTACTTTTTTTTTGCTATGACGTCATCAAAATTATGTGACTCTACGTGTCCTTATATTTGAGCATAGCTCTCTTGTATTTATATGCAGATGACAACTCTGAAGATAGCGACAATGAAAGTTCGAAGTCTGCTGAGGATGAGAATCAAAGTGAAATTTCCACATCATCCTCTTGTACAGTTTGCGTTAGAAATATGACAAAAGAAGAAAAAAGATTACATAAACAAAAAGTCAAAGAAGAAAATAGAGAAAAAAGAAATAACAAAGTTCCGAAACACATAAAAAAGAGAAAGGAAAAATTAGCTAAACTTAGGAAACCAAAAACATAATTTAAGTGGGTATTGGTGGAATTGTTTTGTGTTTATTCGGGATGGTTGAAGCCAGGTATATTTCAGTATTGTATTGCTTAGGCAGGGATTGCATTCAGTTATTACCTAAAAACAAGGCAATGGACAGAAATACTTCCCTAACCGGTCTAATATGTTCATAATATATTTTAATCCAGAGCCTATCGGCAAAACAGGCGACAGCACAAATCGCAGGTAAAAAGAATAATTTGAGAGGAACGAGGTCGCTGAAAAGGCGGAGAAAATACACATCACATTAGGAAAAGTTTGCGAGGCGAACCGATCCTTGGGTAAAAGGTGCATTGAATGAGAGGATTGGCCGGGACAGAAAATCCGCGACGTGACAAACGTCGGAGTCCAAGCGCAAAACGGCCGAGAATGCGTGCGAAATCGAAATTTAGGCATGTAAAAAATAGAAATAACAAATAAATACATTAGTATTGAAGGGAAGCAACACTGACGCTTTGATTGACGCAGAGCATTGGGTCCCAATTTCGCGGAAGGACGGCGATATTGGGTAGTTTGATTGCCCCAAATAACGCGATGGAAGCCTCGTGCGTTTACCTTTTATAGTCCACTCAATATATATATCGAAACGAAATATATTACAGTAATTAAAATCACTATACGGCTAGTGCCTTTATTGGGACAATTGAATCCCAGTCAGAGACTTATCAAGTTTACAATTCTAGTCTGATGTAAATAACTGTTCACAGCATTGATGCCTCGCCCCATGATGGCGCCATTTATGACGAAAGTTTCGCCGCATCAGCGTTGAAAAATATAACGTTATATGAATGCTGGAATGTGAGTTTCAAAATCTGGATTACAAAAAGTATCACGTTCAGACGTTTAATGCGCGTTTAATTCATATAGGCTATATTGCCTAGGATCAGTCAGTTTGTTATCAGCACTTTTTTTCTCGGACCGGACGAGAGGCCGCCGTGGTTTATTTCTATTTTAAACCGTACCGGTATTGTATTTGTATATACATAATATATTCCCTTTTACAGTTTTATTTTAAAAAAGCTTTCATTTTTCCAAAGACGATTTGTATTACTGCAGTACTGTGATACCAGCCAAAGCTGAAAAATATTCTTCTATGCTTTTAAGCATAACTTAAAAGTTGTTGTTCTGAGTATTATTCATGCAGAAACTTTACATTACAGCATTATCAGTTATATGACCAATTAGTATTTGTAAGTTACTAATTTAACTAATTCAACTCTATTAAAGTCTTTATTATGTCATATAAGGACAGAAGACCGAGTGCTCCTCTCGATTGCAAAGTTTACGTTGGAAATCTCGGAGATGGAGCTTCACGAAGTGAATTGGAAATTGAATTCGGACATTTTGGAAGATTAGTAAGTGTATGGGTTGCCAGAAAACCACCAGGCTTCGCGTACGTTGAATTTGAAGACCCAAGAGATGCTAAAGACGCTGTCAGAAGTTTAGATGGAACAACGCTTTGTGGACGTCGAGCGAAAGTTGAACTTTCACATGGGCAAAAAAGAAATAGAAATTTTCGACCCAGTTACAGTGATCGACCTCCAAGACGTGACATGTCAGAAGTCCGATGCTATACATGTAATCAAACTGGACATATCGCTAGGAACTGTCGGGAAGGTGGCAAATCACGTTCTCGATCTCCAAGAAGAAGATACTCCCGCTCCAGGTCTCATTCTCCGTCTCGTTCCCGAAGTCCGTCTCCGAAATATTCACGATCTCGAAGCAGAACGCCTGAAGATAAACGCCAGAGTCGTTCTCGTTCACGCAGCAGATCTCGAAGCTAAATATTTAAACAAAAAAACACAAATGACGCCATTAATTCAAAGAAGGAACCAAACAACGTCAAATATAAATCGCAGAGTTTAACTTTGCGAAGTTTGCAGATGTTGAATAGCTCAATATGGATTGGAGATTGTTATGACTTATTGGACTGTATATATACTGTCTTTTTGTTAATGATTTGCTATGTACAAATATTTTCGTACTTGAATTATTGTGGAATTTGACGGCCAATATTAAGTATCTAATTCTTGGTTTCAAAGGTTTTTTTTTCGTACTGCGCCATAATTTTAGAGATGTATCTAACCCAACGACTGTAGCTTTAATGTTTGAGCGAGATCACAATCATTCATCGATGAAATGCTGTATGAAAATTTAAGGAAAGACTTAATTGTATATTTCTAAGTATACCGTGCCACAATTATCTTGAAGAGTTCAGTAATTTAATTTATTTTGTGTCATTTTGAATATGGAAAATTCAATGCAGAATTTGCTGTCAACCATTCGAATTAGTGAATGGCTACTATTCGTCTCTTTCATTTGGCATAGCTTGTCCAATATGTTACTGTTATTGGCTTGTTTTTAAAATGGATGAGGTCACTTTTCATAGGATATGCGCTATGATAATTGTCATCAGGGATGTCCAAATTTGGATTTGACTGGTTATCTATCAAAACAATGCTTATCTTATCTATTCTACATTACCAAATTCAGTTTCTATCAATTTACAGTGCTTGTTATCAATTTCTTTGCAGTACATTTTCCTGATCATTATAATATCAATAGCCTACTCGAAATTGTAGAATGTATTTGAAACATTGAACTATTCAATTTTGGATATGCTAGCTTATTATTACTATAAATACACTTTCTGGATTCCCACTGCGTAATGTCCGATAAGCTTTAAATATATCTGATGAACTGACTTTTCATGTAATATTAACACTGACTTCTTACTGCCGTGATTTTAGAGGATATATAAATTGTCTAGATATAGTTGTGAGGTATGGCTGATGGAGGTGGCGACGTCCAAAACAACCAATTACCGAATGAACCCATCCCAGTTTGTACCCTTTTCAGTGATGGGTCAATCGACACAACATTATCTCAGAAAGAATTGAAAAAAGATTTTTCTGACGTGTCCAATTCTCAAAACGTGGTTCAAGTTAAAGAAAATGAATCAAAAGAGCCTGAGTTGTGTGATGTGTTTGGCAGTGGCAATTCGATTCCTACATTATCTGGTGATGATATATTTTCGAAAATTTCAGAAGACGCAAAAGCGGATGAAGCCGCTCACGATCATTCATTTACATCTGAGAGCATAGATGATAGCAGTATTTCGACCCCAATGACAGAATCCATAAAATTAACCCCTTCAATGGAAACGCTGCGATTGAATCGCTCAGTCGATTCATTCATTGTCGAAGAATTAATAGAATCTGATGAAATTCCTGAAAACTCAGGTAAAATGGCTCAGGATGTATTATTAAATGAATCACAGCCAGTGCCTTCGGCAGGAATACCATCGTTTTCAATATCGCCAGATGATATGGTGAACACAGAATCTGCTATCTCTGATTTACCAAACGATATTGAAGTGGATGATATCATTGAAGACACATCAATGGAAATTGAAAAACTATCTTTGGAAGATCCAAATGTAAAACAACTTTCAGAAAATGAAGACACCTCGATACAAGAATCTAAAATGACTTATGAAGAATCGAAAAGTACCGAAATCAACGAGACTGAAGAAGTATCTACGCAACAAACGAATACTGAACCCGAAATTCAACCTGAAATTCCAACTACTGGTTTATTATTCACCTCTGTTCAAGATAAGCAACAAACTTTGTTTCCAAGTCCAGTATCTGAACGACATGGTATAGAAATAGAGGAAGGTGAGTAAAGGGTTAATATCTGCTTGTATTTGCATTTTCGTTATATGTTAAAGTACTTTTCAGCTTTTTGGCTCAGATTTAAATAATTTACTCAATCTGAAGTGACCGCTGATAATTAATATATTTTGTAATAGCTGGCAAAATGTTTTTACCATTTGCTATTGGTTTTTCTCCTTGATGAGAATAAGATATTTGCTCAAAAACTTCTCCTAAAGTCTTATTTTCATTGCCAAGTGCTTTTATAAATTCTAGGTTTTATTCTAATTGTAAATATCAATTATGAACTAGCATTGCTTACATATGCGAAAGTTTGATTATATTTGATCGTCTGTATCAAAAATTATGTTGTAACAATTGCGTATACTTTCCCAATTTTCCACAGATGACCCGTTTGCTGCTGCTTTGAGTAACAGTGTTCTTGATCGAAGACGTGATGCCTGGCTTCCTTGTGAAGACACCAGAGCCATATTGACCGCTGCAATTGTGAACCATAAATCTCCTGATTTAGAAATGGAGAAGATTACTAGACCAGGATTATCTACCAGTGAATTGTTAGGTTTGTATTATTGATATGATTTGGAGTTGAGTATTCAGTGAGGTTTGAATTTCTAAAATGATTTTCCTTCCCTTGAAAATGATAAATTGGGACTTTTTCGGCATTTGGCTTTTCTCTTAATTTAAAAAAATGCCCTAACCCTGTGGGTTTGCAGGTTCGTATCATGTGGGGTCATATACTATCGATTTGCTGGACGTCATTGCTGTCGAAAGGTGGTTCACATAATAACCACTGGTCAGTTACAGCTTCATGCATGTGAAACAACTGATCAACTTTTCGCATACCAAGATTGGTAACTGAATGAGGGGCCCATGATTCATAACATGAATACACCATACTGTTGGCTTTTCCAGAATAAATATTAATATGAAAAATTTTGAATTACCGTAGATTGGACTGATTGGTATTCTTGTTTTGTGCCTATTTTTAACCTCACAAAAATTTTTGTGTGATATAAAATAACAGTTCCCATTTTCTGTAGAGGATCCGGTCAAAGAGCTTGTCGTGAGAATGACAGGGTCAGAGAATGTTGTGAAACGTGGCAATCTGACAATGGACGATGTCACTCTCAATAAAGATGGAATCAAAAAACTGATGGTACATATTCAATCATAGCCTAAGAATGACATTTTTTGAATTAAACCAAATTTTTAATTTGATATATTTTCATATCAAGCTTAGATTAATATGAATTTGATTCAATAATGTTATTTTCAATTTAAAGGAATCTGGCAATCTACGATCTGCTGCAAACCTGTGTGCTAAACTATTAACAACTCATGGTCAAGGATTTGGTCAAGTTACACGAATGACACTCAATACATCAGAAACATTACAGGTTTGATTTTACTTAGTTGCAGCCTGTTGGTAGAAAAATTAATAAGTCAATGAGCTGTCAATGATACTGATTTTTATTGTGGGCATGATATGGTATAAAGTAGAGCCAATGAAAGCAATACTCAAATGGAAAGCTAAAAATATTATACCAAATAATAAAAACGGAGTGAGTATTCATGCAAGTCAAAACTATTGGCAAATTTAATATTGCATTATTTCTTTACTAGCTAATTTTGAATATGTTTATTAATTTGTGTTGTTTTGTTTGTAGTTGTGGTACACTCGCATATATATCCTCACAAAATTAAAACTATATGACATGGCTACAAGTGAAATTTCTACTTTCAAAAATCTCGACAATGCAGACTTGTACTATGAATTTTATCCTGATGTCTATCCAGGTGAGAATTATTTTTATTCATATAATATGATCATTTCATTATGACTTAACGTAGTGCTCAAAATGGAGGGTAGTGCCCAAAAAAAAAAGGGCATCGCATCCTTCAAAGTGTTAGTAGTTAGTCAACATACTGATTACCCTGCATTGGTTTGAATCCTATGTTGTTGATTATATTATGAACAAATTAGGTCTTCTCGTGCCTAGCTATTGGAGTGGCTGTGGTTTTTCTGCAGTATTCTTCTAGCTTTTTTTATCAAGACCCACTTAAAAAATTATTTCGTGACCCTCCGGAACTAAAATAAAGTAGAATTAAATAATACAAAAAATATTTGAAGAAAGGTAATAAAGACCCACCGGAGCTAAAATAAAGTAGAATTAAATAATATAAAAAATATTTGAAGAAAAGTAATAAAATCGACAATTCCTCCGGTGAGACCGATGTGCTTGCATATTCGTACACAAAAGGGAGTGGATCTCAGAACTGTTTCCAAATATTTCAAATTTAATCGATATTTCGTTGTCGAAAAAGATTTTACTGCGACCCCCCTTGAGCCCATTTTTGACCCACTGAGGGGTGGGACCCATGTTTGAAGAGCCATGGTCGTTCGTATGGTTGAATTAGATCATTGGCTCTACTCTCCCAATAGATCAATATGAACAAAACTCTGTAATCAGTCACTTATACTTTTATGCTGGGACTTGTTTGAGCAAAGTAACGCACTTCAAAATTCTTTGTGTATTTTCAGCTGCCATGTGAATTTGGATATATCCCATTTAAATTCACTTAAATAAATTGTTATGAACAGGCGTTATGTCAATGCTTAGACTGATTTCCACAAAAAAATTTTTCCATTTTTAGGTCGTCGAGGGTCCATGGTTTCATTTTCATTTCGACTTCTCCATGCTGAGTTTCCACGTCATGTGGACAGAGCTCAATTATCATTGGCTCGTCTGCACCGAATATTAAATGTTTGTGATAAGGTAAGAAGTTTATTTGATAAACAGAAATGTATTTTTACAAAATTTTGCACAAAAATATGTGATATAATGACAAACTTTAATATGGTCAAAAAATAATCTTTAATGTAAACGAATCTGAGAATCTCCCACTGTTTGAACATTAGCACCAAAAATTTACTAAACGAATCGAATATTCTAATCTGTACAAAATTCATCATTTTCAATATTTCAAACTCTGAATTGAATTTAATCCATGAAAACTGTAAAAATAGAAAACAAATCAAAACACTGTTTATCTGCATTGATTTTGACTTGTATGTATCCTGTGAACATGGCCCAATTTAGGTATTCCATTTTCGAATATTATCATGAATGTTTTCAGAATTATCCTAATTTGCCATCCGCCTCACTGTTTATCATTTTTATTGTCATACACAGATATTACAAAATTTAAACGATGGAAAGACAGAAGTTGGGGAAATGACCGTTCTGAATTCCAATGATGTCGAAGCTTCCATCAAACTTTGGAATGAAAGAAAAGTCAGAACTTTGTTCTCTATTGGTAAGAATGGTCAAAATTAATCTAAGCAAAAGAATGCTTCCTTTGATGTATACTTATTATCAGATATCAAATTGGTATTCGGTGTAACATCAGAGTATTGTTTTATACACTGTATATATATAGTCATTTTCATTATTGCTACAGCATTCCCGCATGAAGGCATATAGTGCGTAAAGGCATAGCTTTTCAATGGCTCTTTTTTATGAAATTATATATGTTTGATACAAGGCTTAAGAAGGTATTTTGTTGAAATGTTGTAGTATACTTATACATACCTAAATGCAGCAGTTTTTAGGCGGGGGGGGGGGGGGGAATATGACTTGCATCGGGTGTAGATTTTGCAGGTAAGTAGGTTCATAGCCAAATGTAGCTGTTGATCACATAGGTGACTGTAAAGTATTCTCTTGTGCAACTGATGTTTTTATGCTTCCTTCGCAAAAAGGTCGTTTCTTCTTTTTTTCATAAATTACTTACTTTTTCTACATTTTACTTTTAAAAATTTGCCAAAGTGTAAAGGGGAAAATAAAGTTTGAAAATCTCTAGGATAATGTTATGTTGATGATACTTTTTAAAATAAATGATGAAATTTGACTATACTGTATTTAGGTAATACGTTGATGCAATTGAAAGATTATACTCTTGCAGTTGAAGTTTATGACAGAATATTGAAAATGCATCCAGAGTGAGTAACTTTATTATTTGAATTGAAGTCAAGTTTATCATTTTCTAGTCAAATCATGTGTGTAAACATAAGCGTCCCACACAGCCAATTTCACAGATTTACTCATTTTTCAGGAGTGCTGTTGCTCTACAAAGTGGTATCGGTCGGGTTTATCTGCACCTCGGCGATATACGAGCTGCACAATTACGATTCACAGAAGCTGAAAAGGCTGGTGGCAATGAAGCAGAACATAAAGTGCAATTAACATTAAATAGGTGAATTAACTAATGTTATATTATGTAGTGTTGTTAAAAGCACTAGCATCGTATTTCGCATCAAATTTTATTTTGTTATTGATGCGGAAAATGCAGCTGGAAACTTGTTGCATCAATGTTTCGACTCTTAATCTTTATTGATTTTGTTCATCCAATAGTAGTTTTTTTAAATTTTTCAATTATTTTGCTGAGAATTTCATTTATGCCATATTATAAGTATTTACCGGTAATTACTTTTTTGCTTCTTTATTTCAGGGGATTCATGTATATAGGAACAAATAACTGGAAAGAAGCTGTTACGCAATTCGAGTCAGTTTTGGCATTGCAGCCTCATAATATCATTGTAAGTTTTAAAAATCATTGAAATTTTCAATAACAAAAAACTTATGAATTTCAAAATTTATTGTCACAAAATTCAGAAACCGAGAAATAGGCCATCAAATATTTATTTCTCAGCAATTCTCCAGTTTAATATTATTTGTAGTTCTTGTCTATCTCCTCACCCAAGAGTCCTGCATCCTAGAACTTGTGGTAAAGGGTTTTGTTCAGTGCATGGGTGTCAAACTCGCAGTCTTCCTGGGGCCATGTTGAATGTTTGGAATTGTGTTGCACTATTGCAGTCCTCATGCAATTTTTTGTTCTAATTTTATAATTTTTTCTTGTAGCATATTAAGTTGGGTGTAGATTGTGACATAATTTATGAGTCCGATGGCGTTTCGTTATTTAACAATTTGTATTTTTTCACAAAACTACTCTTTGGAAATTTTAGAAAAATTTATTAAACTCATTCAGTTTTTGCAACATCTGTAATAATCAAAAGTTTTCAAAACGTACTCTATTTTCCTTCTCTCAGGCTCTGAATAACAAAGCTGTTTGCATGTTGTATCTGGGCAAATTGAAAGATGCAATCGCAATACTTGAATCTGGTGCAAATGAGCAAACTACTCCTGATATTTTCAACAAAGTTACAAACATAGACTGGCAACAGGTAGAGTAGCTTTATTTCTTTTTGGACACAAAGTGGACCTATTGATCTTTAATTATTATGTTGTTCTTATTGTTGTGAATAATCGCTTTTCTCCTTAACTATTGAAACTGAAATTTTCAGTGTTTAAAGATCGTAATTTTCTGTCTATTCTGTATTACAAAACTAACATTGCTTATTTCAGATCATGCTACAAGGTCTTATTTCTAATTTGTCAACCCTTTATGAACTCGAATCATCAAGATATGTCTTGAAGAAGCGCGGGATATTTTTGAAGCAAATTGCACCAACATGTAGCGACAGTTTCAATACAGCCTGTTTCAAAGAAATTTAATGTCCGTCTATTTAATTGAAAAGTTCTTTGAATGATTGTTGAATATTTTATAATGTGCAATAAAATGTAGTTAAATGAGGTTTTACAGTACAGTGTACGGTTTGGGAGGGTTGGTCAGGCAGATTTGCGTCGATTTTTGAAGACCCATTTATTTTAAATTTCGTTCCTCTGATGATCATACTGGGGGTGTTAATCAATGTCGTGGCGAATATGGGAAAATCTAATTCTTGGTTGATATTTAAAGGTTCATTTTTCACAAAGTCTCTCTTTATTCGCCCTTATTATTATACCTAATACCTGTGACCATGTATTCTATTTACATTTAATATTAGAATTTGGCCTCGAACTTCAGAGATTGCATATAACATTGTAAAAATATTTTTCGTGTTCCACTAAAATGTCTTAATTTTTGTTTTTTCTTTGTGCAGACCTATTCTTATACTTTTTTGTGCTTCTAGGTTACCGGTATATGATATACATTTATATATATTTTTGATTACCCTGTACCAGTTGAATATGCTTAAACGTATCCCTTTTTTTCTTTGGAACATTTGATTCGGAGTAGGATCCATTTTTTCGTACAGCGTGGGAAACGGTTTTAGCTGGCGCCGACTCAAAGCAATTCAAATAGACGCTGCTAATATTACAGCAAGGCGGTAATGCAGACAGTGTCATATACTTTATTTAATCGCATGATTCCATAAACGTGTCTATATATTTTGTTAGCTTATATTTAAAACATTCAAAACGCTGCCATCATGAAATGCAAAAAGATAATCTTGAAGCAAATGTATGATTGATTGCCGAAGAAGACCGATTTTGAGATCGATCAAAAAGACATCGCTGAAGATCTACAAAATAGAGGTCTGTAATAGCCAATACATACTGAAATATTGTTATAATCAATTGATTTTTATTGAGAATATTTTCCCTCCAACTGTAAGCAATGGTACTCCCATTGGTTAGTGCAGTAGTGGGAGATTGGGTCTTCGTTACTGGTATTGACTGTAGGCGTTGTTTCATGCTCCAGTCTTCACTCAGTTACCGGTAGTGGCGCATGTTCAGACAGATTGCACCGTACTACTTAGTTTTGTCCTAAGTGTTTCTATATTTGAGCACCGCTCTCTTGTTTTATGATCGTAGTTGAGACTAGGACATATTTCTGGAAACCGTTGGTTCCTAAAAATTATGAATCTCAGTGTTTTATGGGTATCCAAGTTTTCTGATGACTTATTCTTATTTTGTGCTTGCATTTTTTCATAATAGGGTAAAAGAAAGCAAAAATAAAAAATATCAAAAGGGAAAACTTCTTGTTCTCAATTGTGGATAGAGAAACGGTGGTAAAGCCAAAGAGAGTGACGTGTTTTTGTGCGAGATGACATGTCAGTATCAGTGCCAGAATCAACGAGCCTTGGATTATATGGAGTTGCCGGGTATATTTAAACTTATAAACTAATGTAAGCATTAACTATCATTAAATTATAACAAATGAAGAATGTAAGATCCAGAAATTATTTTGTCAGTCATCAGCGACAACGCCCATTCGCGCTATCCCAAGATGCGTACATTTCCCGTAGCGTTGATGTAGCGTAGACAGAAAGAATCCACTGCTGCTGACGCTTCGACTAACCCCTGATCACCTATATTCGACTATTCATATATTTCACCCCACATGCCTGTTATTAATACAACTCGTCCTGATATATTTGGGGTCATTTTACATTATAAATTGACAGCCTGGATCGGATGGATGATCATTTGTGAAATAAAAGAGGAGATACAATTTTTATCAGGGGCGCAGCAGGAGCAGTTGGAAATGTTGCAGCTCAGATTGGAAAAATTAAGATAACTTCTATGACTTGCGAAAAATTAATTTAGTTTCACAAATACGCCACTCAATCACATTTTATACAATTCAGGGATGCACAGTTGTTGGATCTTGCGGAAGAGACAAAAAAGTAGAATTTTGTAAGAATATTGGATATGACGCAGTATTTATAATCAACTACAAAATAGAATCTGAAAGTTTGGATGCAGCTGTCAAACGAGTTGGAATAGATTGCTACTTTGACAACGTAGGTTAAAAGTAGACTGTTTTACAGTATTTTGAGATTTGTTTGGCAAAGCAGTATGCCATTTTGAGGAAACCTAATAAAATTTACTTTTACAACTTTCCTAAACAAACTCCATTCAAACAAATAGTTACCAACTGTCAAACCCTCCATTTTCAAGCACAATTTTACGTAACATGAATCAGTGGCGTAGCCAGCCCAAAATTTTGGGGGGGGCCAAATTTGAAAATGTTAGAAATTATATTGGGTTCAAAACACCGTTCTTCAAGCGCAAAACAACAACAGTTGGTCACCAAGCAAACTGATTCAATTACTCAGCTGGATTTTTGTGAATACAAAATCCATTAATAAACAATTTTTTATTTGAAACAACAAATATTAACAACGCAATTTGAATAAGTAAAATACATCGCCCCAATTAAAAGTCCATCCTTCGCTTCCCGCCAACTATGCTCGACACAACTCGATTAATTTTCTCCTCGGTGACCATTTCACGGTGACAGTGAAGCACACACAAATCAGAAAGGCGATTGGACGTCATTGATGAGCGCAGCCATGTCTTTACCCGTTTCATGCATGAGAAAGACCGCTCAGCCTCAACGGTGGTTGCTAGTAGCGTCATAACGATCTGTATTGCGGTGTACACGCTTGACGAGACAAGATGCCACAAAACTGGTGGATTAGGAATGGAATTCTTGAAAATTTTTGGGGGGGGGCCATGGCCCCTCTGGCCCCCCCCCCCCCTGGCTACGCCTATGACATGAATGCTGGTGGACAAGTGGGGGTATGTGGATCTATTTCTGGTTACAACGAAACTACTCCTGTACTAGGTAAGTAAACCGTTTTCTGCAAAAATACATTAATCTCATAAGACTTTCTGGTTTATTCTTTACATAATATATTGTTCAGCTCCCATTGTCCAACCTTCCATTGTGACAAGTGAACTGATGTTGAAAGGATTCCATTTTAGAACTTATGTAAATAAACATAAGGAAGCATATGAAGATCTGAGAAAATGAACGATTGAGGTAAGCTAGACATCCTAATATGTAATTATAGTTCATCAGTGCAAATATTTATTGACTATCTATTTTATTCATTTTTAGGGAAAGATGAAATGTTACGAAAAAGTTACGAAAGGATTCGAAAACGTTCCCGATGCATTTATCGATATGCTGCGAGGAGGAAACGTTGGCAAAGCGGTTGTCAGGCTGTAAATTTCAATCACCATACTATCATTAATAATTATATTGTATCAATTTAACAGTATTAAAATTTGATTTGTACGCCCCCGTACTAACCTAATATTTTGATGATGTCATAATATCATGCCCGGTTAAACATATGCCCTATGTCAGATTAAAACAATCATGCAAGGCCTTCTAAGCTAATCAAACTGAATCATTGTTTGCAATTTATTATCGACTTTTGCTGCTTTTTATAATATTACTGATAACAATTGATTCCAGTTTATCAGCATATTTCCTGGTACAATATCGACGATTAAAATAATTGCTCTATGGAACAAAGAAAATATGGGGCTCCCGAAGTATGCGAACCAAGATGGCGGACATCGGAATGTAATATGTGTACTAGGTTAGGGTTAGGCCATAATTTTAGGTATAAATACTACGGGAGGCTCTTGGCTAGTCTTCGAACTGATAATAGGACTAAAATAAGGAAAATTGGAAAAAAATTATCGCCTAACCCTAACCTGTTGCCCATGTTACGTTCCGATGTCCGCCATCTTGGTTCGCATACTTCGGGAGCACCGAAAATATTTCTGTTCCTACCTTTTTACCTAGATTTTCTGTTAACCTTTAATGGCTACATTGAGAAAACCACATTATTTCTTTTCATAGTTCGGTTTTACTGTGAAATTGAGTATTGTCCAGCATATAAACATACACAAATTGTATAAATTAATTTTACTCTTAGTACATTGTCTTAGTTCAATGGTTCCTAATTTTTTTTTGTATTTTACCCCTTTACCAAATGAGATTACAAGAGTTCCCCCCAAGCCATTGGTGATCATTTATTGAAAATTCGTAAAGCAAACTATAAAGAACTTTAGAAGTCTCTCTCTTTCTCCCTTCTACCCTCCTCTTTTTACATCATCTTTTCTCTGCATAGCCATCCATTAGACGTGGAAATGGGGGAGGGAAAGGTGTAGATGGTGGAGTGGGTGGGAGATTAGAGGGGGTAGAGCATTTTTCTTTCGAATAAGTTAGAGCTATTCACGACGGTCAGAATCGTACTTGGTGGAATCATTCAAGCAGGGAGATTTTGTTGAGGTCATATTCCAGTGCTTTCGATTCCATAGGCACTGTATCTGAAAAATCCTGGAAGTTTCTGGTACGAGCAACGCAGAAATCATAGAGATAAAAACAAGATTTTTGAGAGGAATGGTTAAGAGAAGAGTATGCCACGGCAATTTTGTACCATTGTTAGGAAGCCATCGCTTTGCGTATCAATGACGCTTCCTGCGCATAGGTGGCACTACCAGGTGTGCCGATAAACAAACCTTTGCTGTGAATCTATTCGCATCTAATCCTCTGTAAACTCCCGTTTGGAAAAATATCTAAACTTGTTCACATTCTTATTTCACTTTTCAACTTGCCTCATGACTATTCCAGGCAGTGGCGTATCTACGTAGAATGGCTCCCATAGCAAAGTTTAAAAATGCGCCCCTTGATAGTTGTTTGGGTACTTATAATGACTCTTATTGAATTGAGGTACTTGTACGTTAATATTTGTCCAAAAATACGAGTTTCAATTATTCCCAATTTGAAATTATTTTATTGAAACTTTTTTATGATAATTACTGTTTGCAGGCTTAGCGCCAGTGATTTCCCTACACCCCCCCTATAGGGGGTGAACACCCCCCTAAAATTTCAAACACCCCCCCTAATTTTGAGGTGCGATTCCACACTGAGGGGTTCTAAACCGCAGTCTGCGGGCCAATTCCGGCCCGCGTGACCATTTAAAATGGCCCGCCGAACTTGAGTGAAATAGTTTAACCCTTCATGTGGTACCTTTTGAGTTTTAAATACCGTCTATTGTTACATCATTATCACAGTTTAAGCACGTTTATTTCGTAACAATTGAATTATTCCGGTATCTTATGTATAGGTATGGATATTATGATTACACATTGCAGTATTTTAGATATCAGCCGTATATTAAGAAAGCTTAAAGATGTCACAAAACGAAAACTAGGCACTGAAAACAGACGTTTTTTAGATGAATGACAGCGTTTTTATTTCTTTACTGAAAAGAATCAAACTTCAGCGATTTGTCTTCTTACCAACAAAATATTTCAGTTCTGAAGGAATACAACATTATGCGACATTATGATCAGTTGACGAGCGTATTTCAAAATTTAATTCATACAAAAGTCAAACAAACATGTTCAAAAAAATTAGAAATGTGTAACAAAACTAGCCATAAGTAGCCATTCATACAATGACAGATGAGCAAGTAACTTCATTAGTCACTATCATTTGCAAATTACTTGTTGAAACGTAGTAGTATATATTTACGGTTGAAAGCCGAGCGCTTGTTATCTATTCCCCGGGAATTCTATCAGCTAAATATTATAATTATTGATTTTATTACATAACAAACTGCGATGCTAGGTGTATCCAAAATCAAGCTTAGAGCCTATTTTGGTGCCTATTTCTCAAATTTTTCTCAGGGCGCTAAAGCGCGCCCTGAACCCCAGCCGTGTCGTCCCGCACTTTTCTTCACTCCCCTTTTCTGGCCCTACAATTTCATTCTGCTGTGGATTTTGGCTCGCCGTCAATCAGCTTGGGGGGGGGGGGGGGGGGGTTCCCATGTACATCGTCTCTTAAATACATACCATTTTTTTAAGAATACAAATAGCCTAGTTTTATCTCTGATAGCAAATTATTTACCACCCCCTAAATTTTGAAACTCCCCCCCCCCTAAAGAGAAAAGCTGGGGAACATACTGCTTAGCGCCCTTGTTCAAACGACGCCCATGGCACAAGCCATGGCTGCCACACCTTAAATACGCCACTGATTCCAGGCTACCCTACACTCGGGGAATATTGAAACGATTTACATGCGTCATTCTAGTTCCAACTTCTTGCAGGCGCATTGCGTTGTCACGCATTTTATTGATTCTGGATTTATAGTGTATTTTGAAATTTGTTATATTGTTTGACATGCTTTCTCTCCAAGCATCAACTTCACACTTTCTCAATATATGCAAGGTTTCAGTGGGGTTTCACTAATCGTATGTGCTTTTGTCGGATGCCTGAAAAGTGCCGGATTCGTCTGGCTCCAAGTATCAACTTCATACTTTTCAATATGCAAGGTTTCAGTAGTAGGCCGCGAGCCGAGGCCATTTATCTTTCAGTTTCGTAGCGCACATAAGATAACTACCTGAAAATGATTTTAAAATGTTCCTTGGAAATTTAGTAACAAATATTGCCTTGTTCCCACTTACAAAAGTTGCACGTTTTACGGAAAAGACGCTTTTACTACAAGAAATATGTGCTACGATCTGTCCTATATTCTCTACATTTTCGGCAATGAACAATGACTTCTGCATGACGTAACAATTGAATCGAATCAGCTGTTAGCGAGCGGATGAATATTAGTTATTACTGCTCGACCTTGCGTTCAGTTGGGCAGCCTTTCCATGGCGAGTTAGCCCTCTCGAACTCGCGATGTCGATCGTCAATTATAGAGAAAATAGACATGGCGAGTTAGCCCTCTCTCTCGAACTCGCGATGTCGATCGTCAATTATAAAGGAAATAGACATGGCGAGTTAGCCCTCTCTCTCGCGATGTCGATCGTCAAATATAGAGAAAATAGACATGGCGAGTTAGCCCTCTCGCTCGCGCGATGTCGATTATAAAGAAAATAGACATGGCGAGTTAGCCCTCCCTCTCTCTCGAACTCGCGATGTCGATCGTCAATTATAAAGAAAATAGACATGGCAAGTTAGCCCTCTCTCTCTCTCGAACTCGCGATGTCGATCGTCAATTATAGAGAAAATAGACATGGCGAGTTAGCCCTCTCTTTCTCTCGCGATGTCGATCGTCAATTATAAAGGAAATTGACATGGCGAGTTAGCCCTCTCTCTCTCGAACTCGCGATGTCGATCGTCAATTATAGAGAAAATAGACATGGCGAGTTAGCTCTTTCTCTCCCTCTCTGCTCGCAATCAACGTCTGTTTAGAATAAAATGAGACTGCCGGTAGCAAAATAGAACTTTTGATATATTTAGCATTGTTGTTGATTTAGTGCTCATACAATCAATTAATATGATGATATATTTAGCATGCTTAGATGAAAATGATAAGTTTAGACTTCCTTTGCGCGTCGAGTACCGTACGGTACCGGTATGCCTTCCGACATATGACATATAAGCACGTTTTCTTGTCACTTTGTTACCATTTGCACAGTAGGTATTGTAACCAAACACATTCAATTTAATATCCTTACTATTGAAGTTGTTAGTATAAACAGCCACCTTTACATCTCCCATTACAAAAAGAGCCTCCACACAGTTGCAGGCTAACCCGTTAACCGCCGTCGCATGGCAAGTGGTCCATGGCGAGTTAGCCCTCATGGCGAGTTAGCCTCCACCCGCTCGCGGCCTATTGGGTTTCACTTATCGTATGTGCTTTTGTCACGCACAAAGCGATGAAATAAGATACGTGTACAGTAGTGTTGTTAGTCTGCCAAAAAGTGCCGGATCTGTCTGGCTTTTGACGGGACAATATTGACTCAGAAAAATACTAGCTTTTTCTCCAAGCATCAACCCTCCAATTTTCAATATGCAAGGTTTCAGTAGGGTTTCACTGATCGTATGTGCTTTTGTCGGATGTCTGAAAAATGCCGGATCCGTCTGGCTCCAAGCATCAACTTCACACTTTTTCAATATGCAAGGTTTCAGTAGGGTTTCACTCACCGTATGTACTTTTGTCACGTACAAAGCGATGAAATAAGATACGTGTACAGTAGTGTTGTCAGTCTGCCAAAAAGTGCCAGATCTGTCTGGCTTTTGACGGGACAATATTGATTCTCCAAGCATCAACCCCCCAATTTTCATTATGCAAGTTTTCAGTAGGGTTTCACTGATCGTATGTGCTTTTGTCGGATGCCTGAAAAGTGCCGGATCCGTCTGGCTCCAAGCATCAATTTCACACTTTTTCAATATGCAAGGTTTCAGTAGGTTTCACTGATCGTATGCGCTTTTGTCACGTACAAAGCGATGAAAAAAGGTACGTGTACAGTAGTGTTGTTAGTCTACCAAAAAGTGCGGGATCTGTCTAGCTTTTGACGGGACAATCTTGACTCAGAAAAATACTATTTTTTTTTTATCATACTTTCATGAGCTTTTGCTAGATGTTATTTTAGTGGGGCAGATTTCATGGTACTGTTTCCAAAAGGTTTCCATGTAGGCTACAGAACACACTGAAGACCATCCCGAATAAGGTACGTTACCCAAAATCTAAATAAACGTCCTGATACTTTCTCTTTTTACTTGACATTCTGTTTCAACAAATTCTAGTGTGCTATTTTTGTGGTTAAAAGAACTCGACCTATTTGAAGGTGTTAGTTTTTAATTTCGGTTAAAATATAGTTCTACTGATAATTAATAGGCTAATACCGATTTCTTGTACCGCCTGTAGTTATGTAATATTGGATCATTATTGCCAGGTGATATCGAAACATAAGATAATTTACACAGTTTTACAATTGGTTATCGAGCAGCGACACCCGAGGTTCTACGATCTGAATAAAGGAAGAATTCTAGAGTTTTGAACTACTATGCCTTATGTTGACGGTGAGCACCGAATGAAGTATTTGGCAGCCATGCACAGGACTAGGGGGTCATGACCTCTTCAATGAAAAATATAAGAGGAAACGGGAGCCAGCAACTACACTCTGTCTAAGCGGATAAAATTCCCACTGAATCAACTAATATATTAAAGTAGCAGGTTTAGGTGTATCGGGTCCGGTAAAATGCAGAACTAACTTCAAAAGTAATCTTTTAATCAATTTGATTAGTTTGCAGAGAAGGGAATTCTTTTATAAAAGGACCCCGCTTTTTAATGCAAAAATGTTAGGTTTGAGGAAAACGCTGGCGCCACGTTTTAAACGCTGCAGATTGTTTTTCTTTTGTGTGTGTGTGTTTTTTGCCGGGCCTCCACAAAATATCCGGAAAATTCCATTCGCAACCACTATCACCCGAAAAACAACAACTTAGAAAACGATTATAATATATTATGTACATATAGTTTAGAAGTACCACTGGAGGGAGGTATATATAAAGACCAGGTCACACATTCTTGCTTTTCTATGCTTTGCCATAACATGGCCTCTGCTATTTTCTTCTCGCTGTTATTTTTCTCATTTTTATAATACAAATATTCTGGTTGCTTCCCGTAGTATTCGTAACAACCTGAACATAGTATGTGTAACAGGTAAGCGTTAGCAGGTTGTGCGTCATCTTGATACGAATACTATGGGAGCGCCCTATTCTGTACTGCTCTGACGTACGTTAAAAGGTATTTGCATTCAAATGTGTACACGGTGAATTCGTTTCATTTTTTGCGCGTGTTCACTTGAGTGTGGCAGAATAATATTATTATTTATTTTAAGTAATAGGGTTCGCAAACCAAAATGTTTATCGTCAATTCTCACACTTATCTTGATCTTGTGACTAAAATGAAGTACTACGATAATTAATTAATGAAAAATTCGTAGAATATGAATCGTAAGTGATAAATGTCAAATACAAAGTACAAGGGCAGATACAAAACGCCATGATTGATCACTGAAATAAACGACGTTTGGCAAGCATATCTATGACATGTCGACTTTAGCAGCAGCTTGTTTTTGACGAATGAGACGCGTTTTACTTGGACTTAATTGGGAAAAAGAATATTTGGGATGTCGATACCTTTGTACATGAGTTTTTTGAAATGTTTTCATGTTTTTTGAATCTCTAATGGTGGAATAATACGTATTCTAGTAAGTTCTGATATGAGTGTAAATTTTGACAGTATGAAAGACGAACATAGGATACTTGCCAGTTGCCACAGATAAATACCAATGAAATATTCGTACTCATTCATTATCGTAACCGAATGAACCGCGTTGACAAACATATCTTGCATAGTATTTTATGAATTATTAATCTGGTATACCCGTTAAATCTAGCAAAGCTAATAGAAATATACATTATATCGAGTATTAGGTGGACGCGTTAATATATAGATGAACCAGGATGCAATCATAATGACTCAGCATGATTTTAATTTGTGCAACGTCATTCTAGAGAAAGGATGACCCTACATGAAAGACGATCAGGGTTGTTTGCTTTGGTTAAGTAGACGCGTTTAGGACAAAGAACTATTCATCTTTCAAATAAGTCTGGCATTTTGGCATAAGTTAAGCATTTTTACCTGAAGGGGGAACGTATATTGGCAGAGGGAGTCACAATCGTTCACTGACGCGCCTAAAAGCTGTATATATTGAACAGTCTCTGCAGAAAGCGTGGATTCATTTTAGCTGGCACAGACTCAAAGCAAACACAATTAAACGCTGCTAGTGTTACAGCGAGGCGGAAAAGAATTCCATAATGCAGAAAGTGACACGTAGGCCAGGCCCTACTTCCTTTTGATCGCATGCTTTTATAAATGTATATATATAATTTGTTAGTTTAGATTTAAAACATAAAATAAAACGCTGCCATCATGAAGTGCAAAAAGATAATCTTGAAGCAAATGTATAATGGATTTCCAAAAAAGTCTGATTTTGAGATTGTTGATGAAGACGTCGCTGAAGATCTACAAAATGGAGGTTTGTAATATTCGATATGTATCGTTATAATAAATTGATTTTTATTGAAAACATTTTAGTGATGTTTCAAAGTTCATCGATAGGCAATTATGCATATAGTCAAATTGATTAGCGTGGAAATTGGGTCTTCATGACTGATATTATCTGATGAAATTATTTTATATATTTTACGCCAAGCACCAATCTTCACCCAGTTGGTTTGTATAAAAATGGGTTGTGTTCGTGTCTATATTATGCAGTTTTTTGCACGGAAATCGTATCACAGGCAATCTCCTTATGCTGTCATTTACCTCTCGTCCACAATAATTCGTGAAGCAACATGTCTCTAAATTTGATGACATTATCGTCTCGAATGCACCGTCTGTAATATGTATTGAAGTTTGATTAACTAATGATGTACTAATAGATAAATGAGATATTTGTTTGTTTCAGAATTCCTTTACGAGTCTCTTGCAATCAGCGTGGATCCGTATATAAGGTAATATTTGAGTAGTCAGAATTTTATTCAAATAAACTAGACTGCAAAGTTATAATAGCTACTTCACAGGTTGATAATATCTTTCAATTAGTGGAGTAAACATTTCCGACATTCAAAGAAAATTATTATATCATTGCAGTTTTTTAAATACGCTCTTAGTAAATGATATTTCTTTGAATATTTCAATTTTTTTCTATTAATTTTTAAAAAGGGTTTCTAAAATATTATCAGTCTATATTGAATTCTTTTTTGATTTCAGAGCATATGCTGGGGCAGCATACAAGCCTGGGGATACAGTAATTGGAACTGCGCTTGTACGGTGAGGCAACAAATTTGTTTGATTTTTGAACTTACAATACCGGTAAACTGTTATTTGATCGCGTGGTATTATAGTCTACATCTATTCTATAATAAACATCGCAAATGGTAAGACGATGCGCGCCGATGTACTAGTAGACAGAATGTTCATTTCGCGGTTATCCTGGCATTCGGTACAAATATTTTGTGATCTTTCTTGTTTTTTGTTATGCTTTACCGCAGGGGTCGGCAACCTACGGCCCGCGGAGTAATATAATCCGGCCCGCGACGCTTCGCTGGATTTTAGTAGCAAAACGGCTGTTTTGACGATTATATTCTTCACGTAACAGAATTTATTGTGAGACACGTGTAGACTAAGTTATATTATAAATTAACAGGTATAAAATTCACAAATACTCGTTTAATAGCCTATATTTTTAATTATAATTAGACAAATTGCAACAAAACGCAGGAAAGTTGATGCGACAATACTTTTATTTCAAATTTTCAGTGTTTAAAAATTGTATTTTTCGCTAGTACTTCAAAAATTTATTTGAGCTCTATGTGATTTTTTGTTTGTGATGACGTCATACAAATTAAAAATTGCACCCCTTGTGGTGGTAGTCTACTATGACAGATTGCATAGCCTACCCGTACTTATTCGTTATATTTGAGCTCTTTTGTTTTCTGATATCATGACCATTAGTCATGTCACGGACATATTTCTGACAACGGAAAGTCCACAAAACTATGAATCTGAGTATTTTATGGTTATCCGAGTTTCCTGATGACTGATTCTTATTTTCTGTTTGCATTTTCTCATAATAGGGTGACAAAAAGCAAAAACGAACAATTTCAAAACGGGAAACTTCTTGTTCTACATTGTGGATGGAGAAACGGTGGTAAAGCCAAAGAGAGTGACGTGCTTTTTGTGCGAGATGACATGCCAGCATCAGTGCCAGAATCAGCAGGCCTTGGCTTATATGGAATTGCTGGGTATGTTTAAAACTTTTATGAACTAATATGAAGCATTAACTATCGTCAAATTATAAAAACAAACAAATTAGGATCCGGAAATTATTTCTGTCGGTCATCAGCTTCAAGGCTCATTCGCGGTATTCCCAAATATGTACATTTCCCAATAACCAACTGATGATGTAGCGTTAACACAAATGATCCACTGATGTTGACGCTTCCGCTAACCCATGATCACCTATATTCAATCTTTTATCTCGTTTACCAAAGACGCCAGTTATGAATATATAATATATATACAACGTGTCCTGATATATTATTTGGGGTCATTTTACGTTATAGATTAACAGCCTGGGTCGGATGGATACTCGTATGTAAAATAAAAGAAGGAGAAACAATCTTTATCAGTGGCGCAGCAGGAGCCGTCGGAAATGTTGCAGCTCAGATTGGAAAAATTAAGGTAAGTTCTATGACTTGCACAAATTATTATTTCTGTTTTATAAAAATACAAGTACGCCACTTATTTCACTTTATACAATACAGGGATGCACCGTTGTTGGATCTTGTGGTACAGACGAAAAAGTAAAATTTTGTAAGAATATTGGATATGATGCAGTATTCAACTACAAAAAAGAGTCTGAAAGTTTGGATGCAGCTATCAAACGAGTTGCCCCGAAAGGAATAGATTGCTACTTCGACAACGTAGGTTTTAAGGAGACTGTTTTACAATATTTTGACGTTCAATAGCTTATCAAGAAAGATTTGTTTAGCAATGCAGTATGCCTTTTTGAGGGAACCTAATAAAATTTGCTTTTACAACTTTTCCTCATGAATTTCTGAATATAAACTCCATTCAAACAATGAGTAGTTATCAACTGTCGAACAATTTTCAGGTTGGAGGTTCTTTTTCAAGCACTATTTTACGTAACATGAATTCTGGTGGACGAGTGGGAGTATGTGGATCTATATCTGCTTACAACGAAACTACTCCTGTATTAGGTAAGCAAACCGTTTTCTGCAAAAATACATTCTTCTCATAAGACTTTCTGGTTTATCCTTTACAAAACGTATTGTTCAGCTCCCATCGTTCAAACTTCGATGGTGTCAAGTGAACTGATGTTGAAAGGATTCCTATTGAGATCTTATGTGAGTAACTATAAGGAAGCATATGAAGATCTGAAAAAATGGACGATTGAGGTAAGATAGACATCCTATGTAATTATAGTTTATCAGTGCAAATATTTATTGACTATATATTTTATTCATTTTTAGGGAAAGATGAAATGTCACGAAAAAGTTACGAAAGGATTCGAAAACGTTCCCGACGCATTTATCGATATGCTGCGAGGAGGAAACGTTGGCAAAGCGGTTGTAAGGCTGTAAATTTCAATCACCGTACTATCATTATCATTAATAAATATATTGTATCAATTTAACAGTATTACAATTTGATTCGTACGCCCTCGTACTAACCTCATACTTTGATGACGTCATAATATCATGCCCGGTTAAATATATGCCCTATGTTTGATGTTTGATCAAACCTATCATGCAAGGCCTTCTAAGCTAATCAAACTGAATCATTGTTTGCAATTTATTATCGACTTTTCCGGCTTTTTATAATATTACTGATAACAATTGATTTCAGTTTTATCAGCATATTTCTTGGTACAATATCGACGATTAAAATAAGTGCCCTGAGGAGCAAAGAAAATATTTTTTTCCCCACATTTCACCTAGATTTTCTGTTAGTCTATAATGGCTACATTGAGAAAACCACATTATTTCTTTTCATAGTTCGGTTTTGCTTTGAGATTTGGCTGATTTGAGTAATGTTCAACATATAAACATACACAAATTATATAAATTGATTTTACTCTTCGTACATTGTCCTAGTTCATTGGTTCTTAATTTTTTTGTATTTTACCCCTTAACCAAATGAGATTACAAGAGTTACCACCAATACAGCCATTGGTGATCATTTATTGAAAATTCGTAAAGCAAACTATAAAGAACTTTAGATGTCTCTCTCTTTCTCCCTTCTAGGGAGGAGTGAGGTTTGATGGAAGAAAAAGTGTAAATGGAGGAGTGGGAGATTAGAGGGGGTAGAGCATTTTTCTTTCAAATAAGTTAGAGATATTCACGACAGTGAGAAATACTTGGTGGAATCATTCAAGCAGGGTGATTTTGTTGAGGTCATATTCCGGTGCTTTTGATGCATATGGGGAAGGGAAGTCGCGGGAACCAATTGAGCAGCGACACCCGAGGTTCCAATATCTAATTGAAATAAAGAATTCTAGAGTTTTGAAACTACTACACCTTATGTTGACGGTGAGCACCGAATGAAGTATTTAACAATTTGAGAAAGAGCTTAGGAAACGATCGTGTCTGAACAATGTAACCCTTTAAGGGGTGCACGGGTCTAGGTGGCCATGACTTATTCAATAAAAAATATAAGAGGAAACGGGAGCCAGCAACTACACTCTAAGGCTCTAAGCGTATAAAATTCCCACTGAATCGATTAATATAATGAAGTTGCAGATTTGGGTGTATCGGGTTTGGTATAATGCTTATGCTTTGCCATAACATGGCCTCTGCCATTTTCTTCTCGCTGTTAAATTCTCATTTTTACAATACAACCATTCAGGGTGCTCCCCGTAGTATTCGTACCAAGATGGCGCACAAGCTGAACGTAGTATGTGTACCAGGTCAGGATTAGCAGGTTGTGCCTCATCTTGGTAGGAGTACTACGGGAGCGCCCTATTCTGTACTGCTCTAACGTAAGCTAAAAGGTAATTTGCATTCAAATGTGTACACGGTGAATTCGTTTCAAATTTTTGCGCGTGTTTACTTGAGTGTGGCAGAATAATATTATTATTTATTTTAAGTAATAGGGTTCGCAAACCCAAAAGTTTGGGTAGTTCTGCCCGAACCACCCTGTTTATCGTCAATTCTCACACTTATCTTGATCTTGCGACTAAAATATGCGTCACGATAACTAATGAAAAGTTCGTAGAATATGAATCGTAATTTATAAATGTCAAATGCAAAGTACAAGGGCAAGTAAAAAATGCCATGATTGATCACTAAAATAAACGATGTTTGGCAAGCATATCTATGATATGTCGACTGATGATCCTAGAGCAAAATCTTATAGCAAAATTACAAAACATCAGTTATTTTAGCAGCAGCTTGTTCTTGTATTTGACGAATGAGACGCGTTTTACTTGGACTTAATTGTGAAAAAGAATATTTGGAATGTCGATACCTTTGTACATGAGTTTTTGAAATGCTTTCATGTTTTTTAAATCTCTAATGGTGGATCAATACGTATTCTAGCAAGTTCTGATATGCGTGTGAATTTTGACAGTATGAACGACGAACATAGGATACTTGCCAGTTGACACAGATAAATACCAATAAAATTCGTACTCATTCATTATCGTAACCGATTGAACCGCGTTGACAAACATATCTTGTGTAGTAATTTATTAATTATTAATCTGACATGGCCGTCAAATCTAGCAAAGCTAATAGGAATATACATTATATTGAATGTCAGGTGGGCGCGTTACAAAATATTTAACTTAAAGATGTAATAATGACCCTATACGAAAAAGGTCAGAGTTATAGACGAAGAACGCAAATTACTCGTCCTTAAAATAAGTTTAGCTGAAGCAACTTCGTGACTCACAGTTTTACCTGAACGGGGAACGATTATTGGCAGGAGGAGGAGGAGTCACAATCGACAACTGACGCGCCTAAAAGCTGTACAGGATATAAAATAATCTCTGCAAGAGGCGTGAATCAATTTTAGCTCGCACAGACTCAAATCAATTCAAATAGACACTGCTAGTGTTACAGAAAGGCGGAAAAGAGTTCCAAAATGCGGAGAGTGTCATATAGTTCCTTTTGATGGCATGCTTTTATAAACGTATATATATAATTTGTTAGTTTAAATTTAAAACATAAAAAGTATTCAAAACGCTGCCATCATGAAGTGCAAAAAGATAGTCTTGAAACAAATGTATAATGGATTTCCAAGGAAATCTGATTTTGAGATTGTTGAAGAAGACGTCGCTGAAGATCCACAAAATGGAGGTTTGTAATATTCAATACTTTTCAATACATTTACCTCTCGCCCACAATAATTCGTGAAGCAACATGTCTCAAAATTTGATGACATTATCGTCTTAAATGTATCGTCTGCAATATGTATTTCCGTTTGATTAATTAATGACGTACTAGCAGATAAATCTGGTGTTTGTTTGTTCCAGAATTCCTGTACGAGTCTCTTGCAATCAGCGTGGATCCGTATATAAGGTAATATTTGAATAATCAGACTTTTGTTTTTTAAACCAGAGTTCAACCAAAGTTGAAATAGCTACAGGACAGATAAATAACATCTTTCAATTAGTGGAGTATACATTTCCGACATTCAAAGAAAATGTTTAAATCAGTGCAGTTTTTCAATACGCCCTCTGTAAATAATTTTTTTTTGAAAATTTGATTTTCTTTTTATAATTTTTGAAAATGATTTCTGAAATATTATCATTTTATCCTGAATTCCTTTTTTGATTTCAGATCATTAGTCGGAGCAGGATACAAGCTTGGGGATACAGTAATTGGATCTGTGCTTGTACGGTGAGGCAACCAATTCGTTTGATTTTTGAACCGTCAATACCGGTAACAAGTATTTGATCACGTGGTATTTTCGTCTACATCCATTATATTATAAGCATCACAAATGATGAGACAATGCGCGCCGAATAAAGCTGTGTATGCTCATACTTTTGTACAACGTCAAATGCCATTACCAATTTGATTTGACATTGAAAATGACAAAATATCGCAAAAACAAAGTGTCTGGTAACAAGGGTTGCGTGAGGTGGTAAGTGGTATTTTAAGCCTAAAAAGGGGCAAAGCTATTGGTCCTGATAACATTCCATCATGCTTCCTTCAGCATATTGTAGACAAAATATCGCCCGTCCTTATGATGTTGTTCAACGCGGCAATACAGCCTGGTATGTACCCTTCAGTAATCAAAATTGCTCGAGTAACACCAATTTTAAAATCTGGTGAGAATAAAATAATATCTAACTACGAACCGATTTTATGTATTTCTTGTTTAAACATACTTTTTGAAAAACTACTATAATATGAAAGAATGCTAAAATTCAACAATACCATAATAAAATAAATAAGTCACAATTTGTATTTAGGGCAACCATTCAACAAACCATGCTATTTTAGACATGATGTCATACATCTATGACAAATAAGAAATTAATGAGATTATTTGTTCTATTTTCATTGTTTCAAAGAAAGCGTTCGATACAGTTGACTACAAAATATTTCTTCATAAAATGTTTAATTATGGATTTCTTGGACCCGCACAATCACTTTTAAAGAGCTACCTAACAAACCAAGTACAATTTGTAAAAATTGGCGAAGTTTAGGGATCTTGTTTAGGCCCAATTCTATTCTTAATATATATTAATGATCTCACCAACTGTTCAAACTTATTAACGAAACTATTCGTCGACGACACAGGTCTTCATTCCAGTCATGAATCAATTCCAACTTTAGAGAATGATGTAAACTATGAAATTGTAAAGATAAATGATTGGATGGTTTCAAATAGACTGACGATTAATATTGAAAAATCAAAATCTATGATAATTACTCCCCAAAAGTATCAGATAAACCTTGACTCGTCAATAGAAATTGATGGTACCAAATTAGAAAGTGTGTTATCATACAAATACCTAGGAATTTTTATTAATTTTGGTCTAAAATGGGACAAAAATATTGAGCATGTGGTGAAAAAAATAACTAGAGCAGTCGGTATCACCCACAATCTCAAACAATACATGTCAACCCTGCGCTCCGTGTATTTTTCACTTTTCAATATGTTCAGTATGGGATCTCAGCCCAGGGAGCTGCTGCACAAAAATATTTAAGACAAATTAATGTTTTACAAAACCGAATTCCTAGATCTCTTTGCAATGCAGCAGCTTTATTCGACACTCGACATTCTGAAATTAGCAGATTTGCAATTTTGAAATTGCGAAACTAATGCATCAACACCAAAATAAATCCCTACCTGAAGCATTCGATAAATATTTCACTAATCCCGGTACTCACACACATTACACCCGATCTTCTGCGCGTGGAAATTATGTTGTGCCCAGATATTCTACTGCAAGATCAAAAATCTCAATCACATACACAGGTATCAAAATATGGAACGGTATTTCACATGAAATAAAGTCACATGGCTACATGACCTTAAAGAAAACATAAAAAAAATATTTATTCAAAAACTACTGGTAGTCCTTATGAACTGCAGTTTTGCTGACAGTGTCATACTTCATACGGTACCGTAGCCTACTGTCTACTATGTCATATAAACGATAGCCGTTCGCTTCACTGCCGTGCCGTAAAATAGATTCCGAGTGACCTAATATGGTATTTTTTTCTTACTCACATATCTCCAAACTTTCTGTCTCTATAAGTCAGATTCTGAATGCGCGCGGTTGGTCAGCAACGTACAACCGAAACAGTTGGTTTCCAGTTCATTGAATGATTGACCACCGTAGCTGATCAACCAAAACCAAAAAGTGGCTGGAGTCGATTCCGATCTCTATATATGCTTGTAACTTCGACCGTGGGCAAATTTTATTTTCTTCCTTAAAAGTTTCATGTGGATGGTTGTAAATGAAGTATAAATTGTGCCTCAGAATTCGTACATAGAGGTGGCTTAATTTAATTTTCCTCATCAAATAAAATGATCGCTCGATTTAGTGTTACATATGACAACAGATAAAAATTTAATCGCTGCAATTGTACAGAAGAACAGCGGAATGATATGGT